TGCGATTAGATGGATCCTGAACCCTATATCCCTTTGAAAGGGGCGAAGGGGCAAATATTGTAAAAATTTGAATTATCACAACTTTCGGGCCGAAATTGTAAGGGCCGGGGTGGTTCAGCATTTTGGAGCAAAAATTTATGTTTTTTAATTGGCTAGTTTCCCCACAATGAATGTATATACATGCCATTAGATGGATCCTGACCCCCATTTCCCTTTGAAAGGGGCGTAGTGGCAAATATTGAAAAATTTGAGTTATCACAACTTTCGGGCCGAAATAGTAAGGTCCGGGATGGTTCAAGCATTTTGGAGGAAAATATATTTTTTTTTTAATTGGCTAGTTTCCCCATAATGAATGTACATACATGCGATTAGATGGATCCCGAACCCTATATCCCTTTGAAAGGGGCGTAGGGGCAAATATTGTAAAAATTTGAATTATCACAACTTTCGGGCCGAAATTGTAAGGGCTGGGGTGGTTCAGCATTTTTTGAGGAAAAAATTATATTTTTTGAATAGGCTAGTTTCCCCATAATGATTGTATATACATGCAATAAGGAGGATTCTAACGCTTATATCCCTTTGACAGGGGGGCAGGGGCAAATATTGTAAAAATTTAAATTATCACAACTTTTCGGGCCGAAGTTGTAAGGGCCGGGGTGGTTCAGCATTTTGGAGGAAAATATTATTTTTTTTTAATTTGCTAGTTTCCCCAAAATGAATGTACATACATGCGATTAGATGGATCCTGAACCTTATATCCCTTTGAAAGGGGCGTAGTGGCAAATATTGTAAAAATTTAAATAATCACAACTTTCAGGCCGAAATTGTAAGGGCCGGGGTGGTTCAGCATTTTGGAGGAAAATTTTTTTTTTTTTTATTAGGCTAGTTTCCCCATAATGAATGTACATACATGCCATTAGATGGATCCTGACCCCCATATCCCTTTGACATGGGGGTAGGAGCAAATATTGTAAAAATTTGAATTATCACAACTTTTCGGGCGGAAGTTGTAAGGGCCGGGGTGGTTCAGCATTTTGGAGGAAAATTTTTTTTTTTTTCAATTGGCTAGTTTCCCCAAAATGAATGTACATACATGCGATTAGATGGATCCTGAACCCTATATCCCTTTGAAAGGGGCGTAGGGGCAAATATTGTAAAAATTTAAATTATCACAACTTTCGGGCCGAAATTGTAAGGGCCGGGGTGGTTCAGCATTTTGGAGCAAAAATTTATGTTTTTTAATTGGCTAGTTTCCCAACAATGAATGTATATACATGCCATTAGATGGATCCTGACCTCCATTTCCCTTTGAAAGGGGCGTAGTGGCAAATATTGAAAAATTTGAATTATCACAACTTTCGGGCCGAAATAGTAAGGTCCGGGATGGTTCAGCATTTTGGAGGAAAATATATTTTTTTTTTAATTGGCTAGTTTCCCCATAATGAATGTACATACATGCGATTAGATGGATCCCGAACCCTATATCCCTTTGAAAGGGGCGTAGGGGCAAATATTGTAAAAATTTGAATTATCACAACTTTCGGGCCGAAATTGTAAGGGCTGGGGTGGTTCAGCATTTTTTGAGGAAAAAATTATATTTTTTGAATAGGCTAGTTTCCCCATAATGAATGTACATACATGCGATTAGATGGATCCTGACCCCCATATCCCTTTGAATGGGGGGTAGGGGCAAATATTGTAAAAAATTGAATTATCCCAACTTTCGGCTAAAATTGTAAGGGCCGGGGTGGTTCAGCATTTTGGAGGAAAATTTTTTTTTTTTTTATTAGGCTAGTTTCCCCATAATGAATGTACATACATGCCATTAGATGGATCCTGACCCCCATATCCCTTTGACATGGGGGTAGGAGCAAATATTGTAAAAATTTGAATTATCACAACTTTTCGGGCCGAAGTTGTAAGGGCCGGGGTGGTTCAGCATTTTGGAGGAAAATATTATTTTTTTTAAATTTGCTAGTTTCCCCAAAATGAATGTACATACATGCGATTAGATGGATCCTGAACCTTATATCCCTTTGAAAGGGGCGTAGTGGCAAATATTGTAAAAATTTGAATAATCACAACTTTCAGGCCGAAATTGTAAGGGCCGGGGTGGTTCAGCATTTTGGAGGAAAATATTATTTTTTTTTAAATATGCTAGTTTCCCCATAATGAATGTATATACATGCAATTAGAAGGATTCTAACGCCTACATGTATATCCCTTTGACAGGGGGGTAGGGGCAAATATTGTAAAAATTTGAATTAACACAACTTTTCGGGCCGAAGTTGTAAGGGCCGGGGTGGTTCAGCATTTTGGAGGAAAATATTATTTTTTTTAAATTTGCTAGTTTCCCCAAAATGAATGTACATACATGCGATTAGATGGATCCTGAACCTTATATCCCTTTGAAAGGGGCGTAGTGGCAAATATTGTAAAAATTTGAATAATCACAACTTTCAGGCCGAAATTGTAAGGGCCGGGGTGGTTCAGCATTTTGGAGGAAAATATTATTTTTTTTTAAATATGCTAGTTTCCCCATAATGAATGTATATACATGCAATTAGAAGGATTCTAACGCCTACATGTATATCCCTTTGACAGGGGGGTAGGGGCAAATATTGTAAAAATTTGAATTAACACAACTTTTCGGGCCGAAGTTGTAAGGGCCGGGTGGTTCAGCATTTTGGTGGAAAATATTATATTTTTTTAATGGGCTAGTTTCCCCACAATGAATGTATATACATGCCCTTAGATGGATCCTGACCCCCATTTCCCTTTGAAAGGGGCGTAGTGGCAAATATTGAAAAATTTGAGTTATCACAACTTTCGGGCCAAAATAGTAAGGTCCGGGGTGGTTCAGCATTTTGGAGTGAAATATTATTTTTTTTAATTGGCTAGTTTCCCCATAATGAATGTACATACATGCGATTAGATGGACCCTGGACCCTATATCCCTTTGAAAGGGGCGTAGGGGCAAATATTGTAAAAATTTGAATTATCACATCTTTTCGGGCCGAAGTTGTAAGGGCTGGGGTGGTTCAGCATTTTGGAGGAAAAAATTATTTTTTATGCCTCCGCCACCGAAGGTGGTGCCGGAGGTATCATGTTTTCGGGTTGTCCGTCCGTACCTCCGTACGTCCGTCCCGTTTGACCGTTATCACAATATCTCAAGAACCATTTAAGATTTAAACTTAAGACTCGGGAATAGTATTTATTACCATAGGAAGACGATCTGATTAGATTTTGGAGTACGTAGGTCAAAGGTCACAGGTCAAAGAGGTCAACTTATGAAATTCCTTGTATTGAGTTTGTTAGCGCGATATCTCAAGAACCATTTGAGATTTAAACTTCAAACTTAAGGATAGTATGTATCACCATAGGAAGACGATCGATTAGATTTTGGAGCACGTATGTCAAAGGTCAAGGGTCACAGAGGTCAACTTATGAAATTCCATACATTGAGATTATTATCATGATATCTCAAGAACCACTGGAGATTTAAACTTTAAACTTAGTGATAGTGTGTATCACTATAGGAAAACAATCTGATTAGATTTTGGAGCACGTAGGTCAAAGGTCAAGGGTCATAGAGGTCAACTTATGAAATTCCATACATTGAGATTGTTATCATGATATCTCAAGAACCACTGGAGATGTAAAAACTTCAAACTTAAGGATAGTATGTATCACCATAGGAAGACGATCTGATTAGATTTTGGAGCACGTAGGTCAAAGGTCAAGGGTCACAGAGGTCAACTTATGAAATTCCATACATTGAGATTGTTATCATAATATCTCAAGAACCACTGGAGATTTAAACTTCAAACTTAATGATAGTGTGTATCACCATAGGAAGACAATCTGATTAGATTTTGGAGCACGTAGGTCAAAGGTCAAGGGTCACAGAGGTCAACTTATGAAATTCCATACATTGAGATTGTTATCATGATATCTCAAGAACCACTGGAGATTTAAACTCCAAACTTGTTTAAATTGCTCTATGGCGGAGGCATCATTTTCGACTGCGCGCAGTCAAAATTCCATCTAGTTATAGCCTGTTTTATGTATTTTTCTCATGGAAAAACGGTTGGGAAATTTAAAAAATGGTTGGGAGAATTTACTGTTAATCACTGTTAGAGGGTGCCTCACATCGACGCCTTCAAAGAGAACCATAGATATCTTTGTGGTTTGAAAATTTGTTCAGGATTTTTTGCATGTCAGAGGGTTAGCATAGTAAAAGGAATATAGTAAGTAACATTTTATACAAAAATTAATCAATTTTTTTCATCAGCTTTCAACAATGTTACCGAGTCACTTTAAAGGTAAAGACCAGTTATGGTCATGCGATTGCATTGTGAAAGAAACGTTGTGGAATCGATCAGAAAAGGTTGATCATCTAGCATATACATGTAAGTATTGGTGTGTACTGCAAGGTTCTGGAATCATCAAAATGATAAGAAATATGTCCCAGTCTTCGTAAAGTTACAAGCACTGTACACAGAAAGGTGTATATGGGACTATACGCACACGTGCGCGATATGTGTGTTTATCTCTCACAGACCATGTAGATAAACTAATTTACCAAATATATCAATTAGTACGTAGTCGGTTTCCTGGCAAAATTGTTATCATCATGTATTAGTCAAAACATATTCTTTCACATGATTGGTAATAAGAGCTTCCATTTCATTTTTTGAAATTGGGGCGTTTCCAATTCTGGTCTTTACCTTTAAATGTACAGTGTACCAATCGCCAGTAGGCCTACTTAATTGCTCTTGATATAAGGGGTTCCATGTGATACTGAATTAAAAATTGATATTGGAAGAAGGGAAAAAAAGGGGGCTTGTCCGGGAGTCGAACCTGGAACCCTCTAGCAAGTTGCAAGTTTCTAACAGAAAGATAAATAGTAATGAAAATTCTAAAATAAGTAGTACATCCAATCTCCATTTTGATACGCTATCAGATAATTGATACAATTATATTTCATCATCTGTATAATGGATGTCTTTTCATGTAAAAATGGAAAATTGATGCGTTCCACTTGTAGTGTTTATTATGAGGCACCACACATATTTTTTGTAGCTGTATCACAAATTATGTTGTTCAGGTCAGTGATACACTAAAGAGTAAAGACTGTTAATTCATTATTTTCCTCTCTAACTGAGCTGTATTATGGAAAAATATTGATGATCTTCCATTTCTTGTCTTCCATCATTTTTTGTGTTTTTCTTTGTTTACTTTGAATTTATGATTTATATGATAACGGTAGCCATTAGCCAATTAAAAAGAAATTGCTCGAAATCTCTCTATGTCCATATCTCATATCAACTAAAATCATGAATTTCTATAATCCTTCTTGTCTTATAGATGTAATTGTAACTATTTAACATTATATCCCTGTGTATTTTTCAGGAAAATAATTCACTTTTTACCATCTTCCATTTTCATCTCCAAAAAGCTATTTAATAAGATTGCATTTTCCCTTTCCCTTTCCCATGCAGATGGCAAACTGATGTTCAAGCAAGTTCCTCTGCTGGAGATCGATGGCAAGAATCTTATTGGGAGTGAGTGCGTTCTTCGCTATGTCTGCAACAAGGCTAAACTACAAGGGAAGTCAGATGACGACCAAACCAAGTAAGCAGTGGGAAGTGGGTTAATAGTTATAATTTTGACCCACATATATACGTACAGAGGAACCTTGTAATAAAGAATACTTACAGCAAATAGGGATGACTTTAGTAGTCCTGTATCGGATTGGTTTCTTCAGCCCATCGGCCTGATAATACTAGCCATAACACTAATCCTAACCTCAAAACCCTCATTGTCATAAAAATCTGTCCCAATTTTTATGATGTTACATGCCATATTTAGGAGCATTTGAAGAGCCATGTTTTTCAGGGAACATTTTTTATCTGATGTTCTTCGATCACACTTGCATGATACAATGATAGCGCTCACAAATTATTGTTCAGCTCTTCCCAGAACTCAACCTTCTCTTTAAGAGCAGTGAGAACTAAATATCTTATACTTCCCAATGATCTAAGCCACCATGCCTTAAGAGGATTTTTTTTTTTTTTTTTCTTCAAAGTACAGTTATAGATTTTCACAAAAATCCAAAACTTATATTTTCATATTAAACAACCTACAAAAGGGTCATTATTTCTCTTTTGTATACCAGTACTCATGCTTTCTGAAAGTTTCACTAGAATGTTCATAATTTTCTCACAGTTTCCAACCTAGCCTAATTTTCTATGAAAAGTCTATTCCCATTGAGCATTTCTTTAAATTGTATCGTTTTAGGATTGAGATGCTGTCGATGGGAGCCAAGGACATGCTGAATGCAGGATTCAGTGGTGCTAAGTTTGAGGCAACGTCGGAGAAGGAAGAAGAGATGTTGCAGAGTGCAGCCAAGCAGTGCAAGGATAGGTACCTACCAGTCTTCGAAAAAGTGAGTTTGTACAAGGAAACTTAGTTCCAGGGGGGTGTTTCACAAAGATCTTAAGTCGAACTTAACTCTAAGTTGGACTTAAACATTACCGAGAGCCATTTGTAGCCTTACGGTAATATAAAATATAAAGTATAAAGTATTTAGTCTTTTCATAAATTCCACATCAAGAACATGAAATCTCCTTGAAAATAGAAATAAGTTTTACAAAATATTTTCAAAGCTGCTAACAGCTTTTCATAATTGTTATATTCCACCTTGAGAGATAAGTTCAACTTAGGATCTTTGTGAAACATCCCCTGTTTAGCAGGGAATGTGATGTGTAACTGCCAATCATCCCGTTCTTTGGAGGAATGATTCTTAGTTTTGGGCCTTCAAACTTTTGTTATGAACCTTAGATTCCTCTCTCCTTCTGGATAGTTGTGTGTAAAACTGTATTTCTGTGTTATTTATTTGCATGCAGGTTTTGGGCGAGAATAAGTCTGGGTTCCTTGTCGGAGATTCGCTCACCATGGCTGACCTCATGTTCTTTGACGGTCTCAGCTTCGTGAACGAGATCCCCCAGGTCAAGCCGTTGTTAGATGAATTTCCAAACTGCAAGGTAGGTTGAAGAACTTCACCCTTTGACCCCTGGGTCATTGCATTCCCATAGGTTTACCCATAGCATTTCAGAGCTGTATATAGGTCTGAATAAATTGGTTTTGCTCTTCAAATTGGCAACAGTTATTTATATTTCCCACTCTTTCACAGTTTAAAAAATATAGGCATGTATATGATATGAAATATTGTGAGTGAAAATTACGACAACAAAACACAAGAAATTGTCAATTTATACACAGAACCTGGTATAAAACGGGTTTTGATAATAAAGGGTAATTTCCCCTTTCCTAAGGACTTTGTAACAACAAAGTTCATGTGTCCAAGTAGTTCTGAGTAAAGCTATACATTGCTGCATGTCTCTTATTTTGGTTCAAGAATAAACTTACAAACTTCCAGTCATCATTAGAGCCAATGATATCACAGAATCTCATGGATTTGTGTATTGTTCCTTCTGAAGTATGTAATGGTTCCATATTCCTACCACAGAAAACTTGTAACAATTCCATTTGTTGTCTGATAGAGATATTAGAAATAGGATAGTTTACGTCATGTTATATATTGATCAAAAATATTTGGAAATCGTCTATATAACTGTACTGCCCATTTATTTAAGATCAGTGCTGGGGTGGGGATGCATGGGTCATTAAATCAGTCTTTTTTGTTCTTTCTCTTTTTGTGGCACAGGCCTTCATCGTCCATTTCTCCAGTCAGCCAGGAATTAAAGATTACCTTGCCAGCCCCAGGCGCCACCCTCCTCCCAACGATGAGTATGTGCAGGGTGTCCGGAAAGTCCTGATTCCACCAAGCTCCTAATGCATGTTGTGTGCTAGGCAAGTTTGACAATCACAATGGATCCATCTCATATTCACTGCCTTTCAGCAACAAGCAATCTATGTTCAGGGTTTCAGTGAAAAAAATACACGGGGGCTCGGGCGAGATAGCCCCCGAAAAGCCCAAAAGATCCCCCAAAAATGATAAAAAAGCCCTGTAAATTTGCATAGAGTTCAATGCAAAACAAATTTTAGAATGTTAGTTCCATGCAGGCAAGCTTGAAAAGTAGTGTCGAATGTTAAAGGGTAATCCAACCTTAGAGGTATAGACCAGTTTTTGAAATGCCCCCCTCTCAAAAAATGAAATGGAAGCTCTTATTACCAATCATGTGAAAGAATATGTTTTGACTAATAAGTGATGATGCAAATTTTGCCAGGAAACCGCCTACTAATTGATATATTTGGTGAATTATCATATCGATCCGGCCTTGATAGATATCGCAAAGTTTGAATTAAATCAGACCGGTAATACGATGAGAGAGTTATGAAAATTTGAAATGTGAGATCACTAAATCTATGCAATTTTCAAATGGGCAATGTGGTCAACTGAATGGATTATGCCATAATCATGGATCACTTCCCCGTTTGTTGAGTAAAAACAAAATTCATTTGTTTCTGTTTTTCTTCTAAGTGCCTTCTCCTTTGGGGTACTACACAAAATATAATATGGACAGCATAATATCATAGGTTTTCCAAAAAGAAGAAAATAAACCCTCCTGAATCGTACATTTTGAAAAAAATAAAAGTTTTCCGGTACTACATCGCAGTAACATTACTGATTAGTGAATACAACTTTCAAAATATACAACTTTCAAAATATACAACTTTCAAAATGTATAACTTTCTGATTTCTTTTAGAATAGTTTTCTATTAATTAAGGTGGGATTTTCCTTCAAGTCTCTATATAAGAGACTAGTTGTAATGAGTGTCACCGAGGTGTAATGAGGCTATTATGATAGTTCTGGAAGTGGTCCAAGTATATGGTCAATGTGGCTGTTTTTTTTATACCTTCTGAAATCGTATATGTATGTTTTGCCTATTGGAAATGATTGTAAATCCATGTTTTCATATATAGGTTTTCCAAAGACAAAAAGTACATCTGCCAAAATAAAACACAATGTTCAGTACTTATCCATCATCATATTCCACAGTATTTGTTAATTGTTATCATTTTAAATCCTTAATCATGTACATGTATATCTGTTTGTAACTTCAAAAGCATGCAGCTGTATGAGACTTTAATAAAGAAACAAATAAACAATTCAATTTATCCAGCATGTCTGGTAGTTATCTTTTGTCTTTTGTTTCTATGGAAGAGAATCTCCTTTTTTTTGTCGCCCACATACAGGTAACCACTAAGTTATTCATACCTTTACCAAGTTTTGTAATTTTTAAAGTATGTGAAAAATTCTTGATATTCTTGTTTCTTGATAAAAGTCTACACGTATTCAACAAAGGCCCTAATTCAATTCAACTAACTTTCATTCTGGAGTTACGAAAAACAAAAAAACACATCAAATTTACAAGGGGTATGAATAATTTAGTTGTTACTTATAAGATGGGTAGAAGAATCCCTGCAATCTGATTGGTCAATTACCATGTAATTATTTTTACTGGACGCACGCGATATCGGCGATCGATACCACCGATATCCTTTTTTTAAAAAATTCTCATTTTAATTTTTTTTTTCTTTAGTTACTTTTATTGTAAAGTTAAAGATATTTGAATAAAATCAGTGAAAATTTGAACATATTCGGGCAAGGAATAAGGAAGTTAAAGCTTTTTGAAATGACTAGTCACTAGAGGGTGATATTCAATTTGATGCATCATCTTTGGACAACTCTCCATGCCTTTTGTACATACAATTTCATGTTTTTCCTTCTTTCTTGTGATTGAGATAATCTACTCCCCTGAAAGCAAGGTATAGAATGCAAAATTATATTCTACTTCACATATTATGAGGTCGGATCAAGAACACAAATAAATATGAAGAAAACAAACAAATTGTGAAATTCTATGTACAAAAGGCATGGAGAGTTGTCCACAGATGATGTCATCAAATTGAATATCGCCCTCTAGTGACAAGTCATTTCAAAGAGCTTACTTCCTTATTCCTTGCCCCATGATTTCTTTCAAATTTTCACTGATTTTATTCAAATATTTTAAACATAACAATAAAAGTAACTTAGTATGAAGGTTTTGGTTCCCTTTAATAATTTTTTTTTTTAATGATTTTTTTGGTGATAATTATTTGTTTTTCGTGTTTTTTGATAATTATAATTATTTTTTAATTTCATGATAAGTTAAAAATCATGCGTCCGGTAAAAAAATCATGCGTCCGGTAATTACCGGACGCGTGATTTTGCCATGCATCCAATAAATCTGTAAAATAACAAAATTTTGTATTTTTGACAATTTTGGGGGCCACATCTTATAAAACAGATGATGCACTGGTTTAATTCGTGGGTCTGTGGAATTGTGTGCACACGGTACCTTTGAATTTGGTCTAAAACCATTCAAAGGTACCTTGTGCACACAATCTCTACCGACGCACTCAAACCTGTGCATCATTTATATACTGTATTATGTTGAATGGATGGAAGTTTGCTATTGTCAAATATTCTGCTGAAGGAGCACCAAAAACAAGAACAAGAACAGCAACAACAAATCCTTTGGGGATCAGAAATTCAATGTACTTACTGATATGTATCTTTTTTTTTCTGACAAGAATTTTTTTGAGGGTGCCTACTAGAGAGGATCGAGTTTGTTCATCAATCATCCCCTGATACAAATAGGGGTTCTTTTTTCTTCTCCATGACTTAAAATGCCCTGTTCAGATATGACGGGGCAAAATTGTGCTGTTAAAAAAAAATGGTGATGTTAAGTGCAATTTGCTTCATACTTCTGTATCTTATAATACAGAGCTCCGTGAATTTGCCCAGGAACCTTGTGTGCAGTTGCCATTAACTTATTGCGGCATTTTACCGCGTCATACTCATTTCTGAACTAGCATCTGAAGCACATGTGTTCCTCAGCTTTTATTTAGCATTCCTACAATTACAGTGCTGTAAGCTAGCGTTTCAACCATTGACTTCACCTGGGTCGAGTGTGGCAAACGTAGATTAATGTCTTGCCAAAGGACATCGGAGCAGTGGCAGGGTTTTGAACCCCGTATCTTGTGATCCGCAATCTGGTGACTTATCCATTAGACCACAACACAATGATATCAACCTTTTTTTTTGTAAACAGTTTCTTTTATTTCTTCCAAAGATAAATATACGTCATGAGAGGATATTATCTTTTAATTATTTCAGGTAATTACCAAAACAATTACTTTTCACTGTATTGCCTAACGTGCTGCAAATATAGACTGTAAAGTAATGAAGTTAAGTACAGAGCATTTACCAATTTTGACAGAAATGGCTTACAATTGCTTGGTGAACTAGATTCGTGAAAATGCATCACAAATTAAGAGATATATATGATTCAAGTTTCAACACATTTTGCTAGCTTGATTTCAAAGTGGGATTTTTTTTATAGACAGAATCATACTATTGAATTTAGGCAAGACTTTGATTACAAACAGAAGCCCGAAATGTCTCAACACCAAATTCACGGAAAATGTTAATTCTTTGAAGAAACTTGATGCTAATCGATTAGAAATCATAAAGTGATTTGACTTTTAAAGTGAGCGTGATTGTAATTTTATATAAAAACATTATTTGAAAAACAAATGAAATACACAAAAGTGATGCAAACACCTAGCCAGCTCAACTTTTCAAAGCATTTAATTATAAAACATGCAAAACATATGTTATTGAACTTAGTTTAATTGCGCAAACAGTATCTGCGCCTATTTTTCTTTACAGAGAAATGTTCCTTCAGCAAAATAATGTACGTGTACAACATCGAAGTATAGAGAAGTATGCGAAGGCCTGAATGCTTAAAAACCTCTTTAATCACAAATAAACGAGAAAAAAAAATTACACACACACAAAAAAAAATCAAAAATCGAGGAAACCTTAAACCGCCGAGTTTTTATGTAGAAAAAAAAATTAACTACCAAGTAGTTGTCGACCGCCATGACGATTACCAGTCCAGCACCAGGTTGACCACCCGTACATACTCATCGTCGGGAGGTGCATGACGTCTGGGGCTGTTAAGGTACTCCTTAAGCCCCGGTTGGTTGGAAAAGTGTTTGATGTATGCCTGTGTGACCAGAAAACAAACAGACAGGGTCCGGTTTCATAAAACATATTATTGATAATAATTGATATTTTATAAACTACTGAAATATGGGCATTTATAATAATAATACAATGTACATGTAATAATAATACATCTTGTTTACCTAGGGTAGCCTCATCAGTATTTATACTTTTCTCCGCTAGGGCCCTGCAATCATATTTGATTTGCTATATCAAAGCAGATTGCCAGTGATCTTTGGTAGTTATTGAAAACATGTTTTATGAATCAGGGCCCAGAATCTGTAATACTGATTAAAATCTCCAATTGCTATCAGGGTCATTTCAACAAGCATGGAAGCAAGGTAAGGAGGGGGAGGGGGGGGGGGGGCAGAAGTAGTTATTACCGATTTTCTGATAGCCAATTTATCATCAGAAATGTTGAATGGGAGGGTGTTAAACAGGCCTCTAATGAACCCCTCAGTTATTTCCGACCAAATGGCATTCCTCGCTGCCCGAATATGAGGTGATGATTGAACGAATTTTATATTTTATCATTATTTTCAATAATCGGAAGGGGGTTGCATCCTTCAAAACCCCCTCGCCCACTTCGAGTTCGTACGCCTGCCCAATCACATACCTTGAGGTTCGGGAAGTCATCTAGCAATGGTTTGATGTTAGGGATCTCGTTCACGTAGCTGAGACCATCAAAGACCATGAAGTCAGCCATGGTGAGCGAATCTCCTACTAGGAATCCAGACTTACTCTCACCCAAGACCTGGATGGAAAAAAAATTAAAAAATTAAATAAAAATTCTACCGCCTTTGAAAAGTGCTGTTCATGATCCATCAGCTAGTAGTTAGAGGTTGCTTTTGTTATTTTGTTGGTGTTCCAGTTCAACTTGATAAAGATAAAGATGACAGACAACCTTAGTAAGGCGTAAAAAAAAGATGTTGTATTGCCCTTTACGACCAACCCGAAAATCTTGAAATGTACGGTGGGCTTTTCTTTTTTTTTTTTTTTTTTTACCGCTCTTTAAAAGAAAAAATGTATCAAAGCATTCAAAACTGAGAAATATCAGCCCAAAGAGGAAGAGAGAAAAAAAAGTAACCCCCCCCCCCCCAAAAAAAAGGTACCAAAATATATAGCCGGGGATACTCGTTTTCCCCAAGATTAAAAATTATCCAAGGCTCATTATTACTGAGGTTTGAACATCTAAACACGATGCAGGGTTCTATTTCATCTGTGGAATTACAAAACCCTTTTCAATTTTCGGAATTATAAATAATTTTTTCATTTTCGGAATTGTGAACCATATATATTATTAGCCTTCAGGGTAACAATACCTTCGAGAAAAAAAAAAGAAAAACAAAATCAGAAAAAGGATCTCCAAATGTTATCACTGAAGTTAGATAACTCTTATCATTTCAAATTCTTATCATTTCAAATTCATTCAAAGACCAATATCAGTAGTGCTTCAAAACTGGTATGTAGCTATCCAACTATACACAATTGAAAGAACTGTGTTTGCAACAGTGCTTTATGAAACTCTGAAACTGTATTTTAAGAACATGAAAAGAGCACCCGGCCCCTCACGCACACAATTATGAAAACTTTCCACAAATCTAGAGATTCTACCTTTGACCCGGAAACCAGACTGCCTGGAATGACTGCATTTTCCAGTAGATCCCGTAGTATAAGGTAATAAGGTAATAATGTGTTTATAACCTTCGCCGGTCATTCCCAAAGAAACTTCCGGAATTTTTAGGCCTAGTATACAAGGAATTTTCCGATATACGTATACCTTTTGCACAGAGTTTCAATTTATATCAAGTTGCGATCGATTTGAATAAGTCTCGACTGTTATACCCGTATTTATATTAAAGACAGGACCTAGGTTTTCTCTGAAGAAAAAGATAACTAATCCCGTGTTTGCAATTTTAATTGCACTATGCTCATGTGGCATATACCTTTTCGAAGACTGGAAAATATCTGTTCTTGCATTGTTTGACGGCACCTTGTAGCATCGCTTCTTGTTCCTCCCGTGTTTTCTGGAACTGGGCGGCGGAGAATCCTGATTTTAGCATGTCCCTCGCCCCCAAGCATAACATCTCAAGTCTGGAAAGGTTAAGAAATGATTATTAAAAATGAAAATCTTATAACAATAATAAAGTAATAATAATAATAATAATGATCATGACAGTATAAATAATGATAATATGATAATAATAATAATAAGAAGGATAATGACAACTATGATAATACTAATTATTATTATCAATATGTCGATTAATAGTTTGCCAAAGTACGTACATGTAAAGTGCCTGGTATAATTCGAACCCTCAACACTTGGACTGCGAGTCAAATGAATGAACCACTTTATTTATCACGACACTTCATTGATTTATGAAAGGGTGGAATGTGTTTATCAACTTGCCATGTAATCTCATTAAGAATGCATAATATTGTCATAAATTAAGTCGATTTTAAAAGGGAGAGACAAATCTATAAAAAAAAAAAAAAAAAAGCAGAGCTTTAATTTGTGTTGATAACTCTAAAAAGAAAGAGAGAAAAAGAAGGAAAAAAAAAGATTAACAGAATCCACATATGCACTGCATTAAACAAGAAAGATGCTCATTGTTTATCAAGATCTTTTAAAAACTCAAGTAATGTGCTGAGGAGCTCTAAATCTTTGTTTGGAATGACTTGCTTTTAATATAGAAAATGCCAGGACTTGAGATTTTACACAAACCCTTGTGTATGTGTTTGTGTGTACATTCAACTCCCAGATAACTTGATAGAAAAACACAACAAAATAAATTTGTTTGAAGAAAAGGGAAGTGAGTGACCTGTAAAGAAGGAAGTAAAAGGAGGAGAAAGAGCCCTGGTTTCCAAACGATCATACCTGCTACTGAAATAGGACAGTTTCACTATTAGTTAACTGTGTCAGGTTACAACAAGAACTGGATAGAATTGTCTACAGTGGCGTATTGGGGGGGGGGGGGTAAGGATGGTCATCTCCCCCCCCCCCCCGGGCGGCCCTTGAAGGGGGCCCCAAAAAAACTCAGAATTGAGGAGGAGGGTGACGCAAATGAGAGAAAGAGAAAGGGCAGAAAAAGTAGAAAGGCCACAATCCTGAAAGCTTATGCACCCCAATCATGGCACTATACGAAGGGTAAATTTTTATCAAAAATACAGATTTTGAGGGTTAAAGATGGGAGAATTTTCTAAAGATCGGTCGCTTTGCTCTCCCGCAAGTGTTGATTCGGATCTCGTAATTTCGCGCTGCGATATTAATTTTAGCTTTATTAACGGCGTTTTTAAAGGGTAAGAAAAATGTCGCATTTGGAAAGTTCAGCATTTGAAAGAAGGCTCAGCTTTCTGTTCCTTTGCTATATTCTTTTGCTATATTTCTCCAGAGAGTTCGTTAATGTTGCGACCCAGTTGAAGTGGAGTGGAATAGAAATCCGATTATGGTCATAATTCGCAACTTCAATGTTATGTTGCTGTCATATAGAGGTACGAGCAGTGGAGGGGGGGGGGGAGCTAGGGGCTCCTTAAGGATTTTTAGAGTTCCAGTACTCGGATAACCATCAACTCATAATTTGAATAGCGACGTGCCCAATATCCTCATATTTGGGTGCCTGACAGCATTGTAATTGTATTCGGGCAGCAATGTGCCCAAATCTACTTTATCTATGCTAATGAATTTTGAGGATGGAAATAAAAAAAATTAAAAGTTTTAATTTTTGCTCGGTCGATTCGCTCACTCGCAAAATTTAAAAACAGGATTATTCTTGGCAAAGGGATTCCTAAATATCATCATATTCGGCAGCGTGTAGTTTGATGACGAAGTAATGTCTTTACTACAGTGAAAGTGTCTTTATTCACTCGCTTGCACAGCTATGGTTATGGAGATAAGTTTTGGGGTGGGTTGAAGCAGATTGAATGCAGCTAGGGCCGGAGACAAGATTTTGTCCTTGTAATACTTAAAGAGAATGTTGAGTTCTGGGAAGAGGTGAAAAATAATTCGTGAGCGATATCATTAAGTGTGGAAGAACACCAGATACAAAAATATTCCCTGAAAAGCATGGCATGTAACATATACATCTTTCTGTGTACACAGTGCTGATAACTTACCAATACTGGGCCAAATTTCTTATCAGTTAGATGACTCCAGAACCGGGAGCGCCAGGAGGGTCAAATCTGACTGACATGAGCGCCATACAAGAACCCACTATTATTATTATTATTAATACTTATATGCTAGATGATCAACCTTTTGATCGATTCCATACCGTTTCTTTCACAATGCAATCACATGACAAGCTAGGGGTGTTTCACAAAATTTGTCATCAGTGTCAAATGACAGTTTTTGTTATAAGCTACTGAAGCCTTTGCTTGTGATTGGTTATCAGCAGATTTGTCACTGATTTTTTGTCATTTGTCATTGAAAAAAGGCTTTGTGAAACGGGTCCCTGAACTCAACTTTATCTTTAAATACAATTTTTTAGTCATGCTCACTTGACTTGGTCCTTGTCAGATTTTGCTTGGAAGTTGTATTTGTTGCAGACATAGCGAAGAATGACCTCACTCCCAGTTAGATTCTGGCCATCCATCTCCAACAGAGGAACTTGCTTGAACAAAAGTTTATCATCTGCACGGGAAATGAAGAAAAATAACAAATCATAACGATGCAGAATATGGACTGCATTAAAAGGAAGAGAAAAGGGGAAGAGAATATGGGAGAGCAAGCGTGTGATGGGTTTCATAGGAAGATATAACAAATGACGATAATGGATAAACGATGAAACGGAAAGGAGAAGGAAAATGGGAGGCCAGATTTATGTAAACGTTAAGAAGGGAAAATGGTCACAAAGAGGGGAAGTATAATCGGTAATATTCCCCCGCGTAATTTGCTACTCGAATAAATTTCCAGATTTTCACATTTTGTTTGTTTAAATGGGATATAAAATTTATAGTTTGATGTTATGCATATAACATCAAACTATTCCAAAATTCTCACTCGTGAAAACCATGGATAATTATGAGGTGAAAAAGATATCAATGGAATGATGACGCTGAAGCACATGTATTAAAGCATTAAAAACTGAGAAATATCAGCTAAAAGAGGGCGGGAAAAAGAAAAAAAAACAACATTCAAATCTGAAAATATCGGCCCAAAGAGGGTGACAAAAAAAAAGTTGGAAAAAAAATACAACAAGTTTTTATTTAATGGCTCGGTAAAAGATTCAAGCAAACAGTGATTAAATCAAGTCTTACATGAAGGAGCTTTGGTTGCTTTTTTTCTCTTCAAAATGGAGAGAAAGTATGCAGATCTATTTTGTATACTTCATCGACATATCCATCAATGTTTTGTTCGAAATTAACGTAATAAAATAATGAAAGAAATAATGAAAAATTTCATTAGAATAGCTGTAACAAAACAAACAAGACTTATCGTAATTCATCAACTAGAATGCTGTTTCTTATATTTAAGTATCCATAAATTCACCTGTACTATATTATTAATGTGTACTAAATGTTCTTGGTTTATAATTTATTGCTATATTCCCTCACGGTGACGAATTTATGGGAGGAATACTTCCCAGGTAGTGGGAATGGTGAATGAACCCGGGGATCGGGGTTTATGATAATATCTGTAAACATCATAAAGACGTTATTCCGTATTAAACGCTATCTACATAGATTGGTGTATATTTGTTATGACTCGCTACAGAACGTAACATACAAGCTTTCCTTCTTAATATGATCCTTATATTTCACATCATTGTTTTGTCTATGTTACATGTTTATCATTGTTTTATTATGCATTCTTTTGTTCAATTTTGTTTTGTTTTTTGGAGACAATCTTGTAATGTGGAATGCGGAACAAAAATACAAAACAAAAAGACAAAACAAAATAAAGAGACAAAACAAATAACAGATCGATTACTCGTGATCAAATGAAATAAAAGTGTCAGGTGTCTTACCTGTGATCAACTGTAAGAATTCTTCTCTGGATTGGAGGTAAATTTCATCATACTGTAAACAAACAAACAAACAAACACAAATGGATTAGACGCTTATTTCTTCAACAATAGGGCAATATAAGCTTGATTAACTTTTACTTGTTGCTTCAGGTTCTCTTTATATTTGCGTATAAAAAAGTCTATCCAACTTTGGTAGCTTCTAATTAAAAAGTTATAACCTACACGTGCTCTTGAATCATATTTTATTGTAAAAAAGAACTAATACCCTGTCCAATGGTACCATTTTCATAAGTGTGCTTGCTGCCAAGGATGACTGAACAGCAGGCTTTTCAAAAAGCATTGTCAAAATCCTCTTGTACCAAGTTTGTGCTGAAGCAAAGAATGTGGGTCAAAAGCCATTATGTGTGTGTTATCACATTCCAAAACTATTGCTCCGTGTACATTGACTATTATTAGGCAGTTCATAAAAAAGGTGTTAATATCAACTCAAACTCAAGGAAATGCTTATTACAAACACAGTTTATGATATTCTCTTCTTTATGATGATAACAATCTTGACTTCATTCGCATCCCTTGTTTAAGGTAACCTTTTTATTGAGTGATACAAAGGGATAAAGTTTATTTGGGATGCTATCTTTTTTTAATGAAAGTCTGTCAATTTCTTTGATATTTATCATTTTATGTTTTCTTTCTTGCATTTTGGTTTAGTAACTTTTGAGTTTGCATTCGCTATTCGAGATAGACACCTTATCATTAGACTGAAATTAAGTTACTCTTTGCCCCCCCCCAAAAAAAAAAACACTCCGGGGTCGGAATGACCGCATGCGTGTTACCAAAATGTCCGGTAAAGGGGTAATTTTCACGCACCAAAGTCCGGCTAGTAGTACACAAAATTGACTTAACACCCCGGACTTAGGGGGTGTTTTCAAAAGGAGGGAACACGCATAATTATATGCGTACCCTAAATAACACTGAGTGGGGGGGGGGGGGCGGGGGTTACTCTTCATCATATGTAAATTCCAAAGTCATATTGGTTATGACTATCCAACGAAAAGCCACCAAAGTTGGGTACACCTTTTTTGTGATACGCACTGTATATGAGGCTTTCTAGTTCATTTGACTGTCCTTCTGTAGCCAACAGCAAACCTAGAAATTATCTTTCCGTTGACGTTTTTTAGTGGATGTGAGATCCCATTTTGTCTCCGTAAAATTTCAGCCTTGTCGACGAAAAAACCCACAACAGTGGGCAATTTCTATGATTTGCATACATCTGAAATAGGATCACAAATCCACACACGCAAAAATCTTCAACGGAAAGAACTTATGTCATAAAGTCGAATACTTGTAGAATATAAACACCAAATCAAAAATCATCAATCAGATAAGTACGAGATTAAGCATTTAGAAGTTTTATGCGTTTACATGTAACGTGTTTTTTTGCACGATTATATTGTTCGAGTACCGCCGCCGCCGCTGGCACACCAATGCAATGTCATTTGCCAAGACATTTGCCTCCCTCAGCCTAGGGGTAGTAAATGTGCATAGTAAGTAATTCTTTGAATGTTTCAGCGCTGTAGAGTAGCTTGAATAAAGCTAGGGTATTAGTAGTTCTTTGTTGAGTCCTCTTTCGATCATTCCCTGGATTGGATATGAGCGCGATATACATGTATCTATTATTATTACAATTATTATTCATACTTTTGTTCCTTCTTATTATTAAAGGTAATACAAAGTTTTGGTATGGGGTCATGAATTTGGTTCAAATGAACATATTGGAAGCATATGCGATTTTACAACTTATTCAATGATCGTTGTCGCTGTTGAAATCGAGTTTAAAGTGATGAAAGGGTAAATAATAAAACTCTTTATGTTAGACAATTTGACAATGTTTCTTGACTACATCGACCAATTTGCTTTTTTCGTTTGGAAATTATATATCAGGACTGTATATTCTAGATTTTCATGGTCGCAGTTACAATAGAATGGCCTTGGGCGCTATTTAAAATATTTGAAATTTACCGGGAGCGCCGGTAAATTTTTGATTATTCCACTTCTCGAAAGCAGAATTATTTTAGGGGATACATTTTCTAGTGCTTATAATACATTTAAAGGTGCATCCAAATATATCAAAAATTAAAAGAATTACTATCCATCCAATTTTCAAAATTTCCCAAAACTTTGTATTACCTTTAAGATGCTAATTATGATGATCATGATGAAAACGGTGACGGAGTTTATGATGATGATGATGATGATTAATATTATTATTATTATTCTTATCAACATTACCATGATCATGATCTTCATATCATCATCATCGTTATCCTCATATTAACGACACGGTTACAGTCCTATACAATCACGTTTCAGTCTCTTCCTGATCTTTCAGATGTATATTTTATTTTCCTTTTCTTTCTAATTCTCTGAGCTCGTTCTCCATATATAGTTGTAGAGAGTGCAAACTGAATACAATATACACACATGCAATATATTTTTTTCGGGGGGGGGGGGAGTGAATGAATTAGGCTACCTACCCCACATGCAAGGTTAGATAGAACTTACTTCCACTTTAGCAGCATTCAAAGCCAAGCGGGTAACTTCTCCCAGTCCTCTGCCGGCGAAATAGGTAAAACGTGGCTTCACGGTAGACATGTTTTCCGGATTCCAACTTTCTGTACACTCTAGTCAGTCTCTCTGAGATAATGACTGTAAGGGATTAATAGAGGTAGCTCGCTCTCTGATATGTCGATCGTCATCGTGATATTGACACCGATGAAACGTAAATAATGGGATATTGACTTTGACCTTACACTTGTATTCAGGCAGCTAGGCAGGCGCGGGATAAGGATTTTGTAAAGAGGGACCCGGGGGATTTGGTGATGACAAGCACTTATGAATGTAGTTCTCTAACAATGAAAAAAAAAAGTCATGGCAATACTTCATTTGTCACGATTCCCCGCCCCTGGCAAGCAAAAGTTGTATATTACACGCATGTCACTTCGGTTTCAAACGAGAGGGAGGGGGGGGGGGGGGGGGGGGCATGGGTCGGTTGTGCCCCACCCCTGCTAAAATCCGCCATTGATTCAGGTGCGAAAAATAGACAATCCTCACCCAGCTAAGCTTCTTATGTTCATTGTATTCAACCTTTGCACAAATAATTTGTTAATGATGAACGAAAGGAGTTCCATGTGTTTTATGTCACTTCTATTCTTAGTATGGTAAAAGTAACGAAAATTGACATAATGATATAATACGTATATGCAGAGGCGGCCTTCCCGGGGGGGGGGGGCAGGGGGGGGCACAGTGCCCCCCACTTTTTCAGATACCCCAAAAGTGTCCCTTTTTAGATAGGAAAAGTGCCCCTTTTATTTTGTAAGAAGTGCCCCTTTTACATAGGAAAGGTGCCCCTTTTACTTTGACAAGTGCCCCTATTACTTAGTAAAAGTGCCCCTTCCCCCCTTTCACCTCTGACGAGTGCCCTTTTTATTTTTGACACGTGCCCTTTTTCCTTCGACATGTTCCCATTTTCCTTTGCAATAAGTGTCCATTTTCCATTCTCATCAATCTTGAAATTATCTTGAATAAGTGCCCTTTTTAATCTCTAGTAAGTGCCTCTTTTCAGGTACGAGAAGTGCCCCTTTTCACTTTTAATAAGTGCCCCCTTCACCTCTGATTATTGCCTTATTAAAAACTGAGAGGTGCTCCTTTTACTTTGACAACATCCCCTTTTTTCCTTTGTAAGAAATGCCCCTTCTCCTTTTAATAACTACCCCTTTTTTAAACTCGGATGAGCACACCTTTCATTTTAACATGTGCCCCTCTTATTTTCGAATAAGTGCCCCTTTTCCTTATGATAAGTGCCCCCATTAAAAAGAGAGAGCTCCTTCCCCTTCTCACAGCTACCCCTTTCCCTTTCTAATAAGTGTCCCTTTTCCTTATGATAAGTTCCCCCATTAAAAAGAAAGAGATCCTTCCCCTTCTCATAACTGCCCCTTTTAAAATTCTGAACAGTGCCCCCTTTTCATTCACAAAATGCACATTTTCCTTTATTATAAGTGCCCCTTTTACATTTTCATAAGTGCCCCTTTTCATATCTGGTCAGTGCCCCTTTCAACTCTGATAATTCCCCTTTTAATAATGATACGTGCCCCTTTTCCTTTCTAATAAGGGACCTATCCCCTTTTCACCTCTTATAAATGCCCCTATCAAAATCTGATGGGTGTCCCTTTTCCGTCAACAAATGCCTATTTCTCATTTTCGTAAACGCCTCTTTTTCATCACTGGTAAGTGCCTCTTTTCAGGTGAAACAAATGCCTCATTTTCACCCTTATAATTATCCTTTGTACTTTGACACGTGCTCCTTTTCTTTTCTAATAAGTGTCTTATCCCTTTCGATAATTGTCCCCTTTTCATGTAATCATTAAACGTGCCCCTTATTTAAAGCGACTAAGAGCAATTTCCCCCAAAGTTCGCTCGCTGCGCTCGCTCGCATTTAAAGATGATATAATTATGTTACTTATCAAAGGTCTTTTCAGTCTTCCGTTATGAGAATGTGCTTATAACCCCATCACGATTGGCTTTTTTCCTCTCTATAAGATGTAATTTTTCGCACTGCGACCTCACAGATCTTTAAATTTTTTCTCGCTCGCTTCGCTCGCTCGTAAATGCATATTCAGACATCACACCCAACTGTAAAGTATGATGCTTAAGCGATATCTTGTATGATGTATGAAGAGAAACAAATATTGAAATCATCCCTGATAATGTAAGCACAATGTAGGGGTATATACCAATGTTTAAAAATTTGTATATTTTCGCTTTGAGATTTCCCACTGTAGGTGCCCTTTTTTTTCCAGAAAGTGCCCTTTTTTGTTGGTGCCCCCCCCCCCCCACTTTGGAAGTCGCTCGGCCGCCCCTGCGTATATGTATCTTAGAAAATATATAGAAATCAAATTGAATTATATTATTCGCTGTTCGCTTAGTAGTATTTTAGGTCAGAAATATTTTTGTATTTTAGCTTCTTGGGATTATTTTCTTTATCACTGTCGGAAAACTATAACCCTTAACGGAAAATATTACTACCCTGTCACATACATATATTTATTGTAGCGACCTCCTGATGAATACTACTCCCACACAAAAGAGTGCAATCCATTTCTTCTTCATTATTTCGGACTATTTATTTCAAGGTCCACCAATAATTCACAATGAATTAGAGGTTTTCCCATACATTTAAACACTTTTAACAAATCAAATCGATTTCATAATTCTACATTCGATTTCGTCAAATCCTAGAAGCATCTGAAGCTAATGTGTATGTGTTATACCTTTGGCTTCTGCATCCCTGCAATTACAGTGCTGTAGTCTAGCATTTCAAGGAATGAAGTCCTGTCCGCTGCCATTGACTTCACCTGGGTCGAGTGTGGCAAATGTAGGTTAATGTCTTGCCAAAGGACATCGGAGCAGTGGCAGGGTTTTGAACCCCGTACCTTGTGATCTGCAATCTGGTGACTTATCCATTAGACCACAACACAATGATATCAACCTTTTTTTTTGTAAACAGTTTCTTTTATTTCTTTCCGAAGATAAATATACGTCGTGAGAGGATATTATCTTTCAAATATTTCAGGTAATTACCAAAACAATTACTTTTCACTGTATTGCCTAACATGCTGCAAATATAGACTGTAAAGTAATGAAGTTAAGTACAGAGCATTTATCAATTTAGACAGAAATGGCTTACAATTGCTTGGTGAACTAGATTCGTGAAAATGCATCACAAATTAAGAGATATATATGATTCAAGTTTCAACACATTTTGCTAGCTTGATTTTAAATTGGAAATTTTTTTATAGACAGAATCATACTATTGAATTTAGGCAAGACTTTGATTACAAACAGAAGACTGAAATGTCTGAATACCAAATTCACAGAAAATGTTAATTCTTTGAAGAAACTTGATGCTAATCGATTAGAAATCATAACAATATTTGATTTTTAAAATGGAACGTGATTGTATTTTTCTTTGATCGAATTTATGTTTTAAACATTATTTTGAAAAATCTTGTACGATATCCAAGGAAGTGATGAAAATCCCTAGACAGTTCACCTTTTCAAAGCATTTGATTACAAAATACCTATAAAACATGCAAAATATATGTAATTGAACTTAGTTTAATTGCACATAATTATGGTATCTGGGCTTACTTTTCTATCCAGAGGAAAATTTGTCCCTTCAGCAAAATCATGTACATGTATAACATGGAAGTATAAAGTATGCGAAGGCCTGAATGCTTAAAAAACCCTCTTTAATCACAAATAAAACAAACAATCAAAAATCAAGGAAACCTTAAACCAACATGAGTTTGGTGCCAAATGGAGAACAAAAATTAACTACCAAGTAGTTGTCGACCACCATGACGATCACCAGTCCAGCACTATTTTGACCACCCGTACTAACTCGTCATCGGGAGGTGGATGACGTCGGGGGCTAGAAAGGTACTCCTTAAGCCCCGGTTGGTTGGAAAAGTGTTCGATATATGCCTGTGTGATCAAACAAACAAACCGACAGGGTCCTCTTTCATGAAGCTTGTTATTAATAACAATTTACAATAACTGATACAAGCTACTGAAACCTGGGCATTTATAATAATAATATGTCTTGTTTACTCGGGGTAGCCTCATCAGTTTTCTCTGATAAGGCCCTGCAATCATATTTGATTTGCTATATCAAACCAGATTTCCAGTGATCTTTAATTGGCAGTTGTTGAAAGCCTGTTTTATGAAACGAGGCCCAGAATCTGTCTGACTAAAAATCTCCATTTTTTATCAGGGGCATTTCAACAGGTAAACAAGCAAGGTTAGGAGGGAGAGGGGATAGCCTTTAATAGTTCATTCCCAATTTACCATCAGAAATGTTGAATGAGAGGGTGTTACGCAAGCTTCTAATGACCCCTAATTCCCGACCAAATGACATTCCTCGCTGCCCGAATATGAGGTGATGATTGAACGAATATTATATTTTATCATTATTTTAAATAATCGGGAGGGGGTCCTTCAAAACCCCCTCGCCCACTTCGAGTTCGTACGCCTGCCCAATCACATACCTTGAGGTTCGGGAAGTCATCTAGCAACGGTTTGATTTTAGGGATCTCGTTCACGTAGCTGAGACCATCAAAGAACATAAAGTCAGCCATGGTAAGGGAATCTCCTACTAGGAATCCAGACTTACTCTCACCCAAGACCTGGATGAAGAAAACAAAAAGGGGAAAAGTGCTGTTCATGATCATCAAAGTTTGCTTTTGTTATTTTGTTGGTGTACAAGTTCAACTTGATGAAGATAAAAATTTGATGAGTAAACCTTAACAAGTGTACCACAGAGGTACCGAAATAAAACGCAGGGAATATTTGTCTTTCCTAAGATTCATAATTATTCGGGGCTCATTATTCCTGAGGTTCGTAATTCCGAACACGAGGCGGGGTTCTATTTCATCTTGGGAATATTACAAAACCCTTTTTAATTTCCAGAATTGTCAACCTTAGGTATTATTAGCCTTCAGGGAACAATACCCTCAAAAACGAGGGAAAAAAGAACAGAAGAAGACCGATCTCCAAATCTTATCGCTGAAGTGCAACCATCGAAGCACCAGATATTTCTTTTTGTCGGATAACTCGTATCATTTAAATTTATACAAAGATCACTACTAGAATATCAGTAGTGCTTCAAAACTACGGTATGTAGCTATCCAACTACACAACGGAAAGAACTGTGTTTGCAACAATGCTGTATGAAACTCTGAAACTGTGTTTTTAAAACATGTAAAGAGCACCCCCACATAAAATACTTCACGACCGTAACTTTCCACAAATCTAGATATTTTTTACCATTGACCTGGAAACCAGACTGCAGGAATTACTGCATTTCCAGTAGATCCCGTATTAATATAAGGTAAAGGTAATAATGTGTTATAACCTTCGCCAGTCATTTCCAAAGAAAGTTTCGGAATTGTTGGGCCTATTATGCAAGGAATTCCCCGATGTACGTATACCTTAATATAAATTTATAATAGAGCCAGGGCCCCATATGATCTATTCGTATTTTTCGTTTGTAGTATGAAGTTGCTATCGATTTAAATCAGTCTCAACTTTTTACGAGACAAGACCTAGACCTTCTTTGTAAAATGATTACTAATCCCGTGTATGTAATTTGTTTAAATTTATTTGTTACACATCTTTAAAAAGAAGGGTAACCTAATCAGCAAATAAATACTGGTTTTCGTTGGGGCCGTTCATAACGAAAACAAGTATATACATTTCAACAAATCAAAGTATAAATAAGATATAGAAAATTACAAAATATGACTTTAACAAAACAAAAAAGAATTGCAAACCAGGTTAGAAATAAACGGATTTGAACATAGAGAATAACAAAATGAGTAATATGATACAAATATGTAAATGCCATATATCCAAATTGAAGCAAACAGTAACAAATAAAAAAAGATCAACAACAGCAACAACAAACAAACAAGAGAAAACAAGATGAAGATATAATAAAATATATACAAAGAGGAGAGAAAGAAGAGTTATATTATACCATAATCATATTACAACGTGGATGTCTTTTGCCATTTATCGTTTAAATGGTTTCATATTTCTATAAATCAAATGCGTTCGTGTAATTTATTCCAGTTTGATGGGTCTGTGACTAGAAATGACTTCTGGTAAAAAGTCGTATGAGCATGTGACATCGTAACTAACATCTTATCTGTGCTCCTAGTTGTTCGAGATGATACTGCTTTTGATTTCACTATGCACATGATCCATTTACCTTTTCGAAGACTGGAAAGTATCTATTCTTGGATTGTTTGACAGCACCTTGTAGCATCGCTTCTTGTTCCTCGCGTGTTTTCTGGAACTGGGCGCCGGAGAGTCCTGATTTTAGCATATCCCTCGCCCCCATGCATAACATCTCAAGTCTGGAAAGGTTAAAAAATTATTATTAAAAATTAAAAACTTATAATAATAATAACACTATAATAATAATGATAATGATTAGAAAATAATGATAAGGATGATAATAATAACAATGATTATAATGATTATGATATCAATGGTAAAGATTATAATGATAATTATAATAATAATGATAATATCTCCATAGTAATGATAACAATAATGATAATAACATTAAAGACAACAATTATACTATTAATTATTTTTATCAATCTGTGGGTTAATAATTTGCCAAAGTACATGTGCCGGGTATAATTCGAACCCTCAACACTTGGAATGCGAGTCAAATAAATGAACCACTATATCACGACACCTCAATGATTTATGAAAGTGAAAAGATTTAATTTATGCATAATGTTGTCATAAATCATGTCGATTTTAAAAGGGAATGAGAAATCCACTAAAAAGCAGAGCTTTCATTTGTGTTGATAACTCTTAAAAGAAAGAAAGAAAGACAAAAAAGAATATTAACAAAATCCATAGTATACATCCACTGCATGAAACAAGAAAAAATATTAATTGTTTATTCAAATCTTTCAATAATTAAAGTAGATATTCATTGATTTTAAAAACTAACTTTATTTTCATTATTGCAAAGTTGAAACTTTGATTCGACAAGGTTATCAAAATTCAATGCTTGGAAACAGGGGAGTCGATTGGTATCCGTGGTTGGGGGGATGATAGGTGCCAAAATATTTTCGGCAATGGATCAAAGCAACCAAGAGGTAGAAGCGTGTGGCAGGTTGCACCCCCTCCCTTCCAACTTCTTAACTTTTTCAAGTCACCCTCAATAAAGATATTATTTCAGAGAATATAAGAGTGGTAATAAAATTAATAACATGCTAAATGTTAGTCCTGACTCTCGCCTGCAGTGTAGGCCTACCAGACTGATATCATCTATTTTTAAACGAAATTTAGACATTACCCCCAAAAAAATCCAATGGTGAGGGATATCAACTTTTGAAAGTATTATGTTACCAGTGGGCAAATGCATTAATAAGCAACCAGGAACGGTTCATGTAGACAGAAAATTCTTTATTTCCTGGTGATAGAAACATACATTTTATGAATATTGATGTCTCCAAACAACATTCATCGTGAAAAACCCTTTCCAATATTCTGTGTAAGGAGATCTCAAAAAACATAGTTATCATTAGTAAATGAAAAACATATTGCTTTTGGTTCTTCATTTGACCCTCTTCCTTTTTTAATGAAACCAATCGAATTCTCTCTGCGGGAAACTCAATTTAATGAAACAGAATATCACTGATGCAAAATTTGGTTCTCAAAATGACAGAAAACTTCCACTCCTGGGGGGCGTTTCACAAAACTTGTCATCAGTGACAAATGACAGTTTTTGTTATAAGCTACTGAAATCCTTGCTTTTGATTGGTTATCAGCAGATTTGATTTTTTGTCATTTGTCATTGAAAGAAGGCTATGTGAAACGGGTCCCTGATCTCATACAAACTGTCCGTTTCTTAAAAACATAATATAAAACTTACGTTCAAACTACCAAACAACAAACTTCCATAATCTCCTTCTTCACACTGATATGCTTAGCATACCAGATACGCTCTGAAATATAAGCATAATATTCCCCTAAGGCCCTGACCAGAGCACTATTTTTTTCTTCAAAAACTAAACCAGTCTTAATTATTGGAAGGGTGTTTAAAACAAAACTTCAAACATTCTAACCTTCAAAAACATCTGAACTATCTTATGTCTGTTACGTTTGAATACAATACATAGGCCTACATCAGCTTTTCAATAAAACACAAATAAGTAGGAGCCCTGGTTTCAAAACAATCATATCTGCTAATTAGGACAGTTTCAATATTAGTTTACTGTGTCGAGGTTACAACAAGAACTGGATAGAATTGTCTACATAGTGGCGTATCTTAGGGATGAGGGACAGGAGGTCATCTGCCCCCCGGGCGGCCCTTGAAGGGGGCCCTACAAAACGCAGAAGAGAGTGGGAGAAAAAAATTGACGCAAAAGAGAGAAAGAGAAAGGGCAGAAAAGTTAGAAAGATTATTCGCCCCAATCATGCCAATACAGGGGTAAGTTTAATTATAAAATCCAGATTTTGAGGGTTAAAGATGTGAACATTTTCTAAAGATCGGTCGCTTGGCTCTCTCGCTAATGTTGATTCTGGATCTCGTAATTTCGCGTCGCAATATGAATTCTAGCTCATGAATAGCGTTTTTAAAGGGTTAGACAAATGTAACATTTAAGAAAGTTCAGCATTTGAAAGAGATCTCAGCTTTCTGTATACTTTGCTACATTCTTTTGCTATATTTCTCCAGAGAGTTCGTTAGTGTTGCGCTCCATTAATTTGAAGTAGAATGGAATAGAAAGCCGATTATGGTCATAATTCGCAACTCCAATGTTATGTTGCAGTCATAGGGGTACGAGCTGTGGAAGGGGAGTGGCTATAGGGCTCACGGAGGATTTTAGAAGTCCAATATTCGAACAACCATATCACCTCATATTTGAGTAGCGGCGTGTCAAAGTATCCTCATAATATTTAGGTGCCTGAATATCATTGTATTCGGGCAGCAATGTGCCCAAATATACTTTATCTAAGCTAATGAAATTTGAAGATGGAAATAAAGAAATCAAAGTTTTCATTTTCGATCGCTCACAAAATCTAAAAACAAAATTATACTTGGTAACGGGATTCCTGAAAATCGTCATATTCGGCAGCGTGTAGTTTGATGACGAAGAAAATATTATATGTCATTTGTTATTTATCACAGTAAAGGTGTCTTTATTCGGCCGGTCGCTTGCACAACTATGGTTATGAAGATAAGTTTGGGATGGGGGGGATACCTAGATACGCCATTGATTGCAATTCATATGTCCGGGCTCATGCGAAAGGATGTATTAAAAGAAACGATGCCGGGTCATGGTTTGAAAGGATTGAATGCAGGGCTGGAGACAAGATTTTTGTCCTTGTAATACTTAAAGACCGTCACCACTACTGGGCCAGAAGGGATTAGACCACACAGAGAGCCATCGAGGTCACTGTGACAGGTGGCTATCTCATTAACTCAGCTCTCATTTAACATAAGAAAAAGAGGATCAAGGGGGACCAACAGGCACCGATTGGGGAAGTTTTCTATATAGAGGGAGCAAGTAGCTACAAGTATGGCAGTGTGCCTTTAAAGATAAGATTGAGTTTTGGGAAGAGGTGAAAAATATTTCGTGAGCGATATCATTGTTATTATGCAAGTGTGGAAGAACATCAGATATAAAAAATGTTCACTGAAAAGCATGGCTCTTCAAATGCCTTAATTTTCGAAATATGGCATGTAACATCTTTCTGTGTACAGTGCTGATAACTTTACCAATACTGGGCCAAATTTTCTTATCAGTTAGATGACTCCAGAACCTTGCAGTACACACCAATACTTACATGCTACATGATCAACCTTTTCTGATCGATTCCACACCGTATCTTTCACAATGCAATCGCATGACCAGAACTCAACTTTATTATATCTTTAAATACAATTTTGTTGTCATGCTCACTTGACTTGGTCCTCATCAGATTTTGCTTGGAAGTTGTATTTGTTGCAGACATAGCGAAGAACGGGCTCACTCCCTGTTAGATTCTGGCCATCTACCTCCAGCAGAGGAACTTGCTTGAACAAAAGTTTATCATCTGCAAAGAAAGTGAAGGGAACAAAAATCATAACGATGCAGCATTGAACCAAAAGGTGATTATTTGCTTTAAATTATTGATTGTATGAGACAGTCTTGTAAATAAATGTAGAGTGCGGAAAAATACAACAAAACAAAAAGACAAAAACAAATAACAGATAGAATTCACGCGTGATCAAACGAAATAAAAATGTCAGGCTTCTTACCTGTGATCAACTGTAAGAATTCTTCTCTGGATTGGAGGTAAATGTCATCATACTGTTAACAAACAAACAAACACAATGGATTAGACGCTTATTTCTTCATTAATAAGCCTATACAGTGTGAGTCAAAAAAGTTTACACCTAGAAAATTGCTAATTATTTTAAGAATCATCTATATTCAGTAAATTATTATACATCTTATGAAAGAGTGCTTTATCCCAAATCATTTGGTATCATGTTTGTGGGGTATGTGTTCACGCTTGGATGAACAGGAGGCATTTTTTGCGAGGGTGCAAAATTCGACTTGTGCCAAAGTTGTTTATGTGATGTTTAAATCAAACAATTGGGATTTGGGTATTAAATCGGTTTTTGTAGATCCAAATAACATCCCTAACAAAATGAATCATGCCACACATATCAAATATCGAATATCAAATATTAATGAACATTTGTGCGCGCGTGTGTGTGCGTGTGCGTGTGTGACTTTGCTTGTGCAAAAAGCATATGCAATGCAATTCATTTGATACATTCAATTCATTCTCTCACTTCGTTAATCCGAACAACACGCTGTAAGCATCACTTTGGCGATGTTTGCACTCTCGCAAACAATGCCTCCTGGTCATCCAAGCGTGAACAAATACCACACAAAAATGATACCAAATGAATTGGGATAAAACACTCTTTCATAAGATGTATAACAATTTACTGTTCATAGATGATTTTTTTAATAATTAACAATTTTCTAGGTGTAAACTTTTTTTGACTCACACGGTATAAGCTTGATTAACGTTTACGTGTTTCTTCAAGCTCTCTCTCTATATATACAGTGCGTATACAAAATTGTACCCAACTGTTGTAGCTTCTAATTAATAAGTTATAACCTGTGTGCCCTTGAATCATATTTTATTGTAAAGAAGAACTAATACCCTGTCCAATGATATCTTCTTCATAATTGTGCTTGCTGCCAAGGATGACTGAACAGCAGGCTTTTCAAAAAGTATTGTCAAAATCCTCTTATTCCAAACTAAGTTTGGGCTGAAGCAATGAATGTGGATCTAAAACCATTATGTGTGTGTGTGTGTTATCACATTCCAAAACTATTGCTCCGTTTACATCGACTAATTTGCAGTTCATAAAAAAGGTGTTAATATCAACTCAAACTCAAGGAATGCTTATTACAAGCAAAAGTTATATTTTTTCGTTATGATGATTACAATCTTGACTCCATTCGCATCCCTTGTTTAAGGTAACCTTTTCATTGAGTGATAAAAACGGATAAAGTTTGTTTGGGATGTTATCTTTTTCATGAAAGTGTGCTGTCAATTTCTTTGATATTTATCATCCTATGTTTTCTTTCTTGCATTTGGGTTTAGTAGCCTTTGAGTTTTCATTCGCTATTCGAGATAAACACCTTATCATTAGGTATCATTAGACAGAAAATAAGCTACTCTTCATTATAAATCAATTCCAAAGTCATATTGGCTATGACTTTTCAATTAGAAGCCACCAAAGTTGGGTACACTTTTTGTGATACGCACTGTATATGAGGCTTTTTAGTCCATTTGGGTTTAGTAACCTTTGAGTTTTCATTCGCTATTCGAGATAAACACCTTATCATTAGATATCATTATACAGAAAATAAGTTACTCTTCATCAGAAATCAATTCCAAAGTCATATTGATTATGACTTTTCAATAAATTAGAAAAGCAAACCTAGAAAAGTTTTTTTCCGTTGACGTTTTTAGTGGATGTGTGATCCCATGTGGTCTCCGAACAATTTCAGCTTTGTTGCCTAAAAAACCCTACAACAAATACTGTGGGCAATTTTTATGATTGCCATACATCTGCCGGGGTCACAAATCCACACACGCAAAACACTTCAACGGAAAGAACTTTTCTCATGTCATAAAGTCGAATACTTGTAGAGTATTGTATTCTAGACACCAAATGTTAACAAAAGCGTTTACATGTAACATGTTTCTTGCACGATTTTCGAGTCCCACCCCCCCCCCCCCCCCCCCGCGCCCCCAGGCCCCCACTCCGTGAACGGAGGGATACCATGCGTGTTACCAAAATGTCCGGTAATAAAGGGGTACTTTTCACGCATCAAAGTCCGGCTCGTACATACACAAAAAAGACTTTACACACCGGACTTAGGGGGTGTTTTCAAAAGGAGAGAACAAGCATATGCGTACCCTAAATAACACCGAGTGGAGGGGCCGGGGTCCCGCCGCGGGCACACCAATGCAATGTCCTTTGACAAAACATTAATCGACATTTGCCACCCTCAGCCTAGGGGTACTAAATGTGCATAGTAAGTAATTCTTTGAATGTTTCAGCTCTGTAGAGTAGCTAATTGGCTAAAGCTAGGGTAGTACTTTGTTGGGTCCTCTTTCCAGCCTCGCTTCCCTGGATTGGATATGAGCGCAATATACCTGTATCTACTATTATTACTATAAATATTCATATTTTTTTCTTCTTCTTATTATTATGATGCGAATTATGATGACCATGATGAAAACGGTGACGGAGTTTATGATGACCTTGATGATTAATATTCTTCTTAATTTTATTATTTGTTAATATTATCATCATCATCAACATCATATCGTCGTCATCATTATAGTCCCCATATTAACAGCACGATTATAGCCTATAGGCCTACAATCACGTTTCACTAATATGTTTTTTTTTAATATTTCAGATGTATATCTTATTTTCCTTTTCTTTCTAATTCTCTGAGCTCGTTCTCCATATATAGTTCTAGAGAGTGCAAACTGCATACAATATACACACATGCATTATATATTTTTTTTATTGGGGGAGTGAATGAATTAGGCTACCTACCCCACATGCAAGGTTAGATAGAACTTACTTCCACTTTAGCAGCATTCAAAGCCAAGCGGGTAACTTCTCCCAGTCCTCTGCCGGCGAAATAGGTAAAACGTGGCTTCACGGTAGACATGTTTTCCGGATTCCAACTTTAAGTACACTCTAGTCAGTCTCTCACTGTGACTATGACTATTTAATGGTAGTAGCTCACTCTCTGATATGCCGATCGTCATCGTGATATTGACACCGATGAAACGTAAATAATGGGATATTGACTTGGACCTTACACTTGTATTCGGGCAGATAGGCATGCGCGGGATCAGGGTTTTGTAAAAAGGGGCCCGGGGGCAGTGGCGCAGGATTTTTTTCAAGGGGGGGGGGGTTAACATTTTGAAATCGGGCCTTGGCTTGGGGGGGGGGGGTTAGGGGTTTTTTCCTAAAAAATACACATATAAAAATACCAAAGGGGGGGTTCAACCCCCCCCCCCCTGCGTACGCGCCTGTCCGGGGGCATCTGGTGATGATAAGCAGCCCCCCCCCCCCCCCAAAAAAAAAAAACACATTAAACTCTGGCTACGGGTCTGATGATAATCCCTAATGAATATCTAAGTTCTCTAACAATGAAAAAAAAAGGCATGGCAATACCTCATTATTCACGATTCCCTGCCCCTGGCAAACAAAAATCCGCCATTGATTCAGGTGCGAAGAATAGATGTTTCTCACCCAGCTAAGCTAAATTATGTGCATTGTATTCAACCTTTGCACACATAATTTGTTAATGATGACCAAAAGGAGTTCCATGTGTTTTATGTCACTTCTATTCTTAGTATGGTAAAAAGAATGAAAGTGGACATAATAATATATCTACGTGTATGTATTTTAGACAATTTATATAAATCAAATTGAAATATATTATTCGCTGTTCGCTTAGTAGTATTTTAGGTCAGAAATATTTTTTTATTTTAGCTTCTTGGGAATTTGTTCTTTATCACTGTCGGAAAACTATAACCCTTACCGGAAAATATTACTACCCTGTCACATATATACATTTATTGTAGCGACCTCCTGATGAATACTACTCCCACACAGAAGACAAAAACAATCCATTTCTTCTTCATTATTTTGGACTATTTATTTCAAGGCCCACCAATAATTCACAATGAATTATAAGTTTTCCCATACATTTTAACACTTCGAACTTTGTCAAATCGTTTTTATAATTCTACTTCCGATTTCGTCAAAGACACATTAAGTTCGTCACCCTCGGCTGCCAATGTACAATTGCATGAATTAATTTCGTTATTTTGCAATCGATTTCGTCAAAGCGTTATTCAAATGCGTCACTCGCTCTTTATGACACTTGTTACGCTTTGTCTTTTCACTCCCAAAAAATGTTTTTATCATGAAATAGATAACCAAGATAATATAATCAGATTTGAAAGCCTTATTTTACACGTAGTTACATTTTGTGCCCTTTCTGCGTAATTGGCACCTGTGCCATCTTTAAAAAAAAAAATTATAAATCAATGATGTTTCAATGATCATAGTTAGAATCATTTTGCACATATTCTACAATAGAATACCTTTATCATACATTAGAAATTTGTTTAATTTAGTTTTGTTTATTCTTTGTAACCTATTGGTGAGCGAATGACTAAATGAATAACAATGCCATTGCCAGCCAGGATGGTGTAATGAATATGCATTCCTCATTTTATTCAGCCGAGGAACAGGTTTGTGATAAATGCATTCCTAAATTTAGTCGGCGTAGGGTGGGCTTTTATACTCAAAATATTTCAGCTGTAAAAATGCAAATTATGGCCGAACTCTTGGGCCTTGTACTCAGCATGTAGGAACTAAATGGTATTGGGGAGAGATGTACACGACACCGCTCACTAGATATGTCGGATCTACCTGTGGCAAGGCACTTGTAACAGCAGTTTTCATTTCAAATTATTTTGTGAAACAGCAGTAAAGTCAGTTCTACTACAGAGTTGTTGCTGCAATATCCTGTATTATGCACTGCATTGGTGACAGTTATTTAGTGTCAGACAGAGCACTGTTGCTCTAAGTCAAGCAATTTGAGCGAGCATCACTGGTAAGTTGACTTCGTAATTATCAAAATAGGGAATAAAACGTGTCATGGCACCTAGCTGTCTTACATCAATGAATGGTATGTATAAATAACTTGTAGGTCTATAATTATTGTTAAACCAGTGAAAGTAAAAGGTTGCGTTGGAACTTTAGGATAAATTCAGTGAACTATTGGAACCCGAGTTAATTATAAATATTATATCATACATGTACTAAGTAGGGCTTTATTTGTTGTGGTTCAACTTTAGGCATGTATAGAAAAGTGTAAATATTTTATAGCATAATTTGTACATTGTATTGTAACAACGCTTTGTAAACTACATGAAACTAAGGCAGCATAATAGTGGGAAACGTTGGACTCATTTGATTTTAGATTTCACTCAATCTGGGACAGGACTCCGACCCGAATCTCTCCATGGTACACGGAACCGCGCCAGGCGAGATCGACAGCGCGCTGCTGTCGGATCCATGGTCGTCGCCGAGGCATGAGATAGGACTTCAATCGGTGATGTATGTAATTTGCAATTTCGGGAACTGTTGTAACTGTTGATGTAAGCAATTTAATTACAAAATTTTGACAAATACAAAACAAAACAATCTTTGTTTACCATGCCTTAGAATAAATCTAGTTTTTGTTTGTGTCTATTGCTACATTTTTTTGGATTTATAAAGCGCTGGTCTTCAGGATTCATTCACACACACAGTGTGCACCATCTCCACTCACGTGGGACTATTTCTACCATATGGTCACCGTGATGGCATATGGCAATTTTCTATCACAAAGGATTTCGTCACCCTACCCCATTTCTCTCCTGGGTATGGAGTGGCAAGTGTAGCTTGGTGTCTTTCAAAGGACATAGTCTCGTGTCGGTGATCGATCGAACCCATGACATTTGCATTTCTAGTCAAGTGCTTAAACCACTCGACTTCGACACCTCTTTGACACCTTTACATATTATAGTGTATAGCAGTAGTAGTATTGTGTAGTTGATGTCGATGTGGGTATGTGAGTGAGCGCGCATGTGTGTGGGTGCGCATGTGTGTGGGTGTGCGTGTCTGTCATTGGGTTTCTAAACAGACACGCACCATAGTATGTTCTGAATTACGGAAATGTATAGCATCTCGCAGGCGCGTACGCAGGATTTTTTCAAGGGGGGGGGGGGGGGGGGGGTTAACATTTATAAATCGGGCCGAAAATTTCGCAACGACTCAGCCAGCCGCTAAATAAGCGGGGGGGGGGGGGTAAGAGGTCACTTTTTTTAGGTCAACCGTGGGGATTTTTTTTTTTTTTAAATATTTTTTTTAATAAAAAAAAACAATAATAAAAAAAAAATCCCCACGGTTGACCTAAAAAAGCTGACCTTACCCCCCCCCCCCCCCCAACGGAGCAAAATGTTAAATTTCGAGACCAAAAAAAAAAAATCCAAAAGGGGGGGGGGGTTAGAGAAATTTAGGGGGGGGGGTTTACACACACAAAATTACCAAAGGGGGGGTTTAACCCCCCCCCCCCCCCCTGTGTACGCGCCTGGCATCTCGTATAAAGAATTGTCGTAAAAGAAGAATCATCGATCGCATATTGAACGGAGCGTAATATCGTGTTAAGAAAACAATTTGAAGAGGTTAGTTGACATGACAGATCATGACAACCATCAGGACTCGCTCATAATAAACCAAACACCACCCAGTTATATGGTTTTCGTACGACTAGAACGTACGACTCGAGGAGGGGGGGGGTACCAACAAGAAAGGGCAATTTCTGGGAAAGAGGGGCACCTATAAAGGGAAATTTTAAAGCGAAAATATACAATTTTTTAGACGTTGGTATATACCCTACATTGTGATTACATTATCAGGGGTGATTTCAATATTTGTTTCTCTTTATACATCATACAAGATATCGCTTTTGACTTGGTAACATTGTTAAGATGAGAGAAAATGGTGCTAAGGTAGTGACTTCAATGCTAGATGTACAATTAATGATAATCTGAAAGTTTGAGTGAAAACAGACCATTATTAATGATACAAATTTGTAAAAAAAAAATGATCTGATCGATTCCTTAATTCTCCTTTTTATTATTACAATTTTATTCCAATTTAGGTGATGTAAATCGTCATAAAGCAATGAATTAGCTCTATATACCATTCCAGACATTTCACTTTTAAGTGTTGAAAGATCTTTTAAAGCCTGTCTTATGTCTTATTTTCATGGAAAACCCGTTGGAAAAATTTAAATGGTGTCGCACAGTGACGCCTTAAAAGAAAACCATAAATGTCTTCGTGGTTTGAGAATTTGTTCAGAGTATTTTGCATGCTAGAGGGTTTGTACAGTAGAAGGAATATATATTAAGTAACATTTCTTACAAAAAAAAAATCACTCATTTTTTTCATCAACCTTCAAAAATGTTACCGAGTCACTTTTAAGCATCATACTTTGCAGTTGGGTGTTATGGTCTGAACAATTTATTTGCGAGCGAGCGAGGAAAAAGATTTGTGAGGTCGCAGTGCTAAAAATTACATCTTATAAAGAGGGGGAAATCATGATGGGGTTATAAGCACATTCTCATAACGGAAGACTAAAAAGGCCTTTGATAAGTAACATAACTTAATCATCTATAAATGCGAGCGAGCGTAGCAAGCGATCTTTGGGGGGGGGGGGAGGGGGATGGACACTTATGAGAATGAAATAGCGGGACTTAAAATAAAGGAAAATGCGCATTTGTTGAAAGAAAAGGGGCATCGATCGGATTTTAATAAGGGCATTTATAGGAGGTGAAAGGGGGCTTTAATGAGAAGGGGGAAGAAGCTCTTTTTAAAATGAAAAAGAGGCACATATTAAAATAAACGGGGCAGTTATCAGAGATGAAAAGGGGTTATTATGATAATGGGAAGGGGCACTTATAAGAAGGAGTAGAGCAATTATCAGGAGGGGGAAGGGGCACTTGTCACAGTAGAACGAGTATTCCTCAGATTTGAATAGGGGCAATCGTCAAAGGTGAAGGGGGCACTTATCTTAATTGAAAAGGAGTAACTTCTCGTACCTGGCTGTCTACCCTAACAACAAAGAAGACGAAAGACTTCATGCATGGCTGATCATCAACGAAACGGAGTTTGTTGTTTGTTGCTACGGTAGGCAGCCAGTGAAAACAATTCGTTTAATAAAATTATGGAAATGCAAGCATTACTTTAAACAAACAGAACTTTGTTATTCCTGGCTCATTTATCCTGATTGAGGTGTCGTATGATAGGGCAGAAAATGAAATCTCTGGTAATGTCATGTCCTCTTTGGAATTCTGATACCGTTCGCTAAATGACTTTTTGGTACCCTTTCTCCAAATTGTTTTCAATCACTCATGCGTGAAATATGCATCATATGAGGTGCATCAAACGAAAGAAGAGGACCTGAACTTTACACATAATCTGTCATTTCTTAATTATAGTCGTGATTAAGTTCTGATAAAACATCGATAATTCTCGTTTTCGTTTTTTCTGGGACGCACTATATATAATTATTAAGCACATGTGTGTCACATTATCAAAGCCTTTGGCAGTTGTACCTCGTGTATCTGGATTAAAATCGACTCTCTAATCTTTTAAAATGAATTCTAATAGAAAGTAAACTTTTGGGTCATACATACTTGAAGTGAAAATTTATTTAGAAAATTTTCTTTCAAGATACTGTAGGGAATGGATCTAACTAAAAAAGGAACAAAATTCCTCACTACATACAAATGCAGTCGCCAATGCTATCACTCTCTTTAACTTTCATTAACTTGTTGTTCTATAGAGGCCTACGCCGATTTCCAGGGCTTCTCCTCCTTATTACGGTATCCCCACTGTCTTAAGGAACTACTAAATTCACGTGTGGTCTATTGTTCCATCCCAACCATCTCAGAGGCCTATTATGTTAAGTGTCAACGTCGTTCGATTCCTCTCTCTTCGCCGTCCTTCTCCATTCTTTCACGGGTTCATTCACGGCGAAAGGGTATTGGGATTGCGGTATAATTATCGATTGGTTATTGATTTATTACATGAATGCGCGATTGCGGCCTGATTATCGATTGGTTATTGATTGATTACATGAATGTGCGATTCAAAGTTAACTGTCGATGACGTGTTGCCGATAAGCGAAGCGTGGCATGGTCATTATCTTTAAGATAAAGGCGGTGTCAAAATCGAAAATGATGTCAAGATTGACGGATGGATGCATTTCAACATGACTTTGTGAGCATAATCGAGGAAAGTTCAACAAAACAACATGCTTTTAGTTTGGTAATGCAGAAATTGTCAGAAAAACAGGCTGATTAATGTTTGAAATCGTTTGTGCACGGAGCCTAATATAAGATGGAAAATTGTTTTTGACAATCCCGAAATTTGACCTTTGATTGCCCGACATAACAACAATTACTGTGCAAGGCGGTATTCAATAGAGATACAGGCACGGGAACCTCGATACGGCGCAATGCTATTGTTTGTCACCTGGTCCAGTGGCTTTTCCGGAAGAAACGTTCAGAAATCACGAATTGAATAATCTAGTCATTGACTATTCCCGAAGAACAAACAAAATAGAATATTGATATCGAAACGGAGCACAGTGAAAGAGAAACGTCTTTCACATCAGAATGTTTATTGATGTGCTATGTTTTGTTTCATTTCTTATTATCGCTATTGCTTTTCAAAGAAAAATAAGAGACGTATTAGTGCCGAAATTTGTCACAATGGACCTTTCAATCTTGTTGATATCGTCTCATTGTTAGGGTGACAGTCCATCGCATTCTTATAATTCTTCTTCGTGGCTAAATCTTTGAATGAGACTAGTCGGATGATAGAACTTTGACAAAAGCGTATAACTCTCGAATAGAAAGTGTATCGATTTTCCCGATTAATCCGTAGAGTAATCAAATAGATAGCAGGAAATCTGTGACTGTGAGAGGTGTTGTGAAGTGGGAATGATATCTACTTCAGACGCATATCAAATCCTTGAGCGGTTACTTCATCTTGCAGAGCAGCTTGGACATATTTTTACTAAGCCCAAAAGTATCAACAGAACAATTTCGGATTTCGTGCTGGTAGCCATCTTCTTGCATACCTGCTGAACACAGATCAACCTATAGGAGAATTAAAAACCAACAAACAAACATTCGAATGTGTTATTGTCGACCTTCTACGAGGGAATGCCTGCTTCACCATGTATACAAGAAATTGGATTTAGTCGAAAGATGAAATGAACTATTTGACTTTTGTTCCGGATATCTGTACACCAGCGAAACAGTGCTACTTGTGGAAACGTTTTTATCCAGCTACACTATCAGTGGTAAGTAATACAGTTAAACTCAAACTTTTATATATTTTCTGATATTAGTTATTATTCCAATTACCTTCCTTACATTTCAACAAGATAATTCCGACCCCACACAAAGCTCTTGAAACATGGAAAAGCCTCAATCAGGAAAAATGAGCCAGGAATAACAAAGTTCTGTTTGTTTAAAGTAATTCTTGCATTTCCATTTATGTATTAAACGAATCCGTTCCACTGGCTGTCTACCCTAACAACAAAGACAACGAAAGACTATCTTGCATGGCTGATTGTCAACGAAGCGGAGTTTGTTGTTGCTACGACAGGCAGCCAGTGAAAACGAATTCGTTTAATTAAATCTTGGATATGCAAGTATTACTTTACACAAACAGCAGTTTGTTATTCCTTGCTCACTTTTCCTGACTGAGGTGTCATATGAAAGGGCAGAAAATGAACTTTCTGGAAATATGATTTTCTCTTTGAAATTCAGATACCGTTCCCCAAATGACTTTCTGGTAACCTTTCTTCAAACTGTTTTCAATCACTCATGCGTGAAATATGCATCATATGAGGTGCATCAAACGAAAGAAGAGGACCTGAACTTTACACATAATCTGTCATTTCTTAATTATAGTCGTGATTAAGTTCTGATAAAACATCGATAATTCTCGTTTTCGTTTTTTCTGGGACGCACTGTATAGGTCCCCAGGAAGAAACATCCATAAGTCTATTATGATAAGAGTGTTTTTCCATTCTTATCAGGTTATTTTTTGGCGATAATAATAATAATAAAAATGATAATAATACGACGATGTCAAGGTATTCATATTACTGAAAAAAAGGGGGGGGGGGCTGTGTTTTAAAAAATCTACCACTTCCCCCTTGGTAACTTGAAAGCGTCAGTTCCTAACTTTGATATCTCCACACCTGCCCAACTCATGCATGAACAACATTGGAAATATAAGGAAGCTCTTTAAAATTCAAGAAGCGTGTCGTAAACCACAAGGCCCCTGGTCCTAAGAGTATCAGACGCGATTAGCATCGGGACCGAGTACTTCGCATTGTGACGCCTTGCCGCGCATGCAGTAAATAGAAAGAAAGTTTATCGATTGAATGCTTACCCTTCATAATAAAACATCGAGTGCACTTGAGTTGTTATCGAGAATGTTCAGACTACTGTAGATAAGGACATCAAATCCTCTATAAAAAAGAACGAAAGCGTTGAGGACCTCCGATCGGAGAAAGTTGGGGATAGAAGGAAATGTTTAGACAGTTCTTTAAATGAAGAATCCAACAAAATTTAGTCGATGGAAGGTGTTTCCCTTACTAAAGAGAAGTCACTCTCGTGTAAACCCGTCCCCTCTCGTGTATACTCGTCCCCTCGGTAACCCTTACATATAAGGCACAACACACAATACACGATCTGAATCTTCTTTTTTGGGGGGGGGGGGGAGGGGGGGGGGGGGGGGACATTTCAATCGTGTCCATTTGCTCACATTGAACCTCCTTACAAGCAAGATGGTTGATTGAGAACCCCTAAACCTCAAAGTATCATGTCAGCAAACTTAAGGGAAAAAAAGACCCAAAACAACAACGAACACATTTTTTGGGCAAGACTACGAGGGGACATATCATGATATTGTTTTCAACTAAAAAAAAAAAATCAAAAAAAAAAATCAGCCGCGCGTCCATTTTGGGTATTCTAATGATTTCGTCACTGTTTGACAACACAGGCCTAATCCATCTGCTTTCTAATCATCCATAGTATACATTGTAGTATTTTCAAAATAATCCACGTTTGAAGAATGTATCTAAATCGTAGTTGTAAGAAACTAACTGTACAACTGGAATTTCAACCTTTTATGAGTGAGGGAAGAAACGAAAGTGGCAGTTTCATCATCTCTTTTCTCCCCATGCATAATGTTTTAGAACGTTTACTTAGCCGTACGGGCCTCCATAACATTTATAGCAGATTTGAAAAATCGAATACAAAAAAGAATTCAGCTTGAAATTCGATCCCCCCTTCCCCTCTCCCTCCATTCTCTCTGACTTAACTTATGTTTGCATCTGTATAATCATGAGAACTGCGATATTCCAAAAATACAGCTTCCGAAGGATCAATCCATCCATCCATCTATGTATCAATCTATCCTGTGATCTTTTTTAATTGTTAATATCCATTTGCCATATCTGAGCATTCTCTTTTCGCTCCTCGGTTTTGTCTATTACATAATTTCCATTTTCTATCTTTTTTCATACAGAAAACATCGAAGGGATTCGTTTTGATGGAGGGTCGTGAAAGTGACTACTACGACAATCGACAACACAAGTCAGCCACCAGGCTCAAGAAAACTTACACATCAGTAATCAGTTTTTACGAAACAACGTCCTATCTGTCGTTAAGCTCTTTTATAGTAACAGTATCGAGCTAATTAAACATATTGAAGGAATTGTCCGCTGAAAAGAACGGGAATACTTAGTATTTTGACCATGGACTAGTTCATTACAACAGCGCTTCACATTTCCTTGCGTTTTACTGGACAACGTTAACTATCCATCGTAGATATCGAGGAACAGTTCAATGTGTATGCTGTCTCCAGTGATGATGCGTGCACCAGTGCTTTCTGCAGTCGCTATCTAAAGACATAAGAGCCTACAAGCGGCACCAATTCTGTGACCCTGATGATCGACAAGCGATGACGTAGAGGAAGGTGATGAAACAAAGATGTCTGCAGCACCAAAAACACAACGTAAGGTCCAGCAGAACAAATGTATTTCCAAACTCTTCTCAAGCATGACAAAGGTCCACGAAGTCAACCGTCAGCACGATCACGAGCTCAGCGTCAGGGTCGAAGAGCTGCGTCAGAAGGAACACATGGAGAACGTCAGGCGTTACTCCGACATCAGGCACCTCCAGCGCACCCTGTCCGAGATGCGCATGGAAAAGAACCGCTTGACGCACACGTTCACGCCAGAGGAAATCTACAATGACGAGGTTGCGCCAGTCATGTCCTGGCGCAAGATCCAATTGAAACGATTCCAAAACCAGCCCCGTAAACAGCGGAGGAAATCGGACGCTACCCAGGCGCCGTTGGCCGTGGCCGAGAACGCCGAATTCACAGCAAAGAATAAGTTCAGGTCGGCGATAATGGCAGTGTGTCTGTCCAAGGCCCTTTCTCACATACCTGAAAACAAGAGCGAAAGCACAGGAAATGAATCGAAGCAAAGTGAAAAAGAAAAGACTGACTCTATCAACAATTTGCGGGAACGTCTTAAGCAAGTTAAAGATACGAAGGTAGTAACGAAGCAAACTCCAGACAAAGGGCACAATGTTGGTGATACCAAAAGTGAGACGGAGGAACATAAACAATCAAGACCCGAAACGTCCGAAACAGAAAGATTATCTCGGGTGCTTGATATCCTGAGAAACAGTTCAAGAGACAAGAGCAGATCCTCATGGACCAGATCACTAGATAAGAAAGTCAACGCTGTTCCAACGTTCGGCCAACTTCACCCAGTGCGTCGGTCGTCATTGGTCCGCCGACCTGGCGACCCGCCGCGACGGCGACCTTCGACCTCAGACATGAACCTTGACTCGTCACACTTTGTTATGGACAAAGATGGAACCATTCGCAGAATTTCGAGGCCCACTGTCAAGGACAACACCAGCACAGAAGAAAGTCGAGGGTCAAGGGTACAAAGTTCTTCTTATCTTAGTACATGTAGTAGGAAGGCAACACCTAACAGCTGTAAGGTATACGCCGCAGAACCGTCGCGGCGTTGGAACGTCTCGAATGACGCTTCGGCGAGTAAAAGCGGATCGGCGCCGTCGTTCCTGGTGAAGAAAAGATGCGAGTTGTTAAAAAGAGACAAAGAAATGATGGATAGACTTCGTAGCTTCCTTGATTCGACATTGCCATGAGAAACTGGAAAAACTAAATATCATTCTGTTAGATGATAACCATGACAATCTGTGATGCCTGTTGCGCGCGAGGCGTTATTTGCTGACGTAATCATGCAGCGTCTCGCGTGCTCTGACGCGCGGCGTGAGAGTGAAATCGTACAGAAACTGAATGCAAAATGCAGAGTTCAAATTACTAGACCATGCACGAATTTGTGACTTCGGCAACTTATTCTTATTTGTAGATTGTTTAAATGTGTATTCCAAGCTTCATGGTGTCTTTATAATGATGCATACTGATTCCAGTTTCCGTAAATGGTATTTATGAAAAATACACGAAACTGAAATAACATCTTACATCTCCTTGGTAATCAATACATGTTGTATTTAGTTTGAAACAATCCTTGTGTGAGGTTGTCAATGACTCGTCACTGGAACGTTTAAACCATTAAATCGCTTTCACTATCCAATAATCATGGTTCCTTTTCAGAAGTGTCTGTACGTAGATATAGACATTAAAATACATCAAATACCGATTTTGTTAAGAAGAAAGAAATATACCTGATAATCCTGAGGGTGTAATAGCAATGGCAATTTTGTTTGGCGTCTTTTTTTATCTTAACAAAAGTAAATGTATTCTCACAGAGAATTAACAGAGAAGATGATACAGGCTCGCATCCTATGATAACAAAATTGAAAGATCGGAAATTGCTTTTGAATGACGCACTCGGATTACTCAAATTTTTCATTTTCAAGTGCAAGAGGAATTTTTCATTGATCGGAAAGGTCGCCTTCTTGACCTCATGCGTAACCGGGAGATCGCAACCTTCGATTCCCGGCAAAAAAAAATAAAAAATATCGAAATGACATCCTTTTTTTTCTTTATTCAATATAAAGAAAAGTACTGAAATGAGCCTGTCCCACTATCAGTTTCTTTTCCGAGTGAGAGACAGAGACTGAGAAAGAGAGAATAAAAAAAAAGAGGGAGAGGGGGGGGGGGGGTAGACACGGAGAGGTGTATAGAGAAACCGGATGGTGTATTTCAGTGAAAATTATTTGGAGTGCGATATTCAGAGCTCAAACAAGAATCAAAGACATCTGTTTAAAAGAATTGTAAGAGAACATATGTATTCTAATACAGGCGCGCCGGAAGCAGTTTGGGATTTTTTTTTTTTTTTTTTTTTTTTGGGGGGGGGGGGGGGGCAAACATTCCAGGGGGCTCACATTCCAGAGGCAGTGAAGTAATGAGAAAAAAAGTTCGGAAGGGGGGGGGGGCAGACGACAAATCTGCATCACCACCAGTCTTACACGTTACATGCAGGTCCCGCGGAACTTTTTTCAAAGTGGAGTATTATCGATCAGGTAGAGCGTAAATTGGCGTGGGGTCCAGGGCATGAGCCTCGGCAGGGGGTCAAGGGGCTGAGCCCCCGGAAGCTCAGGGGTTTTAAGTAATTAATTATGGTTAGATGAGCATCCAGGGGCCCCTCTGTAAGGCAATTGACGTGTTCCAAGGGGGGGGGAGAGCCCCCAGAAGCTCAGGGGTTTTAGGTATTTAATTAAGGTCAGATGAGCATCCAGGGGTCAGCCTTAGAGCCCTTGGTGGGGTCCAGGGGACAGAGCCCCTGGAAGCTCAGGGGTTTTAGGTATTTAATTAAGGTGAGTTGAGCATCCAGGGGCCGCCTTAGGTCCCTTGGTGGGGTCCAGGGGGCAAAGCCCCGGAAGCTCAGGGGTTTTAGGTATTTAATTACCGTCAGATGAGCATCCAGGGGCCCGCCTTAGGGCCCATGGTGGGGTCCAGGGGGCAGAGCCCCGGACGCTCAGGGGTTTTAGGTATTTAATTACAGTCATATGAGCATCCAGGGGCCCTCCTCAAGGCCCTTGATGGGGTCCGGGGGCGAAGCCCCGTAAGCTCTGGGGGTTTTAAGCATTTAATTACGGTCAGATGAGCATTTTTTTTTTATACCTTATTTGTGACATTGGCAGGTCACCTTATTTTTTTTCTCCGTCTTTCTTTCTTTTTCTCCTTAACAAACTTTTTCAAAAAGGAGGGGGGGGGGGGGGGGGGGCTCGAGCCCAGCAACTTTGCAGACCATGACATAAAGGCTTCTAAATGAGTGTATTGCGCCTGACTGTAATTTGGGAATTTTTTATTTTCCAACAAACGCATAAAAATGTATGACTTACCAAAAAAATTGGGAAAAAATGCTGTAAAATCATGTCACAACATCAACATTTGTAAATCACTCGTTTCGAATAGGAAATACATCACCCCCACCCCATCAGTACGCCAGCGTGCAGGGGCTCATGACACGCTTTCCCATTCTCGCACAATATGTTCACGATATGCGCGTATCGCTATTACAGAGACCTCCATTGATAAATACCGTATAGGTGGCATGCGCAATGTTTATGAAATTTAATTCCTGTGAACTTTCCTTTTTCTTTGAATGGAATTGTATATGTGATTTAATTCAGGTTTTTATTATTGTTGCGTTCTTTTGGATTAAAAATACAAACCATGTTTACTCCTTTACTGTTTTTTTTGTTTGTTTTTTGCCCCCCCCCCTGCCCCCCCCCAACTTCCGGCGCCTATGTTCTAATATATTGGTATATATACCAGCCCACGGAGCATATGGGAGTACATGTAAATTCCAACTTTAAACAAAATTAGTATCAGAATCCATCTTCCACTCAATAAACACGGATGATACATGGACGAAACAACACATTAATAATAGAACAAGTATTTCTTTTCAAAACCATTTCATAGCCATTTCATCAATTTATTCACAACTTCAATTTTTGGACATTTCAAATAGAAATACATCAGGGTCCCTGTAACACAAATCTTTGGCAATTGATCATGTGATTTATTTTTGCGATTCATAGTGATTAAAGCAATCAATCACATAAATAAATTGTATGATCAATTGCTAAGCTTTTGTTAACAGGGCGCTGCCGCAGATGTTTCCACCAATCGCTAAAATACTGATACCGTTGACAACACCTCATCGAACTTTGAAAATATGAAAGAAAGATTATTGAAAGAAGAAGAATTTTAGAGAATAAACTAATAAGTAGCTGATTTGACGGATTCACAAATATAAAATGTTGACCTTCAAATATTATTTGAACAATTATTTGAATCCGATTTCATGGTGTACATGTACTGCAATAATATTCCATCTTGTTTTCCTTCCTATAACATTGTGCGTGATTGAACTGTTACTGAATAAATGAAGGTAGGATTTAATATTTAAATCGACTTCATATCATACTTTCCACATTACAAGACAACAGAATAATAATTTCTATTTTTTTTTAACCATCTTCTTCCTATGAACATACATACATGTATAAAATGGGAATAAGATACAGTAATGGAGCTTTAAAACACAATGATCTATTTTATTTTCAAGCATTATGATGTTGCATAACAATTTTAATTATCTACGAAAACATAAGATAATTCAGAATAACATTCCAGTTTAGACACTTCAAATCATCAAGCCTCTTTAATATCTAGATAAAATAAGCTTTCCTCTTCCTTTAACGAAACGTATAAACCAAGCAGAGCTTGGAATAACTTATAGAGTTGTAAGCTTCATTAAAAAAAATATAACGTTGATTTGGATGGTTGCATTTGATTAATTAAACCTTCGTGCAAATAGACACTGTTCCAAGATGGAGGAATAAGATACAATATTAGACCATCTCAATTGGGGACTTGTACCTGATATTAGTGATACTGATGATAGTCTAATCACTATAAAGTGGATATATAATAGCAATATTGACTGGCTTATTGTTTCAGGTAGATTGACCATTAATTTCCCTTCCCTGTGTAAACACATCGTCCTTTTCTATGGCTCTATAGTCTCATACTCCCCTCAGGGGCCAGTCAGTAAATAAATATTGACTGAATTATATATTCATAATAAACGGCATATAAATATTCATAGTTGCGTGGGTGAATTACCTATCTTACTTACTACATGCTAACGTACTTGATCTAAAGTAGTATTACATTTATTTAAGCTACTTTGAATAGGCAAGGAATATAAGTACATGAAATAAAACAAACTGATTTCTAACTTATATGGAATAGCATAATAATACAAAGATTGCAAAACAAACCTATTGCTCAAGAAGTACCTCTTAGAAAATACATGTACATCAAATACTACAAAAATATGAAAGGGTTATTAGAATATCTAGATTGTGAAACATTTCAACAATATTTTAGTGTATACAGTCTGCAAGATATCATGGCAACTTTAAGAATAATAATCAATATGGCATACATTAAAGTAGGAAGTGGTATAACACAACATTTAAGAAATAGTTGGCACTACAGTTATTATCATGAGTTTTAATATGCCATATAAGTAAACAGATAATTGAAGGAGAAGTGTTCCACTGTAATATAAACTTATGTAGGATTTTACCCTTGACTAAATAAAAAAAAATAACCAAGTGCAAAAAGTTATTAATTTGAAGATAATACACTATCTACACTATATTATGGTTTAATTTCAAATAGAGCTTGATTAACAACATACAGCATTTATTTAATTGATGGTAATATTGATTATATGGATACTGTACATGTTAAATTGTATCTGAAATGAGATGAAATTGAATTATTAATTATTAATTTTGAACTTACTTTGTCAACTATGATCTTTATTGTGCAAACAATTGATATGAAAAGGAACAATTTGAAATTTTGAATCAATCAATCAGTTTCCAGGGGCGAGAAAACAAGCAGTTAAAATATATGTTTACAAGCAACTGAAAAACTTACGGCATATGATGAGAAGCAGGTTGTATGGTATGTGTCCAAAGTGAACAAGGCCAAAATCATATTTGTTACGCATTTGATTTTGTTTTGTTTTAATTGTAAATGTTAAGAAGGCTACAATGTAAATCAGTTTGCTGGTAAACAGACATGGTTATGAGTTCTACTTCATCAGAGTTCATTCAGCTGATAATGGAATGTAATGGTTGACTACATAAGCATATATGAATGTAAAATGAATATTTTAACATCTACGTGTATTTCATATATCACATATAAATAAGCCACTATAAACGTCATGGTTAGGAACTAATGGAATGTAAGAATGCAACAACAAAAAACTAAACAAAACCAAAATGAAAAATAAAGGAGACAAAACAACACAAAAACAAGACCCTGATATATAAAGAGATAAGGTGGTAGATCTAGGCTAAGATGTAGATTAAAATGTAATCATTTAGATAAAGTTGTAGTCCATGATCGTTGTAAACTTACTACATGTACATGTATACCAACTTTCCATAGAAATTAATAGACCACAGTCTGTTAATCAAATAGCAATGAGACTGACACTCAATAAGACCCCAAAAGAGTATAAATCTTAATGTCTGTTGTCAACATTTATAAAGAAAGAAGATTTTGTATTTTATTCAGTATACTCACACAAACCAGAAAATTGGCAAAGGTAGAAGAACGAGTCAACTCAAAAAAACAAACAAAAAAACAAAAATGGTGATCAAAATTACAGCAAACGTTCTCATAGATTCTAGAATCAAAAAATTATTTATATATTTTCAGATGTTTTTGGTAATTCCTTTATGTATTTAATAGAGCAGATGGAACTATTAAACAGGTATTTTTGCCTTCTGCTGCAAACTCTTATGGATGCTCTTTTTAATAATACATCACATAAATAATGTATTTGCTTCGCCGAGAAATCATCAAAGTCTTGTCGATCTTGTTAGTTAAACAAAGTATTGACATCAAGAAAGTTTGGGGCAATACATAGCAACAGAGAAAATTAGTGTCGATGACGGCACTTCTTTTTGTTCACGGGACCAAAGTTTTGTGAGACCCGGAAAACAGATACTGATTTAGAACACTGAACTGGATATGAAGACACATCTCTATCAAGTCAATACTGTATAACATCCCTGACAAAAGAACAAGTTGCATTTCGAAAATTTGGACAATAAAATTTACATCAATTGATAATATACTTACAATATACCAAGCTTTTCTGATTTTCTTAAATGAGTGTGCGTGTTCAACAATTGGGTACTATCAATTCTGGAACAAGGATGGTCGGAGAGTAAGCATTTCAGTTTTAATACGATGAAATACTAAAAGACAAACTAACCAAACAGCTCCACATGATTTGGCCAATAATGTGAGGCTTTTCAGTTTGTTTGGCTGGCTGCCTGGCAAAATGGTCTACTTTTCAGCATTTTGCAGCATTGACAATGATTTTATTTCTTTAACACACTCCCACTTATAACTACAATGCTACAATCTTACACAAAAGCTCCCACACATCATCCCCTAGAACAAAACGTTTCACTAGAAAAAATCAATTTTTAAAATTCTTTAGTCTTATATTACAATATATTACAGAATGAGTATTTAAAAAAAAAAAAATTAAACATTTTGTACATTAAAAAAAAGAATAAGATGTTGAATTATACATGACTGAAATTACTTGGCCAATGCGCATTACATAACCTAATAATACAGTAAGATCTGCTTTAGTGATCATCATATAGAAAGACCACACTTTTTGTTTCCCTTGAAACATGTACTAAAGGAACCTGCACATGAAGACCACTTTTCTTGTCTCCCTTGAGTGGTCTTTATATACAGGTTTCACTGTAGTATCATTGATATGTGTATGCACCAGTGATCCGTGTGTCCTTGACACTATATTCATAAAGATGTATAAAAGAGTATACTCCAGTGTTGTCCAAGTTCTACCAGTTTACCTTCGACATTTGAATTTCAAATAAGCAATAGTCTAGCACCACATCTTCTTTGGCATCATACAGCAAACAAAGAATCAATTTGCATATTCATGACACAGAATCCATATTTTGGCAAGGCATTGATCTACATTTGCCACATTCAACCCAGGTGATGTAAATAGGTACCTGGCAGGAATTAATTCTTTGAAATGCTAGAGCGCCGTAATGGCAGCACAGCTAAAGCCAGGGTTATAATCTCCAAGTTTGAAAGCAATTAGTGATTGTAATATAAAGCGCTATATAAAAACTGAGTATTATTATTATGTGCTATCCAGTCAAAGGACTCGATGATCTCAAACATTTGATAAAAATATGATACGTTGCAAAGGCTGATCCTATTCATGCATTTTCAAGAGTGTTTGCAGCTTCTGCCACCAAAATCAAAGACGTATCTATAAAGAATGCTCGATAAACTGCACATTCTCCCTTAGAGAGTTAATATTTTCTGTAAAGTATAAGGCAGATGATCATTCAACCCTTCATTGTAGGCAAGCATTATCCCAGGCTGATACTTAAGGTCACAACTTTAAACAAAACAGATGAAATATCAACAACAAAAAGTTTGATATAATGCACAATTTCCCTTAGAGAGTTTACATTTTCAGTAAAGTCTAAGGCAGACGATCATCTGACCTTTCATGTTAGGCTAACATGGATATTTTCCCCAGCTGGTGTCAAAGGTCACGATTGGTCAAAAAGGTGAAGGGTCAATTTGACCTTGACCTCACCCGTTGACACCTCATGGAGTAAGAGGCTCTTGGTCATCGGTCCCCTTCCCTGGGTCTCTTTCAGGATGTCTGCTACTCTCACCTCAGTCCTTCCCAAGAAATCTGATGGAATAGAGGAAAAAAGAAAAGAGAAAGACCAATAAAAAATGTTTTCCAGTCTACATGATAATCCTTTCATTAGTTAATTATGTTGGGACCACAAAAAAATAGTGCGACTTGTGCAAATTTTGACTTTAAAGTAAGAGTACATCAAACATTTGCGCATAGTATGGTAAAAACTTTTTTTATTCAACTTGGGGAAACTTTGAATTTTGATTTGTACAATTTTGAGTTCTGCAGATAAACTGTACATATAAATGACTTCAAATTGCATTCATAATTCCATAATGAAATGATCAATACTTGGTAATGCATGGGACATACTCACTTTCTAAATACATGTAAATGATGCAGAGTTAACAGTTTTATTTATGACGTCAAGTTGCATTCATAATTCCATGATAGAATTCATATACTTGGTAATGCATGTATGGGACATATCCACTTTCTAAATACATGTAAATGATGCATAATCAACCCAATACAACTGGGGTTGAAGCCCCTCTGCACTACTTAGGCATGGAGGGATTAGACCTCCCTGCAAGGTCACTGGCAAATGGTTATAATAATTATAATAATAATACACAATATTTATTAGGCGCTTTATACTGGTGTCTCTAAGCGCACCATAGTCTGACTAAAACATTATTTACCCAAACTTATAATAAACACACAACTTATACATCTGTTCTTTATTCAATAAATCATGCATATATAATAATAAAAATAAGAGTGAGATCAAACATACATGAGGTCAAACATAGGATCAAACATAAGATCGAACAAACAAGAAATAAGATGGTGTGGCACCTCCTTTGACCGACTCACAACTGCAGAATATCATTTATGAATTAAAAAGGTGCGTTTTCAGCAAGGACTTGAATTAACATAAGGAAAAGGGCATCATGGGGCATTGTTGGCTGTACTGAGGGTGCAAGTAGCTACAAGTAGTGCTGTGGGGCTTTAACTCTTATCCTGCCATAATGAATACAGCCCAGAGCCACAGGGCTAATCCCCATTGTGCCAAGTTTATTTTGAGATAATCTGATGCATGCGATGCACTCAGCATAGTACAATGAGCATGAACAATAACTGCTAATAAAAATGCGAGCAAGTATGCTCGTGTGAATTAAGCAGCCAATCGGTAGCGCTCGCGTGTACAAAGCACTATAACGGTAGCGTGCATGCGGCCTAATTCTTACCATTGGGAGAGAAGAAGTCCCTATCATAGACGGTGATACAGAGTACGTCCTGCTCCAGATCCCTCACTATGAACTGCATGGAGGAATCCCAGATTGGGTTCAGGTTATCAGGTACCACCTTGGTCTTGTGCTCCTGTGACCCCATGCTGACCTCACAGTAGGGTCAGCGCGACCTGGACAGAGGGGAGACACAAGTGAAATACAGTCAAACCTGCTTTAGTGACCACCTGTCTACAAAGACTACCACTTTTTGTTCTCATTGAAACATGTACTAAAGGAACCTGTTTTTAAAGACCACCTGCCTATGAAGACCCTTTTTCTTGTCTCCCTTGGGTGGTCTTTATAGACAGGTTTCACTGTAGTTTTGAACTTTTGAGAATTGACATGGGTCAAGGAAATTAGGTATTTCCTGATTATCTCTACAAGCAGCAAGCCTTTGACATCCACACCAGCAGTTCAAAACCGACATTTCATTGTTGTTAAGGGCAAATTAAAGTACATGAACAAGGAAAATGAATGCATGAATGCATTAACCCTCATGTTTGAAAAGCGCTTTGAGACGGTATTCCATATTAAGTGCTACATTAATCCAGAAACATGTAGCAATAGGACACCTAAAATAATAGATATAAGGGATAAGAAATATAATATTTTGTTTGGTTCTTCGTTTGTTTTGTGTTTGTCAAAGCTTTTGTAATTAAAGTTGCTCACATCAAAAGTTTCAAAAGTTCCTAGAATTGCTCAAATGTTGTCATCATTGTACATTGTAAATGAATGAATCCAATGAACAGGGCAATAATACTCGTAAAGCTCTTAGAGATGGTATTTCATATTAAGCGCTATTTTAATCTAGATTATCATTTTATGAATGCAGGGTTTCATGAACATGGTTTCTGGGTACAGTGCTATAAAATGTATCAAAAACATGGATGTGTTCCTATCAGTGACTGACTTGAATGGTTTTTCAGCAATTAGGACACAGGGTGCATACAGAGCTAATGAAGATACAGGAACATTGTTGTGTTCGATTCCTGTGGATAGTTTTAAAAGTGTTTAACACAGAGAAGCTACATTCCGAAAGAAGGTATAAGACACACAGTTGTGTTCATACCCATGCCTGAACTTAACTATTTCAAGTGTGTAAATGCAGGGTATGTTACAAAAGTAGAAAGTTATGGGAATCGGAGATGTATTCATACCTGTGACTGAATTGGACGGTTTCAAGTCGTATCCCTCTATGATGACAACCATGAGACGTCCTACACCTTTACTTCTTTGAGACCGAGCTGTAGGGGTAAGGATATGTTCACACATGAGTACTTCAGTTGCAGTAAAATGCTAAATTTATCAATACTGATAAGAAATTACTATAAAATTCATGAAAATAAAACCATTTGCTTATGTTCTTAAAACAAACCCTTAAACATGAAACTTATTTTTTTATCGTTCCAAGATTTATTTCATTTTACGCAAACATATTTTACTGCATTCTTTTATATCAAATGCTTATCACGGTTGTGCATTCGTTGAATAATTGAATTGAACTTGAATTGATATTGACAATGACAGTGGTAAAATGAGAATTCTCAAGGAGTGTGAGACTGGTTGAAATAGAAGATTTTATTACACATGAAGACATCTCACTTTTTGCATTTTAGAATAATCACTGCCAAAGGGATGGAGGTGCTTCATGACCTTTTGTGTGCCCTTTTGAAAAGAATACTCTGCCGGTGCATAAATGAATAATAACTTTTCATGAACACATATCCAGCAGTCTTCTTGATGAGTTTTACAGTTTTTTATAAATGGGAATTTATCTGCCCATGTGCAGATAATGCAGTATCTCTGAAGTTGCCTATTGTGTAAAATGGGTTCATTGTTCCTCATCAATACAGTAGACAATCAACAGGGAAATGCAATGACTTTGTATCTTTTGTGTTTCCCTCAATCAAATGCCTAATTCAGTTCCCATTTTATCTACTTATTTCTTAGACACATGAAAATCTCTCACCTCTTTGAAGTTTTTCTCTTTTCTTCTTCTCAGTTTCAATGTAGTGTTTGGAAGCCTTTTCTATCCTGTCCTTCCAGCGATTCCTGTACGGAGAAAAAAAAAAGCAATTATTTTACGCTGTTTGAAGATAGAGTCAAGTTGTGGTCATCCAGTTTTATTGTGAAATATTTAAGGTAAGTACGATAAAGACCCCCCCCCCCTTCCCCCAACAAGTTCGGAAACAAACAAATGACCAAACACTATGGAAATGACTGAATACTAAACGTAAGGATTAAAAAAAGAGGACATGTAGTCCCATGTACAGTACCTGTCGTTGTTACTCTCTGATCTCAGAGCATAGACCTTGTCTATGTGATTGATGTGAAAGATAAAGTCATCTGCTGCTGCATCACTGGGAATCTTCAGCTCCACTTCATTCAAGAATAGAGGCTGTAAAGAGATAGAAGAAGAAACTAAATTGGTGTCCATGTTGGTGGTGAGCCCCGCCAATGGGCACTGACCGGGCAAGGTATTTCCTATCATTATGTTTCCTTTCCAGGGGGGTGTTTCACAAAGATCCTAAGTTGAATTTATCGCTAAGTTGGACTTAACAATTATGGAAAGCCATTAGCATCCTTGAAAAAGTTATTTTAAAAGGCATAAAATGTTGATTCAAATCATTCTTATTTTCTATTATCATGGGAGATTTTATGTTCTTGATGTGGAATTGATGAAACTTAGAGTTAAGCTTGACTTATAATCTTTGTGAAACACCCCGTCTCCCTCTCCCTTTCCCTGTCCCGTCTCCCTCTCCCTCTCCCTCTCCCCTGTCCCTCTCCTTTTCCCTGTCCCTCTCCCTGTCTCTTTCGCGTCTATTGTCCCTTTCCCTGTCCCCCTCTCCCCTGTCCCTCTCCCCTGTCCCTGTCCCTCTCCCTGTCCCCCTCTCCCCTGTCCCTGTCCCCCTCTCCCCTGTCCCCGTCCCCCTGTCCCTCTCTTCCTGTCCCTGTCCCCCTGTCCCTGTCCCTGTCCCTGTCCCCCTCTCCCCTGTCCCTCTCCCCTGTCCCTCTCCTTTCCCTGTCCCTCTCCCCTGTCCCTCTCCCCTGTCCCTGTCCCCCTCTCCCCTGTCCCTCTCCCTGTCCCCCTCTCCCCTGTCCCTCTCCCTGTCCCTCTCCCTGTCCCTGTCCCCCTGTCCCTGTACCTGTCCCTCTCTCCCTGTCCCCCTGTCCCTGTACCTGTCCCTGTCCCTGTCCCCCTCTCCCCTGTCCCTCTCCCTGTCCCTCTCCCTGTCCCCCTCCCCCTTTCCCTGTCCCTCTCCCCTGTCCCTCTCCCCTGTCCCTCTCCCCTGTCCCTCTCCCTGTCCCTCTCCCTGTCCCTCTCCCCCTCTCCCTGTCCCCCTCTTCCTGTCCCTCTCCTTTCCCTGTCCCTGTCCCCCTCTCCCCTGTCCCTCTCCCATGTCCCTCTCCCCTGTCCCTCTCCCCTGTCCCTCTCCCTGTCCCTCTCCCTGTCCCTCTCCCCCTCTCCCTGTCCCCCTCTTCCTGTCCCTCTCCTTTCCCTGTCCCTGTCCCCCTCTCCCCTGTCCCTCTCCCATGTCCCTCTCCCCTGTCCCTCTCCCTGTCCCTCTCCTTTCCTGTCCCTCTCCCCTGTCCCTCTCCCCTGTCCCTCTCCCCTGTCCCTGTCACCCTCTCCCCTGTCCCTCTCCCCTGTCCCTCTCCTTTCCCTGTCCCCGTCTCCCTGTCCTGTCCCGTCTCCCTGTCCCCTGTCCCGTCTCCCTGTCCCCTGTCCCGTCTCCCTGTCCCCTGTCCCGTCTCCCCTGTCCCGTCTCCCTGTCCCCTGTCCCTCTCCCCTGTCCCTGTCCCCTGTCCCCTGTCCCCTGTCCCCTGTCCCCTGTCCCGTCTCCCCTGTCCCCTGTCCCTCTCCCCTGTCCCTGTCCCCTGTCCCCGTCTCCCTGTCCCCTGTCCCGTCTCCCTGTCCCCTGTCCCGTCTCCCTGTCCCCTGTCCCGTCTCCCTGTCCCTCTCCCCTGTCCCTCTCCCCTGTCCCTCTCCCCTGTCCCTGTCCCCTGTCCTTCTCCCCTGTCCCTGTCCCCCTCCCTGTCCCTGTCCCCTGTCCCTCTCCCTGTCCCTCTCCCTGTCCCTGTCCCCCTGTCCCTGTACCTGTCCCTCTCTCCCTGTCCCCCTCTCCCCTGTCCCTCTCCCTGTCCCTGTCCCCCTCTCCCCTCTCCCTGTCCCTTTTTCCTGTCCCTGTCCCCCTCCTTTCCCTGTCCCTCTCCCCTGTCCCTCTCCCCTGTCCCTCTCCCTGTCCCTCTCCCCCTCTCCCTGTCCCCCTCTCCCCTGTCCCTCTCCCTGTCCCTGTCCCTTTTTCCTGTCCCTGTCCCTCTCCTTTCCCTGTCCCTCTCCCCTGTCCCTCTCCCCTGTCCCTCTCCCTGTCCCTCTCCCTGTCCCTCTCCCCCTCTCCCTGTCCCCCTCTTCCTGTCCCTCTCCTTTCCCTGTCCCTGTCCCCTCTCCCCTGTCCCTCTCCCTGTCCCTCTCCCTGTCCCTCTCCCTGTCCCCCTCCCCCTTTCCCTGTCCCTCTCCCCTGTCACTCTCCCCTGTCCCTCTCCCCTGTCCCTCTCCCCTGTCCCTCTCCCCTGTCCCTCTCCCCTGTCCCTCTCCCTGTCCCTCTCCTTTCCCTGTCCCTCTCCCCTGTCCCTCTCCCTTGTCCCTCTCCCCTGTCCGTCTCCCTGTCCCTCTCCCCTGTCCCTCTCCCCTGTCCTTCTCCCCTGTCCCTCTCCCCTGTCCCCCTCTCCCCTGTCCCTGTCCCTTTTTCCTGTCCCTGTCCCCCTCCCCCTTTCCCTGTCCCTCTCCCCTGTCCCTCTCCCCTGTCCCTCTCCCCTGTCCCTCTCCCCTGTCCCTCTCCTTTCCCTGTCCCTCTCCCCTGTCCCTCTCCCTGTCCCTCTCCCTGTCCCTCTCCCTGTCCCTCTCCCCCTCTCCCTGTCCCCCTCTTCCTGTCCCTCTCCTTTCCCTGTCCCTGTCCCCCTCTCCCCTGTCCCTCTCCCTGTCCCCCTCCCCCTTTCCCTGTCCCTCTCCCCTGTCCCTCTCCCCTGTCCCTGTCCCTCTCCCCTGTCCCTCTCCCCTGTCCCTCTCCCTGTCCCTCTCCTTTCCCTGTCCCTCTCCCCTGTCCCTCTCCCTTGTCCCTCTCCCCTGTCCGTCTCCCTGTCCCTCTCCCCTGTCCCTCTCCCTGTCCTTCTCCCCTGTCCCTCTCCCCTGTCCCCCTCTCCCCTGTCCCTCTCCCTCTCCTTGTCCCTGTCCCCCTCCCCCTTTCCCTGTCCCTGTCCCTCTCCCTCTCCCTGTCCCTCTCCCCTGTCCCTCTCCCGTCCCTCTCCTTTCCCTGTCCCTCTCCCCTGTCCCTCTCCCTGTCCCTCTCCTTTCCCTCTCCTTTCCCTATCCCTGTCCCCCTCTCCCCTGGCCCTCTCCCCTGTCCCTCTCCCTGTCCCTCTCCTGTCCCTGTCCCCCTCTCCCCCTCCTATCCCTGTCCCTGTCCTCCTCTCCCCTGTCCCTCTCCTTTCCCTGCCCCCCTCTCCCCTCTCCCCTGTCCCTGTCCCTCTCCCCTGTCCCTGTCCCTCTCCCCTGTCCCTCTCCCTGTCCCTCTCCTTTCCCTGTCCCCCTCTCCCCTGTCCCGTCTCCCTCTCCCTCTCCCTGTCCCTCTCCTTTCCCTCTCCTTTCCCTATCCCTGTCCCCCTCTCCCCTGGCCCTCTCCCCTGGCCCTCTCCCCTGTCCCTCTCCCCTGTCCCTCTCCCTGTCCCTCTCCTTTCCCTGTCCCTCTCCACTGTCCCCCTCTCCCCCTCCTATCCCTGTCCCTGTCCTCCTCTCCCCTGTCCCTCTCCTTTCCCTGCCCCCCTCTCCCTCTCCCCTGTCCCTGTCCCTCTCCCCTGTCCCTCTCCCTGTCCCCCTCTCCCTTGTCCCCGTCCCCCTCTCCCCTGTCCCTGTCCCTGTCCCCCTCTCCCTGTCCCTGTCCCTCTATCCCTCTCCCTGTCCCTCTCCTATCCCTGTCCTCCTCTCCCCTGTCCCTCTCCCCTGTCCCTCTCCTTTCCCTGCCCCCCTCTCCCCTCTCCCCTGTCCCTCTCCCTGTCCCTCTCCCTGTCCCTGTCCCCCTCTCCCCTGTCCCTGTCCCTGTCCCTCTCCTATCCCTGTCCCTCTCCTATCCCTGTCCCTGTCCCCCTATCCCTCTCCCTGTCCCTCTATCCCTCTCCCTCCCCCTCTCCCTGTCCCTGTCCCCCTCTCCCTGTCCCTCTCCCTGTCCCTGTCCCTGTCCCTCTCCCTGTCCCTGTCCCTGCCCCCCTCTCCCCTGTCCCTCTCCCTGTCCCTCTCCCTGTCTCTGTCCCCCTCTCCCCTGTCCCCCTCTCCCTTGTCCCTGTCCCCCTCTCCCCTGTCCCTGTCCCTGTCCCTCTCCTATCCCTGTCCCTGTCCCCCTATCCCTCTCCCTGTCCCTCTATCCCTCTCCCTGTCCCTCTCCCTGTCCCTGTCCCTGTCCCCCTCTCCCCTGTCCCTCTCCTTTCCCTGCCCCCCTCTCCCCTCTCCCCTGTCCCTCTCCCTCTTCCTGTCCCTCTCCCCTCTCCCCTGTCGCTCTCCCTGTCCCGTCTCCCTCTCCCTGTCTCTTTCCCATCTCCCTGTCCCTCTGCCGTCTCCCTCTTCCCTGTCCCTCTCCCCTTTCCCATCTCCCTCTGTACATTTTATATTCAATGATATGCTTGTTATTCAATACGATCATGAAGGAGGTGAATAAAAAGGATTTTCAGACTTACATGCTTGTACATCTTGTATTCCATGACGTTCTTGTTATCAGTCGTTGTGAAAGGCATAGGTAGACCAGACTTGATGGGTTGCGTGAAGAGGAGGAAGTCGTTGAAGAGAAAGACAAACAGCTCCTTGTTACTCTTTGCCTGTAGAGAGAGTAGGGAGAGAGGGTGTGAAAGAGAAGGAGAGAGAAATAAGAAGGAGAGAGAGAGAGTAGGGAGAGAGAGAGAAATAAGAAGGAGAGAGAGAGAGTAGGGAGAGAGAGAGAGAGTAGGGAGAGAGAGAGAAATAAGAAGGAGAGAGAGAGAGTAGGGAGAGAGAGAGAAATAAGAAGGAGAGAGAGAGAGTAGAGAGAGAGAGAGTAGGGAGAGAGAGAGAAATAAGAAGGAGAGAGAGAGAGAGTAGGGAGAGAAAGTGCGTGTGAAAGAGAGAGAGAGAGGGGACAAATAAAGAAAAGATAAAAAAATATAAACAGAAACAGAGCAAGACATATATGCATGGAGAGGGAGCAAGATAAAGTTAACACAGAAACAGACGGTGAAAAATAGTAGAGAAAACAAAAAGGAAAGTAAATGTGAAAATTAAAAGACATAAAAACAATAGAAACAGGGACATGAATATTAGTCCTGAAATAATTATCTAACTGTAGATTCAATGTTTCGTTAAAATTAATCTTTACATGTATGAACATTATAATTAAGTTAACCACTTTGATTTTGGGCTTCTCATAGTTGCCCAATTTAAATAGTATATCAGAGGTTGCCAATAATGTATACAGAATTAAGTGAATTGGTTATTCTACCTTATTGAGTTTCCCTGAGTGGAGATATTTCCTTGGGCCTAGGCAGTTAGTGAGCGAGTTGAAAATCAGTTCCTGGAAAGATGCAAATAAAAAATACAGGTGAATTAATCAAAAAATCTACATAGTATCAATCAACTAAACCATTTAACTTATAATATATCAATCACCCATCATATATACATCAGAACCATACCAAAGGTGTCACACATCCTCCCCATTTTTCTTCATGCTCAGGTTTAAATTTCCGATAGGCCTCGGTAGCAATTTCTTCTCCATTTATTCTACTCCTTTGTTTTTTCTCTTACTAGCATGAACATGATGCTAAAACGTGAAGCAAGAGCTCAACCTGGTATGATGGAGCTAGAAGAAAAAAAGAAGCAAATGCTTTTAACCTATTGACTACTGCATTGTCAAAGTCCAATAGGCTGCAGGCACCACCCGGACCAAAAAAAATAATTTCATAAATATGTTTTTGAAGCAAGTGCTTGTGCTTGTGGATTCAAGCAAAAGGTGTGCACAAACAATGGCTACTTTTTATTCATATGGCCCATGATCTATACGGCTACTTTTTTTGTAAACTGCCCATGGTACAGCCTATCTTACCTCTGCTAGTCCGGTGCAGTCTACGTGATTCTGCAGCCATTCCAGTCTGTCTGAGTTCTCCTTCTCTCTAACTCCCTCATTGACCTGTTGACATAACTCCTCCGCTTTCTCACATGCCGTCTTGATGTTGGCGTAGTCGGCGTGCATTTCTGGTGTGTATTTCAAAATCTTGAAGGGATACAAAAATAAACTGGTATTGGAACTGATAACTGGTTGGTACCTGTAACTGGTTACTTGTACTGGTTTAGAATCTGAGAAAAATATACCCAATCCCTCTTTTTGATAATCGAATATTTAGAAGAGAAGCAACTCAAACAGGTTCTGGCTGAGCACTACTATATATTCATTGCATAAAAATCTTCAACACATGTTTTCATCTTCCTTGTTTAGTACAAGATGATAGATCTTTTGTGCCCCAACCTCATGGAATGACCCAGATACATGTGTAATAAATCGAGGATTCAGTGACACAAAGACGTAACTCCATATTTGGCCAAAATGAGTATTTGATATCAAAATGTTTAAAAAAAATGTGGGCTTTCCAAGAAACACAAAGACCTAAGTCCACCCAACACCCCATTGAAGTCAATGGCTAGTGAAACAAAGACTTAACTCATTAAGGCCCAAGTGCTCAGTGACACTAAAACCACTTTTTCTCAAAATGGCCAAAACAGAGTTATGCCTATGTGTCACTGACCCCTCGATGTGTAATAAATGATATACGTTCTCACCTTCTGTGTAAGAAGCGGATATCTTGTAATACGCTGCATGGGTTTGATCAGGTAACTGCTCACTGGCATACCTTTAGTCCGGGTGTCCGTGGCTAGTTTCTGAAAGATATGAAAACACCAAGAAAGAGTGAAACCAAGCCAGCACAAAAAAGCTGGGACTTGTTCTGAATACCCAGTAATTATGATATGCTACCCATAACAATCTTTTGAAAAAATTGCAGGTTTTGTACAGGATCTTTTCTCACTTTAGCATTGCACAAAAAATAAACAAATGAAAAAAAAGAGAAAAAGAGAAACGTAAAGGACAGAAAGGAACATCACTTTTATTTTACAATAATGCTCATGCATGAAATATGTGAAGTAGGTATATATTTGTGGTATCATTTGAAAGGGTAATAGATTTTCAAAAGAATATATACACAGCATCCTATAGTTATACAAGTCACGGTTAACGGTTAAAGGAGTGCAGGGGTTTTAAAAGTAAGCATTGGTTTTTTATTTCATGAAATTTCAAAAAAAAGCACTGCTCTCCTTGCATAGTAAGGCCTTGTTCAGATATGACGCAGTAAACAGCCGCAAAAACATGGCTACGTTTTTAATCTTAAAAATGAATGGGAACACATTAAAAAAACTGAGGTGGCATTTTTTGCAGTAGGTTACCGCGCCATATCTGAACAAGCTTTAAACTCACTGAAGTGAAGTCACTTTCCTTAGTTTTCTTGACTTATATACAAGTATAAACTATCATTTTGTTTGTACATGTATGTTGATCTTGCTTTTCATAAGTTAAATAAAGTGAAATGAGTAAAAATGAACTGAATTGAACAAATTAATTGACTTAGATGCTGCTTATAAGTTATAAATTATAAGGCTTGCGGTTGAATTAATGATTCATACCTTGACATGCTCTTTGAAGTCTGGGTCACTTTCTATCTTCTTTGAGAGCATGCTGGACGCACTCAGCTGACAGCTGCAGAAACGGATGTAGGGCGTCATGCGAGGGAGCTGTATTCAAATTGATTGAAAAGAAAGAAAATAATATGATTAAGATTCAGATTCTAATAGAACTGAAAATAGAACTGAAATTGACCTGAAAAAATACTAGCATAATACCTCACAGTCACACCGACTCCAAGATGACTGATCTTTTCCATTAAGGGTAATGTTATTGTTTTTTAATTGAATGAGTAGAAATTTCTCTTTCGGGTAAAATAAAACCAAGATCATCAATTTTGGGTAAGACGTTTTGATTCTAGGGCTCTTTTTTCGGGAGGCAATGTCTTTTTCAAAAAATTTGCTACTTTTGCAGTCGTAGTCACGCCCGAAGCAGCGAGATAATTGCACACGACGGCCTATTGTACAATCAGCTGTATGAGCGAAAGCATGACTGCTCTCGCTTTGAAAATGAAGACAACTTTCTAATTCTATGGGAATCCTTCAGGCTGTAATTTCTGTAACCATAATGATTTTCTCAGGGGATTGGTACAGTTTAACATGTAAAGTTAATAAACTACATTATTCATACCCTTACGAGTATTATATTATTGTAAGTGTGTGAAAAATTGATTTGTCCCAATTTACATTTCTTGAGAATGTGACATATAAAAGCTTACATCTAAAACTATTCACCACACCAAAGGCCCTAATAAAACCAGCCCCCCTTTCATTCTTGAGTTACAAAAAAACATAAAAAACATCAAATGTACAAGGGGTAAGAATAGTTCAGTTGTCAACTATATATGGATAAAGTATGCTACTGACCTGTTCACACAAGATATCTCCTATCATATGGACGGGTTGGTTCTCACCACTCATCTTCTTCCTCACCCTGAGAGCTCTGGAGACAGAGAAAGAGACAACAAAGTTTGATATACTTACCAAGTTAAAACACACAAACTTGTGAAAAACTAGAAATGCAGTGGACAGGGTATAGGTTTACTGTAATTCACCTTTGACATTTGACCTTATCAAATAAATCTACACCTGCCCTTCAATCCAATTCTGACCAGTGTCTCTCATTTTTCTGTACACAATAATATCAGGGTGGACTTCCCTTTGCATTGTCATAAGCATATATGAAGGAAAGTTTTTAAAAATCCATCATGTTTTTAATGGCTTTTCTAACTTTTAACACAGACGATCAAATATTTTCATTTAGTTGCAACATCCGCCAGGCTCCAACAGTTTTAAGGCTAGGTTTAAAAGAACTTGATAACATTGTATCTTATCTTTACAGAGGTTGACAACCACACAAAAGGAATAAATGACCTTTATTTTAATCTTGGCATCTCGTCTTTAGTACCTTTAGTGGAAGAGAATGTGTAGAGAGGGGGAGATGGAAAATTGGAAAGAGAAGAGAGAAAGTTGGAAAGAGAGAGAGAGAGAGAGAGAGAGAAAGAAGAGAGAGAAAGAAAGAGAGAGAGAGAGAGAGAGGAGAGAGAGTGTGTATAGATTGGGAGAGATAGAGGGATAGATGGAGAGAGAGAGACACAGAGAGAGAGAGGGAGAGAGAGTAGGAGAGAGTGTGTAGAGATTGGGAGAGAAAGAGAGATAGATGGAGGGAGAGAGGGAGAGAGGGAGAGAGAGAGTGGGGTAGAAGATCACCAGGAAGTAAAAAAGAGGAACAGCGAGTGACATACTTGAGTAGTTTTGTATTGCACTGAATGAGTTCCTTCCAATTGACAAAGACAGCAGCCATCTCCTGGGGGTCATAATCTGAGACTCTAACATGGGTTTCTGGAACACCTGATATCAAAAAGACAAACAATAAGAGGTGAGTATTATTGATCAAGAGGTCATTGGTTGTACTAGGAGGGGGGGGGGGGGGGGGGGGGGGGGACACTGGTGGATGAGGAGAGGGTCATAACCATATGTAAACAATACATGTTAATAATTGTAGCTCATACTGTTATGCCATTCAAAGCAAATGGTGGTCCCCAAGTTTGTGCAATTTCTTGGAATTTTCATCAGCTTTTTGTTTATATCTCAGATTCAGATTCAGATTAATTTTATTGGTCCATTTGGAAATTCAGTTTGTCGGCATTACATAGAGCACATGAACAATATTGACCCGCTTAAAAAAATTCATGTCTTGGAGCTAATTCATAATGAGCAGGATAATGACTTCGACAATTCTTGTTCATTATCCGATTGTGACTTAACCTACCTGTAGTGCTCATTCACTAGTGCACTCGTAATAATCGTGATTATTGAGGAAAAAAACCTCTCAGTTTTAGTGAGATTCTGATCTTGTGATACAAAAAACAAACAAAAATTCAATCTCACTAATTTTTTCTGTGTGCGAGTCCGACCATTGATGATAATACCTACCTCAACTGCCAGCTGCATGTCATCTACATAGGCTTGCTCCGTTTGAATCAATTCATGTATTCTGCTCTGTCGATGTTTCTCCATCTCGCTCATACTCTCCAACAGATGAACATCATGGGTCCCTGCACGCACAAACATGAATAATTCAAAGTATGGTGATGTTACATGTAAAGCGATACTGAACTGATAAAATTTTTGCCCTAGTGTATACAGATTATTACCCAGCACCATCTCATGGTCAACTTGCTAACAGTGCGTGATCCAATACCTAATAACCACTTCACAGAAAGAGGACTACATGTAGATGCGAGAATTAACCAACAACGAGTTACAGGACCTTACCGCTACAGCCGACATGAGATGGCGCTAGAGAGGATTTTGCATATGCTACACACCCAATGAAAAGAGTTTTTAGTAGAACTATATTTATTCATCCTAGCTCATTATAGTATTTTTAATTAGTCACAGTGAAATATTTATGATTGATATTTTATTTAAAAAATATCCATTTGGCAAACACTGTTACAGGTTAAATTTCTAATGTAAAAAGGAAAGGCATATTGTCTGTATACAAGTACATGAACAAAATACACATGCTGTATTTTCCCCCTTCCAATTCATTTAAAACAAAAACACAAAGATTCTTACCTGTTTTCTTTATAATGTAAACAGAAAAGACATATCATTTTTTATACATGTACTAAACTAAATATGCTGCGTAAAATGTATTAATATGATTTTTGGGGAACATTATGAATTTGGTTTTTAGCATAATCAGAACAATGTGAATGCAAAGAGAATCTAACAAAATACAGTTACATATGGGCAGTTTCTTTAAAGTGGCACAGTTGTTATACCATAAACTATACATGTACACGTTTATTACATATACCTCCATCTCTCTCTCTCTCTCTCTCCTGCTCTCCCCCATCTCTTTCCTTCTCCCTCTCTCTGCTGTCCCTCGATTATAATTGGTTCAGTTTATACACCATCTCCTTCTTTCCATTCCCACCTTCTCTTCTTTTTCTACACATAGTCCCTTTTGCTACCGATAACATAAATAAACAAATATTTGAAACATGCAGCTAGCCTTTCTAAATTAATAATCATAGGAATAGTGTAGTCTCATTGCCTCTCATCTAGACATCTAGATTCTTTCCAGGTTCGGTTGGGTTCTAGTACAACATTTGGGGGGGGGGAGACTTGAGAAAACTTGGGAGGGCATGAGCCCCCGAGCATTCCTCTTCCTATCTAGAACCACTTCTGAAACACTTCTGAACTGCTAACCCTGCTAGAACCTATCAAATATATTTAACAGTCATGACAGTCTTCTCTTTGGACAATTGTGGAAAATTTGAATTCAGGCCACTGTGAAGGAGCAGGAGAACACTAAATATCCTCTTCTTTTTGTTTGTTTTTTGCAAGCAAGTTTCCTTCTTGTACGTTAGAGTCTAGATGCTTACTAAATCGAGGTGACTCACAGCACATGTACACTATAAAAAGGAGTGAACATTGGTTTGGCGATTTACAGCTTGTTGATTGGGCAACTACATTTTGACACTCTACAGAATCCTAGATTAAAACTTTGGTTGCTTTCTTCATCTTTTTGCACAGTTGCTCATTTGCCACAAGTACATTTTTGCACAAAACAAGAGGCACCAGTTGATGGAAGAACTGCTTTGTGCTACACAATGAATTTGATCCATTACAACCCTTTTAACAATGGTAATGCACTGGAAACGGTTTAACAATCTTGAAGCTTTTGAATTATCTGCCCCATGATAAATACAACAACATGGTACAGGAATATTATTTGTGAGGCATACAAAGAGTTGAATTTGTATGGATATTGTCAATCAAAAATGTTCAATTCTCTAATTGATGTGGACATTAAAAACCCCAAACTACTACTAATAACAACAGCAACTAATACTACGACTACTACAACTTCAAACAACTCCATATATGCACTGGAATGAAATATCACAGCCAATTTATTTCGGTCGATTTCATTGATTTTAATCAATACTTTAACACATGATGGCTGAATTTATACATGCACACATTAGCAGGAGAGAAGGATATATATAATATATTGATATAATATAATATTCATATTTTGCATGCAATTCATAATAACCTATATATGGCTTGTAGAATACACTTCCACAATCTTGGATCCACAGATGTTCCGGCAGCACCTTATTACATTTTCAACACACAGTTCACTTAAGTCACCATTTTGTTCCTTTTGAAAACAAGATATTTTTGTGCATTTACATAATCTTGATAATGATAAAAAGTATTTAAGTTTGTATTCTAATTGAGTAAATATGTCAGATTCATCAGTGCACAAGAGATGTACCATATTTTGTGATGAAAAAAAAGCAATGCTAAAAGTTTTCTGTTTGTCCTCTAGGTATAATTATTGTGCGTTTAATGCCATATACTGTGCTGTGCTTCTGTAAATATTTACTGTCCCAGAATCTCATTACAATTTGTAAATCAGAGCCTACTTGCTTAAATTTCAGTCATTGAGATGCGCCAAATGTTTCATCCCTCATGAATTATTTGTGGATCAAAAAAAAGAAAAAAAAAAAAGAAGAAGCTATAAACTTTGGAATCACACATGGTATCAAAATCAATTTGTCCGGGTTCCAATATTTCTATTTTCTTCACATCTTGAATTAGATATAAACATGTATATACAAGAAGTTTATAGTCAAGTGCAATATTCTTAATGTCTTCATGTTCCAGGATCCTTCCTTCTTTAATACGTAAGTGCAAAGTGCTCATTTCAGAATCAGTAAATTTCAAGAACTGCTTTATATGTTCATACAACACTTAGATGTACAAATCACTGTACATACCAACATGCATGTACAGAATAATTCAAATCACAAATTAAATATTTGAATTCTCGGGCAATAACATTCTACTGTTTGCTGAAATGGTATGATCAGTTATACCTCATAAAAGGTGAGCTCTGCAAAATATGAAACAACCTTTCCTAATTATCAGATATCATATCAGAAGTTTGGTCACAACAGGAAGTTAGATTGCTTAAAGAACTCAATCAAGTTGAACAATTTATGCTTAATTTCTTTCTTCTACAGGTGCAATTGATCAATATATTTTGGTATACAAAAAATCTATATAAATTTATACAGGAGGAAAATAACACTTCCTCAAAAAAAGTGTAAAGTACTAATATAAAAACATTTTAAAAAGGTGATGTAGGGAACATAAACAGGGGATGATTATAGCTGCTACTTTCTACATTCTACATGGCAGTACAAAAATGACTGTTTTCTAAACGGAATCTCTTAAAAAAAGAAGAAGATTTAATCAAGTACATGTACATGCAGAAGTTCCTTAAGAGTAATTATATTTCATCAATTTCATTGAAGCTGCTTGATGCTTTCACCAGTTGCTCTACTCCCATGTGGTTTCTACTTGTAAGTACTAAAATGGATCTATCTTTAAATGACTCGGTTATCTAAAGATTGATATGCCTCAAACATTAAGTTATCTCTTCAATCATTCTGTCCAATTCTTATTATATCTAATTCTACGACTACGACTAAATGTCTGTAAATGAAGGAAAGAGGTACTCACAATAAACTATCCATTTGATATATTCTTAAAGTACATATATTATATTATCTATCTACTCATTCTATACATGAAAATGTCTACAAATTCATACCACTGAATTCCTCAAAAATACGTGTCAAGCAAAAGATGGTCTCCATTTTGCTTTCAAGTACTAGTATGGCAGGGATTTTACTCATAGGCTGACGCAAGAAGGCCATAATGGCTATGTTTATGTATGGCAGTATCTGCCCTCTTTCGGGTATTCAACAATATTTATAAATCTATACTAGACTGAACATTATGAAATGGAATGTTCTCCCTCGCAGGAGTCATACTAGCAGATCAGTTGAAGTGTTTAAAATAATCTTAAAACTTTTAAAATCTAATTTGGCATACCATTACTTTGTTCTAGTATTCTATATCTTACTTCTGTTCCATTGTTTATAATGCAGATGCTTTTATGCGATCTCTTTTTTTTGTTTTTCATTTAACAAGTGCATCTTGAGCATTTGATTTCAAGTGGTTTCGGCGCCTTACAAATCTCATATATTATGATCAACATTATCCTATATTGCATTTACTAATGTACTTCAATGTCATTGTCATATACTGGGTGCATTTAATCATGGCATGATAACATTTAAAAAATCTAAGAATCAAATAAAAACTTATTAAAATTTAAGAATGGATAGGGTACATGTGTACTTTTTGTGTTTATGGTAAGTGAAATGATGATTAGAAAATATCTACAACCCTATAACAAAAAATATTTTATATACACCCAGTACTGTTTGTACATAAATCTGTACAAAAATGTACAACCTCCAAATATGTATAGCTGTAGAGTTAATATATCAATCAATAAATCAATCAGAATAATACCATCCTCAGCTACATAATACCAGTTTTCTTTGAATCAAACCAATACCCATTTTTTGACACACACATAAAAGATTGCACTCTCTTAAAAAAAATAGGGTACTCTGTGATCGTTAAATGTAAATGTAGCTCTCTCTCATAATGATACATGTATTCCTATTCTGAAAAGTTATCTCTTGATATAGATGTAGAATCTAGCTTTCTAAATTCCAACGGAAGGGCGATTCCCTTGTAAATGATGACACCATCAATATTCTACAGGTGCACCTATAGCATGTCTACCGTATCTCTAAATTGAGAGCTCTTTTGTATCACAATTTACTGTTTTGAATTCTGTAGAATACCGTCAGCAATATTAATACATTGTGCGTTCAATCAATCAATCAATCTAACTGTGGTATTGTCTAATGCAAATAGTTGAATGTAAATTGCATAGAAGTTCTTTACAAATTTCCATAAGAGAATGTTTGGACTATGTCCATGTCTATGTCCCTTGGAAGCCTGTTGATTGATAATGATGGCTGGGCAGAGTTCTATAGCAGAAAGTCATATGTAACGTAGGTTTAAAAGGGCAGTATAAATACGTCTCGGCAGTATGCTTACCGGTATATGTGTCCATGGTGGAAATAGAAATTTGTTTTACAATATTGGCTCTATCTTATACATGTAGTTCGACAATCTGTGGTGTATCTATTCACTAGTTGATATACTCTAAGACGAAGCAACAATATAAAGTTAACTTTTCATTCATTAACTATGCTATAAAGTAATGATAAATAATAATGGTGGCTTCTTGCGATTTGGTCACTATTAACCCTGATCATAGATATCATAGGAGGCCAAATATGTACAGCTCTAGCAAATCATGTACCCTTCTACACCTGGGTGGAGAGAGACAAATGTGGATCAATGCCTTGCCAAAAAACATCAGTACCAGGCTGGCTGACATTAATGCCTTGCCCAAGAAAGTCTCTCTTGTTAAATATTTCACTTGAGGAGTTAAAAAAAAACGAACAGCAACCTTGCATTTGCTACTATCTTCCCATTTATCATCTAAAATCAAAGAAATCTGACAATTTTTTTCTAGAGGGCTTCAAAAAACTGTACATCAGCTTTAAGCTAACTGTCCTTTTCCAACAGACTATATAACATCTACATCTCCTAGTAACCTACCTTGTCATACTATGAAGTACAATGGGATATATAATCCAAATCAAATAAAAAACAAAAATGCATTAAAAAATAATTAAAACAAAGACATACTTTAGATAATGGAAGAGCATCAGTACTGGCCATGAAATATACATTGTACATATACATGTACTAGGTCTGTACTTCAGGTTTATCAATTTGGAATGGGGTGAAATACCAAAGTAATGACCCAAAAAACAAAACAAAAACAAAGCAAACAATGTACCTTAAACAAATACCTGCACTGTACCATCAAAGATATTTGATATCTCTAATAATTCATAATAATCAAAATAAATTCATATTAGGAAAATTTTACAGATGAAATGATTTTTCATATAAATGAAGCTCGCAGCAATTACTGTTACTGTTAATAGTCATTTTCATTGGAAGACAAAAGAATGTTACCAAAATGAGTGTTTGTTTTTAAACCCCTCAAAAACAGCTTGGAAACTCAACTTTGATTTATAATATCTCCCTGGGATGATCATCGCTTTGTTTAATATTCGACAGTATGTTTATTCCTCTTTAAAACGATACCTTATTTGTTATGATATTGTAGCCATGGAATGAGCAGTACATTATTAGAATAAGGGGCAGGGTCAAAAGTGATAAGTTGCAAAATGCACTGGTAAGCACTGGTATTGTTATGCAGCGCACTACACGACAGCCCTACACTATTCAAAGAAAGAAGAAAGCACAGCCGAACAAGAGCATTGCATTTTGAAACTTCTCACTTGTGACCTTGCCCCTCATTTTGATGCAATGCACATTCCATGACTGACTGGAAAATCATAACAAATGGGGTATCATTTTAAGAGGGAATAAACACACTTTATAATGATACTAAGTATAGTGATGATTATGCCATAACAAGGGAAATATAATTAATCAAACTTTATAGAGTTTCCAAACTTTTTTTAAAGGGGTTTAGTTGCAGATTTGTGAGGATGACCATTTGTCTATTTTTCCTTCAAGGAATTTCTCCAGTGGTCGAGGGTCGAGTTCAATACTACTTTCCATGTCAGTAGATCCCAAAGCTAAGTATATGAGTTAATTCCAAACAGACAGACTACCGGTATGTGAATTAAAAAGTGCAGGCGATATAGGTTTTCTAATGCTTATCCAATATCTGCATATTTTGCAACCTTAGTTAACAAATAATATTCTTCAGTGTACTAGCACATCGACATATTCTTTAAACTTTTCAACAATTCAAAGTCTTTGTTTTTTAATTACATTATTTCAGTATTTACTGAATGGAATGGTAAATAAAAAAAAATCAATATATTACTTTATTTCACTTTACAAATTTCTCAAATGACGAAATATTCGTGATAATTTCTTTCAAGTATACAATTAAAATAGATGAAACACTATACCTACCTCACAGGCTAGATACAATATCATTAAATACCAATAATTGTTCAGTTCTATTGTTCTTTGTATAAAAACCAATATATCACCTGATTAAAAGACACACTACTACTATTACACTGCTAACCCATAATCCAAGCTTAGAGGAAATACTCTTGAACACAGCTAAAGTTCCAAAAATCACGAAAAAGATCCTAATTTTCACCATTTCTACCACTAATAACAACTCAAAGACTACATTAGCACTGACCAAACAATGTTATCCCTCAACAACGGCAGTAAAAGGGGAATACATGTACATCTGAAAACTGTTAATACTTTACAACTCTTGCACTTCAACTTTTTGTCAAATAACAATACGTGTACAAATAAAGTAGCACATAGCACAACAATCCAAAGATACACAATCATCTTGCCAAATATACCTTTTGCTCCTATTCTATATTTGCCTACATACATACTTGAAAGTAAGAAATTTGAATTAAAGTTCTGGTAAAGGTGGAAAAGAATTCTGAGCTTCCATAAAAGAATATTATCGGAACATTGTCAAATAAAAGAGACTACCCTCAAAGTAAAAAAAAAAAAAAAATGACTAGAAATAGCCTTTAAGTGTGGTCCAAACATTCATGCCTAACAGGTCTATGTTCCATTTCTGTGAGCATGCACTCTTCACTGTATTCAAATTTCTGCAAATTTTAGTCCTTCCTATCATTTTGTATTATTTCACAACCTCACAATTTTGCAATATTTCTGATGTACCACACAATCAAACTTTTCAAATGTGCTGCGAAACTATTTTTCTTTCAAAATGCATTCATGTGGCCAGGGAGGCATTTCACAAAGCCCTTTTTTTCAATGTCAAATGACAAAAATCAGTGACAAATCTGCTGATAACCAATCAAAAGCAAGAAATTCAGTAGCTTATAACAAAAACTGTCATTTGTCACTGATGACAAGTTTGGTGAAACGCCCCCCAGTACTCAACTTTATCTTTAATAGCAAAATTACCATAAATACAAAGGGCATATAGCTTGTGCTTGGTAGTGGGTTTCAGGTTAGTTATACACTTTCAAGTATTGTCTAGTTGCACTGCCTGAGCTTCATACAGATCTGAGGGGTGTTTCACAAAGACTGAGATTGAGTTTAAGTTGGACTTAACTATGGCAGGCCATTCATGCCACTGTTTGCTCTCACCATTTACTGGCATTGGTCTCACAAGGGAGGTACAAATCATGATTAAAAATCATAATGGTGAGAGCAAACAGTGGCATCGATCTTAGTCTTTGTGAAACATCCCTCTGCTAGTTGTTTGGGATAATTCCTGTAACAAGAAACTTAATCTAAGGCGAGACTTGGCTAACTCTATCACTGGCTACTAGCGCATGAATATGGGAAAGTACAAGAGCAACTAAGACCCACTACCAAACACAACTCGGAATTATACACAATTATTCCATTTTTAAGCGATAAAATGATTAAGATATAACCAAGCTGGTATAGACGATCCAAAGTATATTAAAAAAACAGAAGATGACATCAAGATGAATCCCAGACTGGTATCAATCCCACCTCAGTGTCACTAGTCGAGTTGTATATCCAAATACTTCTGAAGAAAGGGTTTTTGCACCAGTCTCAATTTCACAATCCAAGTTTAAGTTTGGTAGTGGGTCTTTAAATGCTCTTGTAAGAGTGGTATTCTTAGAGACCAGGGTACTTGGTTCTAGTAGGCGTGGAAGCAGAGAAGATGAAAGAACAAAATGGTTTTAGAGCATGGGTTGGCTTATTTGACAGTGAAAAAGAAGGAGAGGGGGGGGGGGGGGGGGGTGTATGGAGAGGATTGGGAAACACAGGTCTCTCTTCTCTCGTCTTTTACAACCATCCCCTACAAGCTCTTCTATGGAAAATCTAACATACATTACAAGTAATTATGATGGGAGAGGTTTCCCTGGTATGTCAGAGTTTATCCCGACTTGCAAGACATAATATCAACTTGATAGATAGAAAGAATGAAAGAACATTAGAAATGCAAATATAGCACTCACAGCAAATTTGTGCAGGATAGCAAAAAAATCCTTCGGAATCTCAACAGACGCAGACAATATATGCATTCAACTCAGCTGAATACTGTGCATGTGTCTAGGTTATAGGGGCTTGTCTACGTACTGCATTGTTATGTCTTGTCGTATTCATAAGCCAACTATCTAACTTGACTACTAATTGCTTTTGGATTGTTATGCTTTTTAATACAGATTTTACACACTATATACTAGGTAAATCAAGGGAAGCAGTGATAATAGAATTGCCTCTGGTATGAAACAGCACTGGTGAAAAATGAAGAAAGAACCTGATATTAACTTTGTCTCTAATATCCCTCTGACTGTAATGATCAATAATCCTGTGACCTTTAACATTTGACCTTACGAAGCCAAACTCTTCAGGTAATCTTCCATGCTCATACATACTTGTGCCCACTGGGGTTGACACTGGTTTAGTATTTCTTGAGTTGTCACAGTATTGAGATATTTTCTGCTTCTGATTTTAAACATGACCCTGTGATCTTTCACCTTTGACCTCTTACAAGAGACGAGTACAGAGCGAAACCAAACTGACTGCAGGAAGATTAAATCTGTGATTAGTATCTTAGCAAGAGGATATCACAATGGCTAATGGAACAAACCTTGCAAACTGTCATGCCAATATATTCCTATACCAACCCTTATATTGACAAAAGAGGGTTTAGACAAAGACAGCTTTATTCTTGAATTCTAAAATTTGGTTCATACATAGTGTGATAGTGAAGTTGGATAGCACATAAAAATATGAGTATCGATGTGAACAATCCAAAAGACAAAACATGAGGTTATTGGTCCCACACAAATGTAATTTCTTAAACATGATATTAAACAGCATTATTATGGTAAATGAAATCCAGCACTATTGTGGTAAAACAAATCCTGCCTTGTTCACAGAAACAGCAACTAACCAAAACTTAAGCAACACAGCACGTGCTTGTACTTCAGGCATTTGACTTGTTTCTGGGAAAGGCAAGTTCGGATATATGACATGATAAACTGCTGTAAAAAAAACACACAAACAAAAAACACACTATCATATCACACTTTATACTTTATATCATCAAGTAAAACAAAAACGTTGCGGCTTTGCCACATCATATCCGAACAAGGCTTCATTTTCTACCTACAAGCAAGCAGAAGCATTGCTTCTGGCAAGGTGAGCAACAAAGAGAGTGTTTTTTACTTACAGTCCGTGGCCGGAGCACTCTTGCTGTCCCCGAGCTCCTGCACGTAATTGGACGGGAAGACGCCCTCGGAGCCGTTGAGCTCCCCTCTCCACCAATCAGGGTCCTCCTTGCTTAGGACGTTGATGACCATGCCTTTCTGGAAGGACAGCTCGTCTTCGTTCTGCTGGGCGTACTGGTAAATGGTGATGACTTGGCATACTGTGGGGGTATTAGAGAGGAGGAGGAGACAAGGGAGAGAAGGGGATGATGTTAAAGATATAGACCGGTAGTGGTAAAATTGCGGTTCAAGGATTTTGGGTGCAAAATATCCATTCAATATTGTTTAAATATTGCCTCCAGAGGTTAAGATGGCAATACTTCAACCTAAATTTGCAAAAAAAGTAGAAATATATGGCCAAATGTTCAATGTTGAAGTGTATTCACGATATCTATCCAGGCCGGATCGATATGATAATTTAACAAATATATCAATTAGTAGGCGGTTTTCGAGCAAAATTTGTATTATCACATATTAGTCAAAACATATTCTTTCACATAATTGGTGATAGGAGCTTTCATTTCAATTTTTGAGAGGGGGTATTTCCAAAACTGGTCTATACCTTTAACAAATTGACAGAGAATTTATATGGCACAGGGAGCAAACATTGGTTGGAATGGCAGCCAGGTCATGAGTTTTGCTCCGAAGGACCAACAAATCATATATATGACCACAGAAACTTGGGAACATTATAAAACTTGCAATTTCTTACAAGTAAGGGCACCTGGCATACGATAACTAGAAGTTTCAGGTCATCTAAAAAAGAACACAATTTAGGGGGTGGGGAAGCGGACCATCTTTAATATAAAGTGTTCTACAGGCATGCTTTATAATTTGTTAAAAATGTCCCAATACCATTTTCAAGGAGAGGAGGTAATAAAATGATGACATTTAGGACAAATCATTTCAAAGACTGGTAGATTTTTCAATACTATCTCAGGAGCAGCTATATTTTACAAAAAATTAAGCCTTGATTAAATTATGGTTGAAATATTGGAAACATCAACAATTTAGCTCTGTATAGCACGTATCACATATCAAAACATTCACTCTGTCTCTGGCAAGATACCATCACAGAATTTCTTTAACCACGTTCTCTATGTGATTGTCTCAAGAGACAACTGTAGAGCTATTTAAAGCTGAGAATGTTATGGTCTAATAATCATTTAGTCATAAATTGTGGATGGTGGACAAAATGGGCATTAGACAAACTGGGAATCAGACCGACTGGCAAATAGACGAAATGAGTAGTAGACTTATTGGTGATTAGACCAAATGATAGGTAGACGAAATGATTATAGGACCATGTGGATAGTAGACTGGCTGGGTGTAGACCAAACGGCTAAAAACTGTAATGAAAAGGTGGGTATTTGAACCCTGGAGCTGGTAAGAGCCAAGGGAATGAACCACAGGGCTACTACAGTCAAACCTGCTTTAGTGACCACCTGTCTACAAAGACCACATTTTTGTTTCCCTTGAAAAAGATTTCTCATTGAAACATGTACTAAAGGAACCTGTCTACCACTTTTTGTGTTTCCTTTGGGCATCGCTATAGACAGGTTTGACTGTACAATATTCAAGTGGTAATACATCAGCTTACCCATATCAATGCCTGGTGTCAGTCTCTGGTTTGCTTGCTGTTTGGAAAATCAGAAGGAACAAAAAGTAAGCATCAATGATACATTGTTGTTATAATATTTCGAGAGCACTTTCTAATACCTGACTGCTGTCACTGTGGCAGATTTTGAAAAAGGCCTTGAATTAATCATGTTATCTCGCTGCAACATTCAAATCAATTCTCATTTCAATATTTTCAAAACTAAGCTTGGGGTATAATACAGTTAAAATATTTTGAAAGATCACATAAGATGAGAATAGATCCATAGGTACCAACAAGGTGTAGCTTTCCACAGGCAATATAGAAAATAAAGCCTTGAGCATCCAATGACTATAAATACAACCCCTGGAAAGTAATAGTGCTCCTCCAAGTCTATCATGTCTCCCCCCCCCCCCTCCTGATTTTCCATGATTATGCTCACTCCAGTCCTATGGAACCTGCCATGTTCTTGCAGTTTTAGCTTTTCCCTTTGTGGAAATTATCAATGGATAATCTGGAAGGAGATGTTAGAAGAAGATATAAGAGCATCTGGAGGGTGTTTCACAAAACTTGTCATCAGTGACAAATGACAGTTGTTGTTATAAGCTACTGAAATCCTTGCTTCTGATTGGTTATCAGCAGATTTTACACTGATATTTGTCATTTGTCATTGAAAAAAGGGTTTGTGAAACGGGTCCCAGGCCTTATCCAGGCGGATGCTCAAGACCGGAGGGCTCGGAGAAGGGCCATAAAGGAAATGAAACGTCCAACCCCACAGGGTGGGAAAAACGGACGCTAAACGTCGACGAATTACTCACCGAAGGTGGAGTCAAGATACTGGGCAATTTAGAAGTCTCACCAAGAGTAATTCAGAAACCCTATGAATCCTGTAATGTCTTTCTGGCATTAAGCCTACACCCTTCCCTCCCTCTCCTACCACCCCCCCCCCCCTCCAACTTAAAGTTGCTCAAGCGTGGGTATATAGTCGTTCGTGAAGTAGGCAACTTGGCGATCACTCCTGATCACTTCTGATCACTATAACACTGAGCCAATAGGTTTTACGCTCCTGTGCGTCCTTCCGTGCGCTGCCCTCTATATACCCACACTTGAGCAACTTTTAAAAAAATGAGAATGGGTAGTTACTCACCGAAGGAGGAGTCAAGATACTGGGTGATTTAGAAGTCTCACCCGGAGTAGTGACCTTGCCAGCAGATTCCATCAGCTTTACATAGTTTGCAGGGAACCAGCCAATCTGACGTTTCTTACCCCTAGCCTGAAACAATCAACAAACATCACAGAACATCTTAACCACAATGGTATACATCTAATGTACTGATTCTACACAACCAAACATGGAGGTACACAGTAAAAAATAATAACTTTTCAGTCATTCAAATTTTGTTTTTATTGCAATTTATCATTTTGTCACTTACTGCTCCTTCATTGACTACTTGCAATTGGGTATTATCAACAGGAAAATGGAAATCTAGATAGAATATTAGAACAAAAACAAAACAACCAATTCTTGGATATCGTTTAAACTTTGGTATCAATGCATTATTTTTGGGGGGTAACACATGTCATATTTATTGTCACAGTTCGCATCTTTATTCACGAAATTGTTTCGAAAAAAGCAAATCAACATTCATTGAATATATCAGGGTACTAATCCCAATGACAAAATTAATCGTTGCATCATGACGGAAAGAAAATCTTTTTTATGGAAATAACATCAATGGCGGGTTAAATTGAGTCCAAAAAAAGAAAGAAGAATAGTTCTGGCATAAGATAACAATATATTTAGTTATTCCTGCACTGAAATCCCAATGTAACTGTAGCTAATCTATGAAGACTTACAGTTAACACAACAAGATCTTTTACACTGGTCAAAGTCAGCCTGACCTAGGGGGTGTTTCACAAAGATCCTAAGTTGAACTTAACTCTAAGTTAGACTTAAAGATGAAGTTGAGTTCTAGTCATGCGATTGCATTGTGAAAGAAACGGTGTGGAACCGACCAGAAAAGGTTGATCATCTAGCATATAAGAATTTGTGTGTATTGCAAGGTTCTGGAATCATCAAAATGATAAGAAATTTGGCCAAGTCTTGGTAAAGTTACAAACACTGTACACAGAAAGATGTATATGGGACTACACGAACACGTGGCGTAAAAAGCCGGCCTCCGATTTTTACGATGTTACATGCATATTTAGAATATGAAGGCATTTGAAGAGCCATGCTTTTCAGGAAACATGTCTTATCTGATGTTCTTCCACACTTGCATAATAAGAATGATTAACGCTCACAAATTATTTTTCACCTCTTCCCAGAACTCAACCTTCTCTTTAACAAGGGAAACGCTCTCGGCAGTCTCGCCTGCATTACGCAATTCGATATGATGAAAAATTGAGGTTGGAACATTATTTATAGGCAGGGTGGCCCATTAGCAGGCCCCACAAAATGAAATCCTCTGAATATAATCAGCATTTTGAAGTGAATATTGACTAAGAATCATCAGAAGAATTATTTACTATTAATTGTACCATGATCGATAACTTGAATGAAATATAAACAAATTAATAAAAAAAAGATTTATTAATTCTCATATTAAGTTGTAAAAACATAATCCAAGTCTACTGACCTAAAATGACCTTTGACCTTGTGACCTGGAATTTGTGTCATTTGATTTGTGATACTTGATAACCCTTGGGTACAAGTTTCATGGAATTTGAACAAACAATTTTGAAAATATGCTAAAAATTTAAAATCTTGATGTTGATGCCACAACAAAGTCTAAGTTTGTTGACCTAAAATGACCTCTGACGTTAACTAAGTGACCTGAAATACTGCTCACATGATTGGAGATACTTGATAACCCTATAGTCCAAGTTTCATTGACTAAGAACTTAAACATTCAAAATTATATCAAAAATTCAAAAATTTAACCTTAGATTAAGTTTTTGATGTTGACGCCGCCGTCGCCGCCGTCACCGAAAAAGCGGCGCCTATGTCTCGCTTTTTTGCTACGCAGGCGAGACAAAAATTATGAAGAGCCATTTGTAGCCTTAAAATTAAAAATATTCAGAAGCGAAAACTCATTGACTTTTTATAAATTCTTAAAATAACTTTTACAAAATATTTTCAAAGATGCTAATGGCTTTCCATAATTGTTATGTCCAACTTAGAGTTAAGTTTGACTTATGATCTTTGTGAAACACCCCCCTGGACAATGATCAGATTTGATTGAGCTCACCTGTAGTTCACCTTCCCACCAGCCGCTAGCATTCTTCTTCCTGACCATAATGAGTTGTCCTGCGGTCAGGCTGAGCTGCTCTGCTCCCGTCGCTTCATAGGAGGCAAGCACTTTGGCAATCTCTGGTTTCCTAGATAAAGATCCAGACTTGGCTGCCACATCGGCCGGAACCACTGGAGCAAGAGACTGACCGGTAGTAGACAATGTCCCCTCTCCCTCTGGCTGAGCCATCTGCACATAGTTAGATGGAAAGATGCCTTCCCGACTACCGACCTTACCCGTCCACCATTCCCCATCTTTCTTTGTGACCGTGATGCGCTCCCCGGCATCGAAGGCGAGGTCGCTTGGCTCATCCGATGAGTAAGTGTACAGGGCCACATATTCTGCAAAAAGAGAACACAGCCAAAACTTATAAGGTCTCTCATAGGTGATCCCGCATTTGCTCTGGCGACCATCGTTAACGGCTGTATTTCGTTAGAAGTACAGGGTTAGGGTAGCATATAAAATTTGGTTTTGGGAAGTCTTAGGGCTAGGATCAGGGAGCGTTGGGTAGTGTGTTGTATCCTGCGGTGACAGTAGGAATGCAATTAGTGTAGGAAATTACCACAATAATATTGTATGGCTTTGTTTTCGTGTGATACATAAATATATTGCTCTCGCTATGACAATATATTCTTGTATCACGCCATCCAATATTATATAAGTATTATCATACAGATTTTCTCATCACAGAAAAAGTCAACCGGGACACTACAATGTGGGTAGTCACAGTTGAAGAAATACCCTTTGTTTCTAGAAAAGATGTATTGAAATTAAGTCATTCTAGAGAAGGAACGGAGAAAAGAAGGAAAGGAGAAAAGAAGGAAAAGCATCCCATTAAAAAAACAAGTATTAAAATAATAAGCCTTTCAATATGATGTCGATGACCTTGTTTTTGCAGTGATAAAAATGTTTCCTGAAACAATGTCCTTATCCTCACCTTCAAGTTTCTGTCCTGATGCATCTCCTTGTTGTGGGACGCTATTCTCTTGTGTTGCTGCCACAGTTGCGGCAACTACTGGAGCCTTTAGCACCTGCTGCCGCAGTGATGTTGGCGGAGGGCTCGGTTGCTTGGTCACCTTGGGGTGTTGGCATACAAGGCGAACGGCTCGTCGGGCTGGGGTTTGGGAGTGTTGGCGTAGATGGCATCGCTGTCAGCGGAGTTGCGGAAGTTGTGGTTTCTGCCCTCTGGTTGTGACCTAATGGTGAGAGCAAATGATTGAGCAGACAGCAGTGAGTGTATGAGCAGTAGGAAGAGGAGCAGAGACAGACATTGGGAGAAGCAACATGGAAAGAGGCTATGAATGCTCTTTACGTCATGGTCTCTCTCTTTCCGTTTGTGTCGGTCTAATGGTCTTATCGTCTGTGCGGCCAGGGTATGCAGAAGTATCATGCTATGTTTTTTACGTTACACTGAAATGTGAAACAACATGATTGTAAGTGTAAAACAATATGATTATTCATTTATTTTTCTGCAAAAAAATGCATATTCTGTAAATCATTGTTTTCTGACCAATAAAACCGATCAAGATAAAAAAAAAAGAACAACCATCATTATCATCATCATCTTCATCACCAAATTATAAATCGACTTACTCATCAAGGACGTGGGCTTTGGGGAACCAGCCCTGCTTGCCATCTATCTCACCAGACCACCACATATCCTGCTTCTCCAGTACGGTAATGGTGGCACCGGCTTTGAAACACAGGTGGTTGTCTTTCTTAGCATCCCAGTCGTAGAGGGCCTTCACCTTGGTACCGGCCGGTGGTATCGTACCCTGTGGTGGTAGGGGGTTAAGTATAGAAGAGGTCAAATATAAGATGTGGCACATATGGAGAGAGAGAGATGGAGAGAGATGGAGGGAGAGAGATGGAGAGAGAAAGAGAGAGAGAAAGTAAGAGAAAGAGTATGAGAAAGAGAGAGAGAGAGAGAAGGAAAAAAAAAGAGATAGAGAGAGAGAGAGAGTAAGAGAGAGAGACAGACAGAGAAAGAGAAAGAGTGAGAGAGAGAGAGAGAGAGAGAGAGACAGGGAGGAGGAAGAAGAAAAAGATGAAGAGTGTGACAAGCATATTGTATCATAGAGAAGAAAAATGAAGATACAGAAAGGAAGAGTATAAAAAAGGACATAAAACAGGAATATTCAGACCAGAGAAGAGTGCAAGTGAGAAAATCAAAGAACAGTCTCTGTTACTCTTTGAAGATTGCTGAACACTTATTGTTATGGTTGGTAACATATCAAAATATTGGTTCTTGGTATTATTTTAATACACATTTTTATAATTCAACAAGCATCAAACAGTATTATACAAATACACTACATTATATACAATGAAGCTTTACCGTTAATGTTCAATGAAGTCCTATAATAAAACAACATGATTTTGATTTAGTCCTACCTGATTTGGAACAGGTGACGGAGTGGCTCCTGTCTGAGGTACAACCTTTGTGAAAGATGAAGGACTATCGGCTGCCGGTACTTTGGAATCGCTATCCCCTATCACATCGTAAACCGGATCGTCCGTTACGGCCTGGTCAGTGCTGGCTACCTGCTCCTTCTCGATGGGCTTTGGCTTGCTGACCTGCGGGACTGTGCTGGCCACCGCAGCAGCACTAAAGGCGGCGGTGAGTGACGCGACGGACCTGGAGGAGGGGGCTGGAGTGGACTCGATCTCGGAGACGGGCGTGGAGTGGGGCGTTGTCGGTTCCTGAGATGAGGGGGCGGGGGACGGACTGGACGTTGCGGCCGGCGCTGCATTTGCTGGAGCTGGAGAGGGCGTAAGACTGGAGGATGCGGCCGGAGCGGAGGAGGTCAGGCTGGCTGCTGTGGTGGAGATCGCAGCGGAGACGGCAGCAGGGGTAGGAGCAGACTGCTGCTTCACCTCAACGCTCCTGTCAAAGACATACAGAATCCTTTCAATGTATACAGTCAAACCTGTCTATAGCGACCGCCCAAGGGAAACACAAAAAGTGGCCTTTGTAGACAGGTTCCTTTAGTACATGTTTCAATGAGAAACCATTTTCAAGGGTAACCAAAAAATGAGGTCTTTGTAGACAGGTGGTCATCAAAGCAGGTTAGACTGTACCAGGGACATTGTGATCTGGTAAATGTGTCATAGAACTGTCAATGCACAGGTCTTTTTTATTAACCCTAAGGTGTTTACAATCTGCACCAAAATATTGAATTTCTTACACTTCATACCCAGGATATAAAGACAAGATATTGCAGACAAGAGAAAAGAAGACATTGTGTACAGGTTTGATAAGAATTCACAGACCAACTATGTACACCTAGTACACCAGGGCCCCCTTGCATCAAACTGACCATTGATGGTAACTTTGAAATCAATGGCAACTACAAAGGTAACAGGGCTCAACAGCAAATCAAAATCCAGGTTATCATTGTATTTGACATTGATGGTAAAGTTACCATCAACTGTAATTTTTCTGCAACGGGCCCAGTAGTACCTGAAAAACATTACAAATATGAAAGCGATAACTTCTAAAACAAGATTTAATAAACTTCCAAAAGTAATTACGGAGATTTTTTTTCTCCAAAATCAATTAAAATTTGCAGGAATCTCTCTAAAGTCCTTACTTCTTTGTGTCTCCGAAGCTAGACCAGCTTGGCGCATCAGCCTTTCCGATGACACCATTGTTTTCTGGTTTCCTAGGCGTGGTGGGTGGAGAGGGTAGTTTCTCTGCATAATTCTCAGGGAACCATCCTGTCCTTCCCTCAAGTTCACCGCCGAGCCAACCTGGTTCACCTCCTTGGTTCTTACCAACCTGCCAATGGAATAAGGATTAAACGATTGAATAGTATGAAAAATAAATTGAATTATAGAGGTGTTGTGGTATAGTGGATAGAAATATAATTTTTTGTCATTTTATGTGTTGTTCCCCACTACATCACCTAGAATTTTCATTCCTAAGTTCTCAAGAATGCAATGATTGTATACCTATCTTTAACAATATTTATAGAGCACAACATATCCATCTCTAGAGAAAAAGAAAAATAGAAATTAATGATATTTTTTAACACGCCAAAAGGGACTACGTCACAATCCTCTGACCAAATTGCCAATTTGAGAATCGCATAGATTTTGAGATTTGATATTTCAAACATTCATAACTTTCTTATCATTGGTCCAATTTGTTTAAAACTTTCACCATTCTGTTTATATGCTGGTGGGCAGCATATTTCCACATTGTGGACAAAATAAATCAATATCGATATCAATATCAATATCTTATTTTTGAACTTGTTACAAGAATTGGATTGCTCTTTGAGTACCCCTAAACATCTTACATACCAAGATGATGTCCCCTGGTTTGATGGACAACTCATCAGGTCCTTCTCCATCAAATTGATAGAGGGCTTTGTACTGTGACAGCACCGTCTTGAGATCTTTGGGCAGTGGAGCTGGCTTCGTCGTTGAGGGCGCTTCTCGAGCTGACGAATTCTCTGGTTGGGACGCGACGACCGCTTCCACTGTTGGTTGAATCGTGAGCGGACTCTGCTGCGAGGAGGGCTGCTTAATCGCCGCATTCGTAGAGGGCGCCGTTACTCTTCGTGGTTGCGGTGTTGGAGTGAAAGAAGAAGTGGCAAGACTGGCGGAGCTTGTTGTTGTTGTTGTTGTTGCACTACTGGAAGTTGTGGACGATTGTTGTGGCTTGAAAGGTTGACCAAAGTCAAATGAGGATGTGGAGAAATCTGCAAGAGAATTTTTCGATTATTTCAAACATTTTATATGTAATTGTGCCAACCACTTGCAGACACAAGAAAAGAGTAGGAAAACATGTGAAAACCTACAATACATACATATATGTGCAAGACAAAGTCCTCAGAGAAAATGACAGCATACAATTGAGACTGTTAGCTTAGCCTTATCTAATGATAAGCTATTACTAAATGTCGAGTAGTCTATGGTTGCATCATTTAACTGATGGGTTATTTCTAATTAATTCATTTTTGTCATACTTATCTACCTATCTGCACTATTTCTATTCATTCATGTATTCATTTACTTATTAATTTCACTCATTTATCATTATTTTAACTTTACCTGCAAAAGTTCCGAAGGGATCTTTCTTCTCTGAATCCGGTTTGGTTGATTGCACTGAGCCAGTACCTGTATGCACAAGACAGCAAGAAAATGATCAAAAGTAATTTGAGCATGTAAAGATTAAGGAGGGGTTACATCAATATTAACTCCATGTTAAATGGTAAATTGACAGTGATATATATGGATTTTCATCTCTAACATGTATTACCAACTACCTCTATTAAAGATTAGGTAGATATGATGACTGTATCATGCTGATAGCCCTACTAAAGCTTTAATCAGACAAATTATCAAATAAAATGACATTCAAATGTCAGCTTTAGTTCACAATTCCATAATACAAATCAATAATAATTGCCAACTGGCCAGGGGTATAAATATATGTTTATGTTTTAGTTGATTATGACTCCATTACAGGAAAAAATATTCATTGTAGGGGCTCAAAGGATTTTGAGTATTATACATGTCATCAACAGTCCAGAAATCTGATAAACTTCCAAATTTTACATGGCAAACACCGAAAAGACCATTTTTGTAATGTGATCAAATTAAATGCATCAATCTTTGTCAAGTGCCATGTTACAAATCATTTCATTCACCTGTTACAAATAATTTGTATTTCAATAGTCAGAATACGAATTGCATACAGTAATCGTTGCTAGGTAGAACAAACATTATGGCTTGTCCTACCTAATAACACGGAATGTATGCAATTCACATTCAAACTATAGAAATATAATTATTTGTAAGAGGTGAATGAACTAATTTGTACCGAGCCACTTCACAAAGATTTGTGCATTGAATTTGATTACATTTATGAAAATGGCCTATTTCTCAAAATTAAGGGTAGATACCTGAAAATGCAGCGAAGGGGTCACTTGGATCTGTTTTTGTGCCTTCATTGCCTGTAAACAGAGAGACACAAAGTAAGTAAAGCATTAGCCATTGGAGGACTACAAAATAGAAAAAGCAACACTTTCTAAAATTGAACTCGTTTTCGTAAGGCAGTAAAACAATAAGGACTATTTGGCAAGGTATATTTACCTACACCTACACACATAACCAAAGCAATACATTTTTTTTAAAGCAATAAATGTAGAAGATGTCCACGTCAAAGTGTCATTTTGGAGATGCGATATACCTAATCTATAATTAATAATAAGAATAGTACTGCTTTTTGAGAAGTCTGTAACAGTCAAAGAAAGAAAAAATCAAAACATATGGCCAATGTGAAGAGCAAAATATGATTCATGCAGTTGGTATTTTAGAAATTACTTTCCCTTGATGGGTGACAAAAATCCTTCATCCAAAATAAAAATGTAAATATCTTCAAGATTCCAACTGACAATTTTTTTTTTGGTATACTTACTGTCAAATGCTGAAGTAAACGGGTCATTATCAGCGGAGCCTAAAATGAGAATTAAAGATAATACAAGGATAAAACTGAATGAGTCTAAAATCTGACTGCAATCTCCCATTATTTATATACATTGTCAATGAATATCGAGGCCCATTTTCAAGGCACACGCTCTAAGTAGAATAATCTATCAATACTAAATATGCCCCCCTCCCCCCCAAAAAATGGTAGGCTGAACCATTTTTCTTCTTTTTAACTAACAGCTTTTTAGCAAGCCTTAGGCTACTTTGATTTTCTTGTTTATATCATGATTCAACAGATTTAATTACAAAATTCAACCATGATACATATAAAATTTTGTGGTATATCATTATGTAACAATTAAACAGTCCCAAGAAAAGTTATTGTCAACGTGAAAATTAAAAGATTACATCTTTCCTCTGCATAAAATCTTTGCCTTACATATATTATATTTAATTCATAATAGTGGTATATTGTTGTTGAAGGCAAAGAAACATCAAATTTTACAAATAACAAATTCAGCACCAAGCCCCCCCTAACTAATTCCCCTTTAATAATCCATTAATAAATAGTCCGTGAATTGAATGCCACTTCAATTCTAAATGCATTTTATTCTACCGAATGTACAACTGAGAGGGAACTCACTAAATGCAGCAAATGGATCAGCTTTCTTGGCACTCTCCTTTCTTTTCTTCTCTTCCTCTTCTTTTCTCCTCTTCTCTGACTCTGCTTTCTCTTTTTCTGCTTGCTGCTGGGCTAGCCTGATGGCATCAAATTTCTTCTTACTCTCATCCTCTTCCTTCTTCTTCTGCATGACGTCGTGCCTACATAGACCCCCAAAATAAAAATAAATAAATAAATAATTAATCAATTGAATAGATAAATAAATATCTTTTTAAAATAAACAAATAGACAAATCAGTCATCAATCACCAACAGGTTATCAATTGTTCATCTTTACTCTTTAAAACACACAATGTATCTAACACATAAGGGGTCCAAGTCTATAAACATAAACAAGTCAACATATTTCCAAATCTGTCCTTAAAATAAAAAATAAAATAAAAAATGAACACAAAGAGAACATCCTCCAATTCCCCCCCCCCAAATTCTTTTGGTGTCTCACATTATTTAAATAGACACAACATAATATCCCCCCCCCCCAACTTAAAAAATTGTCCTCTTAATCTGTTTTGAAGAAGAAAATAAAATGAACAGGATAAACACTCTCTCTAGATCTTTTTTTTATACTAAGCACAACAATGCAATCTTATGCATGAAGTAACAGTTTTTAACACCTTATGGAAAAATACCATGATGAAATCCCCAAAACTTTACCATAAAACACTGGTTGTCTTGTAAGATAATTCAGATAATGCATTTCTTTAAACTTCTAACTTTAATAACACTTGAATCAATAGATAAGAATGATGTCTTCTATCACAAGCATAAAATACTACATGTAATTTACCTTATTTTTTGATTCTGCTGGTTCTGCTTGACGAGTGCAAGCTTCTTCTGGTCCTCTAGGCGCTTCTTCATGACGGTGAAGTCAGTCATTTTGGCTTTTAATTGCTTCTGCAACTGATCAGTCTCGTTCTGCTCTCTCACCAAATTTGCTTTTAATTCCTAAGATAAGAGACAAGAGAGGGTTGATTTGAAACCATCTCTGAAGCTGCATTTGATTGGAGGAATGTTACTCCAGTCCAACCTGCTTTAGTGACCACCTGTCTACGAAGACCACAATTTTTGTTTCCCTTGAAAATGGTTTCTCATTGAAACATGTACTAAAGGAACGAGTCTACACAAACCACCCGTCTACAAAGACCACGTTTTGTGTTTCCCTTCGGTGGTCGCTCTAGACAGGTTTGACTGTATGTCTATGCTAGAGGAGGGTTGCAAAACATACCAAGAAAAGAAATTTTCTGATTTCCTCTAGAGTTTAAAAATATGGAATCACTCTTTTAGGCCTATTTCCAGTTTAAAACGTTTTAAAAACATCTCTGAAACATATTCCCACCCCTTTTTTCCTCTCTCCTTCTTTGGCAAAATCAGCTTCATGTCAAAAATCACTTCAAAAGTAATATTATATGACAATGCTATCTATTTAACAATCATATGTAACAGTTTTGTATTAGCGTATAGAACAAATAGGCATAACTGCAGGTCTCTATGTGCTTTACAGAACAGAAGGAGTGGAAAAAGGTGCAGTGGGCTCATAATTGTGAGATCTTACAAAGTGTTAAATAGATATAATGTTTTCAAATTACTTCTGAACTTTTCATAGGTTTCTAATTCATTTCTAATTAATTACATCATTATGCAGACAGAGGCTTCAAACTAAAGTCTTAACGTAATGTACTGAACGCAACTAATATTCAACCACTTCATCCTTTCCTTCCTAAATAATTCTTTAAAATAACAAGCAACATAACAAAATAAAAAAAATAACTACTAAAGATGTATTAACATTATTAATTTCAGAAACACAATGCCACAGGCTGTCGTCGGTCCAACAGAGTAAAAATAACAAGAGAGGACCAGTAACTACGCCCTCTCACATTGCCTGGCGAAAATCGCCGAACAATGGTGGAAAACGCCATTAAATTCAACAACAACATCCCTATTGACTTACAGAAAGTTTTGAGTGATTGTTGTCAGTGTCCTGCAGACTAGATGCAGTCTTCCTCTCGACCTCCTCCAGCGCAGCCCTCATCCTGACCAGTGTCTTCTGCTTGTTGTCGTAACTTGTCATCACTGCTGCGTATGTATCCGCTAAGTGCACAAGATAAATAAAATCAAGAGAATCGTAACTTCCTTAGAGACCTTTAAATGCAAGCTGAAATCTTATCTTTTTTAACAATACCTGTACTTGGCACCATGACACTCATCCAAACTCTCTCATTCTTTCTATTTTTCTTGTGCGCCTCGGAATAGAATTGTCTAGATAGACGGCGCTATGTAAATGCCTATTATTATTATTATTAAGACAGGGCCCTGTTTCATAAAACTTGCTATCAATAAAAAGTTACAATAGCTGTTAAAAGCTACTGAAATTGTGCCATTTGCTGAGAGCAAATTTGTCATAGGTATTTAGCATCTGTTATTCATAACAGGTTTATGAAACAGGGTCCCAGTTTACAGGAAAAAGTAAACTTGTCAGCACTGCTGCGTATGTATCCGCTGTACAAGATAAACAAAATGAAGACAGGACCCAGTTTCATCAAACTTGTTATCAATAACAAGTTACAATAGCTGTTATAAGCTACTGAAATCATGCCTTTTGATTGGCTGAGGGCAAATTATCATATATATTTAGCAATTGTTATTAAAAACAGGTTTTATGAAACAGGGTCCTGGTTTACAGGAAAAAATCCAGAGAACTTGCATTCACATCTTTAGAGAAAAAGAACAATAAAAAGCTAAGAAAGGTACCCCTAAAACAATGTAGGGCAGAGGCTTTGCCAGAAAATAAGAGAATGAAGATGACCAAGAATGAGAGACTAGAACATGTTATAGAAACAACAAGAATAGAGAAACAGATAAAATTTGTTTTAAGATATTGTGCAGTGCTGTTTGAGTCGTCTCGCACACATTGTTGAACGATAAACTTTCTTATGTGTTTTCTATATTGTGCAACTTTGATGCAACTTTGCACAGAGATGACAGAGAAGCTAAAGGGCAAAAACGTGACCAGATGAGATGGGAGTCAGGGAGAAGGGGTATGAAACGAAGAAGGGTGAGGGGGAAGAAGAGGGCAAGAACAAAGGGTGTGTGGGGGGGGGGGGGTGGGTAAATTGGAAATTACTGCAAGTAGTACGTTTACTCACAGACTTGAGTGTTGATATTGAGTTTCTTAGCTTGGACTTGAAGTTCCTCTTTCTGCTGTGCTCTCTGTTGTTTCAATTGCCTTACTTCCTGCAAACACAAGCAAAGGACTCCCATTCAAATAGCCTGAAACAAGCTTTACTTTAAAGCCCCACTGCACTACTTATAGCTACTTGCTCCCTCTATATAGCAAACAATGTCTAATCGGTGACCATTGGCCCCCCCCCCCCTCCCATGATCCCCTTTTCTTCTGTTAATTGAGAGCAGATTTGATGAGATAACCACCTGTCAGTGACGTTGCAGGGAGGTCTAATCCCTCCTGGATAAACTAGTGTAGACAGGCTTTAATTCACAGAAAAGAAATTGTCTTCCATTTCAGTCATCGCACATTTTCTACCATTAAAAATGTAACAAATCCTCTAATGAAGCCATGTGCTAATTATATCAAAGCTTATAATGTTGTATATAAATGTACATGTGTGTATGTTTAGTAGATTGAATTAAGGGTTGGAATAACTTTTCATGGAGATTAGGGGGCAGATTTTAATGATCTCACTCCTAGATACTAATCAAATAATTAGTTAAACGTAGTCATGTGGTATTCAGCTATGGAGACTATCAAACTTTTTTCGCTGAAAATTGTGCAATAGTTTCCAGTACTATTTACTGATTTAGAAGTACACAATGTGCAGCAGTGAGTGTAAAGGTTAATGCACTTTTACTGTATGTGTAGCACTGCACAGTGATGCATGTGCGCTTTTCTCTGTATGCGTGCTAAATTAGTAAGCCGATTAAACTTTGGGTTTATTTATCAACGACACTGACACAAAACAATCTTGAAATTGAATCTTTTTACATCAAATAACGGGGATCTAGGAGTTTAATTGTATGTAACAAGTGGTGCATGTTTTCATTCATTCATTAAAAGATCTATCCGTTCCTGTTGAGGCTGTATGCACCTTTCTTGTGCATACAGCCTTGACTCGAGTGCAGATAGATTACAGAATGCACTCATTTGTTTACTATCACATGAACAATACCGATATCTACTGCTAACACTATCAAATAAACAAGCAACACCGCTTTTTTCTATGATTGCTGCGGCTGAGGCTGCTATTGCTACTTCAACCACCGCTACCACAATTATACTACTAATACTTCTAATCCTAAACATCTACTAGGTATTATCGCTATCGTCCCATGAATATACAATCAAATCTGCTTTAGTGGCCACCTGTCTACAAAGACCACGTATTGTGATTCCCTAGAAAATGGTTTCTCACTTAAACATGTTCTAAAGGAACCTGCACTTAAAGACCACCTGCCTATAAAGAACACTTTTCTTGTCTCCCTTTGGTGGTCTTTATAGACAGGTTTCACTGTACCTGTATCCTCTGTTGAAGTTGATCGATCTCGGCCACCTTCACGTCCCTGTTCTGGCCCATCAGAATGATTGATGTCTGATGTTCTTTCACAAAGTTCTGACTCTCACTGAGTTTCATATTTAGGTGATTCTTCTTGTCCTCCTGAAAGTCGAGTATAAACATCACACCCATTTACCTCGTCTACTTTATTCCTTTCATTTCCAGCTTCTTATGAGTGACGTATAGCAATTTCAGAATAGATTGCACAGCCTCATATTCAGGGGAATGTTGCAGGATCAAAAATTGTTTAGTTGCAGGTGTGTATAAATATAAGTGTACTTTATATACAAATCAAAACGATGAAATGGAAGATGAATATTTTAGAAATACAACTAATCCTATTATCATCACCATCATCATCATCATCATCATCAACACCACCACAATCATCATTATGATCACCATCATCATCATCATTACCATCATGATGATCATCAATGTCACCATCAAAACAACCACCAGCCCAATCACCAACGTCATCATTATCATCATCAATATCATCATCGCAATCATCTTCATCAACATGACAACCACCGCCACCAGCAGCATCATTCTCCACCTCGTCGTCATCATCATCGCAACCACTAGACATCATGAATAGGGTTAAATGGAAGAGGTAAACTGCTCACTAGTGTCTCAATCTCACACGCTAGCATCTTCCTGGTTGCTTTGAGATGACAAACCTCCTCCTCCTCATCATCATCACCACCACAATCATTATTCCCATCATCATGACCATTATCATCATTATTATCATCCTTGTCATCATTTTCACCATCATCAAAATGACAGCCACCACCAGCAGCAGCATCAAATGGAAGAGGCAATCTGCTCACCAGTGTCTCTATCTCACACGCTAGCGTCTTTCTGGTTGCCTTGAGATGACAAACCTCCTCCTGATATTAATTTTCTCCACCATCACCACCATAATTGTAATCATCTCCATCATCATCATCATTCTCTACCTCATCATCATCATGAATAGGGTTAAATGTTAAAGGCAATCTGCTCACCAGTGTCTCGATCTCACACGCTAGCGTCTTCCTGGTTGCCTTGAGATGACAAACCTCCTCCTGAGATTTGATCCTCTTGGCTTCCAGTTCTTGTCTCTTCTGTCTCTCAATCTCCATCTGCCTCTGCCTCTCCAGCTCTCTCCTCGCGGCCTGCAAACAAAAAGGTCAAAGGTTACAGGGCTCATTATGTATGCAAAAAAAGATTGTGATTGCCTATCTCAAGAACTGATTGATGGATTCCTACCAAACAAATATTCAGCCATTCCCTGCATTAACAAGAGGGTTTCTGATTACATTTTGATTTTACTTTCTCATTCTCATAATTTGTTTTTGTTTTAATTGTTCTGTATTGATTTATATTGGTATTTATTGTTGTGTATATATTTTATGTAGGTTTTTTTTAAAATTGAGAATGAAATAAAGACTGAACTGAACTGAACTTGAACTATCTAGTTATTTATATATTTAATTACTTAGTTGTTTATTTATTTCATTTGTTATTATTATATTATTATTATTTTTCATTCATGGCTTCATGGAGGACCTTTGGGTGACTCACCTCTCTCTGCTGTTCTAACTTCATCCTTTGAGCTTCTCTCTCAGCTTCAATCTCTCTCTGCTTCTGCATCATTCTCTCCAACTCCAGCTGTCTCCGTCTCTCCTGCTCCAACCTGTAATCATTAGAATTTGTATTTTAAAATTGGCAACACCAATTCTTCACTTGATTAATGACTAAAAATCTTTAAGCAAATGCCATAACTGGAAAGTAAATGTACAGCCAAAGGACTTTGCACTGACTGCATTTTGCTACTCAAAAGAATATTTCCTTGGAAAAAGAAAAGAAAAGAAAAGAAATCAAATAATAACCTTGATGGACTATAACTTCCATGTAAGCATACCAACAATGAGAACATTGTAGATCTGAGCATTGAGTGAGCATGGAATCATTTGTGTTTCTACCTGCCATGAAAAGGCTGGTGATATTTACCTTATTCTTTCTTTCCTCTCTTGCTCATGCCTTTCAATTTCCCTCTGCCTTTCCTAAAATAAGAAGAAGAAAAAAAGAGACATGATTAGTGAATTTATATCTTACAGGTGGAAAACATCACAAGAATGTATTTATTAATTTATTGGTAAAATGTATTAATTTATTCATTTATTTATTTATTTATACATTTATTTATTTTTGTCCTGAAATTTATACAGGGTAGCACATTTTCACCAATAGTGGTGGTCTTCCAAGAATGGAAGAAATAATGAAATGAATGATATTTTCCAAAAGGGTACATGACATGCAAATAGCTCAATAATGTCAAATCAATTGCAAATAACCGAACCCCTCACAATTTCTGATTTTTTAGAACAAGCGATTTAGAATTTGATTGCATTTAGGATTGTAAGACATCAACAATTAACATTGTACTCGAGGCAGATCTATATATATAATGATTTATATAGCGCTGTCTATCTAGAATTTATATTCAGAGGTGCATAACTATTACCCCGGCTTTAGCCTAGCTGCCATTACAACGCTCCAGCATTTCAGGGAATTAATTCCTGCCAGGTACCCATTTACCTCACCTGGGTCGAGAGTGGCAAATGAAGATTAATGCCTTGCCAAAAGACATTAGTGCCGTATCAGGGATCGAATCACGACCTTTGAATTTCAGGTCAAGTGCTTAAACCACTCGACTACGACATATAGCCCAAAACAATAATAATTTGAATACAATGTGGAATTAGAGGAACCAATGTTATATATTTATATATTATATACAAATCAATAATCAAATCTGCACATGACATGATGGCTTTCAAATGCTTAGGAAAAATCTTGTGTTATATTAACCTTTTCTCTTTCTTGGACTTCTCTCAAGGCTGCTCTCCTTCTTTCAAGTTCTTGCTGACCCTTCTCAAAGTTCTGCCTCTTTCTGTCTTCAAATGATACTGTGGGTATAGAAAAGAAAGGATCACCAGTCAATTCAGATCAGTTCAGTTCAGTTCAGTTTAGTTCAGTTCAGTTTAGTTTAGTTCAATTCAGTTCAATTCAATAGGCCATTTTCTTAATGTAATCAAATGTTTAATCGCAAATCTTTGTTAAATGCCTTTTTACAAATTATTTCATTCACCCGATACAAATTATTTCACTTACCCGTTAGGAATAGTTGTATTTCAATTGTCAGAATGCAAATTGCAAACATTACGTGTTGTTAAAGGCCCACTGCACTATTTGTAGCTACTTGCGCCCTCTCTATATTAAACAATGCCTAATCGGTGACCATTGGTCCCCCATGATCCTCTTTTTCTTATGTTAACTGAGAGCTGAGTTGATGGGCGGTCTAATCCCTCCTGTAAACTAGTACTGACAAGCTTTAAGTAGGACAAGCCATAACGTTTGTCCTAATTTATGCAATATTTAAAACATCTAAAATAGATTCCTGGTGTTTTGTGGTGACTGGCCACAAATGGCACATTTATCAGCAAAACTAATGCCAAGCAGTGCAACTTATTGTTTAACTGAATACATAGCTAGTTCAATATCGGTGAAGAATAAATACCTGGCGTTAGTTTCTTTTCTTCTTCCAGGGGTAGCTGCTGCTCATCCACACTCTGCTGCTGAACAAGGGCAGGGGAGAGAGGAGCCCCGAACCCCCCCTGACCTGGCATACCACCAGGCATTGCACCGGGCATACCACCGGGCATAGCACCGGGCATCGCACCGGGCATCGCACCACCACCACCCCCACCTCCACCCATCATTGCGCCTCCCACCAACGAGGCCCCGCCAAATGGCATGGTACCACCCACGGGTGCCCCGCCCATACCACCGAGACTAGCCATCATGCTGGCGGTGGGCATGGCAGGGGCTGGGGCAGGGGTAGGGGGTGCCCCTCCTGCCCCCGATGAGGTTATGCTAGAGGAGCGGCCTCGCCGGTAGGATGGGGGTACAAGGTCAGGGGGTAGCTTGGCGGGGAGGGGCTTCCCCGTCTTGACCATGTCAACCAGGTGGAGTGCCACACAGAACTCCTCGCAAGTCAGTCTCCCGTCATTGTCCACATCAGAGAGACCCCTGAAAATAAGCACAAGACAAACTAACTATGTGTTTCTTAATACCACAATGATGGAAATTATGAAACAAAAACATGTATTAGTGAAAACTTTTGATTTGATCAGCTGATAATGTACTTAATGAGCTAGATACAGTCAAACCTGCTTTAGTGACCACCTGTCTACAACAAGCACATTTTTTGTTTCCCTTGAAAATGGTTTCTCATTGAAACATGTACTAAATGAACCTGTCTACAAAGACCACTTTTTGTTTCCCTTGGGCGGTCGCTGTAGACAGGTTGGACTGTATAGAATCCACTGACACAGGATATAAAATATCATTACTGATAGATTTCCATTGAAATTTTGGAGAATGTGCATACATTGTGTGCAGGTAAGCCTGAATCCGATGACCGGGTTAATAATATATATCTTTGAGAGGACCTGTGCTCCAGAAAAGCGCTATATAAGAACTAGCTATTATTATTATCATCGCTATGTTCTATACAAACCAGATCTGTGCTAGATGGGCCTGTCCTAGGCCAGACTGGACCAGGATGTTCCTGGCCTGAGCCCCCGTCAAGAACCCACTCCTGGTCCTATCCTGTGTGTTGAACATCTGGGTGAACTTGAGCTTCGAGTTGTGCGGTACACCCCAGTCAGCATTTATGGAAGAGGCACGCGCCCTAAAATAAAAGACCAAGCAGGTGTTAGCTCTGTCTCAAAGGGCAAGTCGAGCCCATTTGCAAGTTGAATTGAATAAATAGTAAAAAATAAAACAAACGAAACCGTGAAAGTTACATCAAAATTGGATGAAAACATCTGTGACCTATGGATTCTCGCTGCACCTACCCGGGCATATAGGCATTGTATACAGCAAGACAATTTACAAACCTTTTTCCTCTCTTAATTTCTAAAACTGCGGAGATCCCCTCATCCCCAGAGGAATCTCATGCCTGTAATATATCCAGAAAAGAAAAGGTAGGAATCTAAGTATGCAATTGCTAATAAACCAACATTGATTCATGCTGCAAACCACATTGGCTCGCATAACTTTCTGATTTAAAAAAAAAAGCCAATAACCTGTATTGCTGTGGTAAGGGCTAAAGAAGTAACGCTGTTTCTCAATTGCGTCAGTACATTTTGCATTGCCAATAATCGTAACAAGTAAAATATATAAAATTGCCATCTAGACCCAACCAGTTTTATCACATATGAGGGTTGCATATTCACCCGTTTCTTTGCAATACAAAAATCTTATCAACTACGGTACACACAATGCTCATGAGGCCATAATGCAATGATATCCCTTTCAGCATAGCCATTCAACATTGCATTTAAAAACCATTTACACATACAGTTGATACTACGATGCAATGGAAATGGCCAATGGTGAATGGGTAAATGTGATTGGAGTGAGCTACCATGCCTACATGTTTTCACTAAATGAAAAATAGAATCAAGCGAGTTGTGATACATGGCATGTCTTTCCGTGACTTATCATAGTTCATAACAGCGGATGCGGTGAGCAATTCAGCTCTCGAAAGCTCTCGAAAATACTCTGGTCAATTGAAAAAAAGATCTCTGGTAAAAAACAATAAAATACTTAAAATATCACTGTGAGAAAAATTGCACTTAAACAACACCAAATCCTAAAAGAGCTCCCGCTAACAGAAAAGTATTTTTCACACTGGTTCATAACCTTTGTTCTCGCAACGGAAGACCTTATTGCCAGTCTCAAAGTTAGCTCTTTCTTTCCATCTTGTTTTTTATTCTTCTTCAACTGGTTGGATATTATCTTTTGAATTAGTATTTATTTTCTTAGCTGAATGTGGCAATTATTTATAATAAAATTATCAATGGTATTAAAAATGGTAGCACATCTGGAGCTATAAAAATTATAAACATTTCATAAGAACACTTGAGTACTAATGAGAATTACAAATTTCCTTTTCTATTACCAGCTGTCCATTTGGAAAATACTCAAACTTGATACCAAGACAAAATACTGAAATTGGTGAGAATTGTTCTTTCATTCATTATGCATTTGGATGAGCTGTAGATCTAAACTACATGAAATGGTTGCTACAATGAATGATTAAAGCTGAGATGAGTTTTCATTCCAATCACTGAAGCAATTCAGTACCTGTAAATGACCTGATTGTAAAATGCAGCGGTGATGAACTTTGTTTTTTATTTGAATGAATCAGATACATCTATCCCTGCTAGTATGATCAAATCCATATGCCCATATTCCAGTGCGCTAACATGCAGTTAAGACCCCCCTCAAGTCACAGCCTTGGTTCAAGTAAATGTACATTAAACAAACAAATGAGGAAGTACAACTCCATTTGGCCTTATTTTTTAGTTCCCTATTTTTTATTTTCTTATATATTGCAAATGCTTATCATTGTATATATCTTTGTATTGTTTTTATTGAAAATGGAAATGAATAAAAAATAAATTGAATTGAATTGAAAAATGAACAGAAGATATGAAAGTGAGTTTAAAGGCACTGTTTAACAATGTTTCCAGTTTTACAAATCTGAGATGCATGGCCCTAGGTGTTATCAGTGTCTGTGATATGATGTAATACTGAAGCCCTAACAAAGTTGTGCTTCAAAATGATCCAAAATGATCATGAAGTGCCTCAAAAAGTAAAATTCTTTAAGTGACCAGTTTTACCATACTTACTTTTTCCCAAAAGACTGTAGTGTTAAAAAAACTGTTGGAAAACGTTTTTTGAAATTTCGAATCCCAATCATAAATATCTTGATAATCAGACAGACGATCGGCTTGTAAAAGTCATGGGGTTCCCGACTGACCTAGAAGTTTATAATTATGATTGCAGCATGAGCTAAATCCAAAATAGTCTCTTATTCTGCAGCAGGTTCCCTGTGTATGTGAAGAGTATTTGTATTGAACAGCCTTGAACCAAGACTATGATGCAGTGTCATGCAGTAATGAGGGAGGCCAGCGAGCTACCTTGGAATATAGTGGTATTTTAGGCTGCCATAACCTCCAAGGGTCAACGACCTCATCGTCAATGGACGCATAAACCTGACAGGTGTTTTGAAGGCAAGTCTAATATTAACACATAATTACATGTACATGAACAACAATTATTAGTATTATCATTAGTATTGTTATTACATTTATAAAGCACCGTTTCTGATAGTAACCACGACAACGACAACAACACATATCAAAAACAACAATAACAATACATGCAGTATCATCATTGGTTGCACTTAAACCTGATAATTAGTTCAAAGGGAAGTCTAATATTAACAGGTAAGTAACAACATATACCATGAACAACAATAACAACAATAATACATTCAGTGTAACAGTATTGATTTGAGCAGTAGATTAACGCTTTGAAATTTGCCCATTGTTTGCAATGAGCAAATTTAAAACTTCCTATCCTACACTTAAAAAGTAGCGTTTTTGTTTTTGTGGCAATTCACCACGTCATAGCTGAACGAGCCTTAAAACAATCATTAAGATCATATAATAGTTAAAGCCCCACTGCACTACTTATAGCTACTTGCGCCCTCTATATAGCAAACAATGCATAATGGGTGACCATAGGTCCCCCATGATCCCCTTTTTCTTATGTTAATTGAGAGCTGATTTGATGAGATAGCCACTTGAGTCTTGCTTCTAGCAGATGTACGAGTGCCTTTCTTACCTCTCTGGAGAACCCTGAACCGTTCCTGCTCTTGCCATTGCATTCTGCTGGGCAGTACCTGCTCCAAAACCTGTGACAAAACAATTAAGATTGTGACAACATACATGTATACAGAAAAAAAAAGGAGTTCAGGAAAAATTTTCATAGAAATTACTATAGTATTGGGATGAGCTTAACAAAGAAACTTCCACCCGACAAAACCTGTAGAATATACAACAGAGATCATAGTTACACTGCACATGTGAGATGGTGGGTGAACATTTGACGTAAATGTAAATTGTTTGCAAGCATCAAATGTTTGTGAGAGGTTCAGATTCAAGAAAGTTTCATGCAGAAAAAAAACTAAATCGCAACTGACACAACACCGAATTTCTGGCTAATCCTGGTGATTGACAACACCTGTTATTTGGGTAAACACCTGAACGGTGTCTTTAATACCTATACATACCTCCCATATTAGGTGTTGGTCTGTTTGGTAGAGTGTTGAAGCCGCCTGGTTGCATCCCTGCACCTGGCATCCCCCCTGCACCTGGCATGCCTGCACCTGGCATCACCCCTACACCAGGCATCCCTCCTGCTGGCATGGCACCAAAGCCTTGCATTGGCCTCACCATTCCTGAGAAGAAAAGATACAGATGACAATGATAACAATGATGTAATTTAGAGAGAATTTCAACTAAAAAAACATGTTAACAATCTTTTATATGTTATTTGTTTGATTGCTAGAAAAGAAGAGATAAAGATGATGCTGATGGTAACAATGATAATGATGATGATAATAACCAACAAGAAAAATGATGTGATTTAGAGAGAATTTCAACTAAAAACATGTTCGCAATCTTTTAAAATAGCGGATTATTTGGCAAAAGAAAGTACAGAAGGGCAGGGATTTTAGGGTCACTGCCAATGAAAGCATTGAATAGAGCAAGGAAAAAAATAAACAGGGGCTTTGAGCAAATTAGCCCCCGAAATGCCATAAAGAGACCCGAAAGTCATAAAAGAGCCCCCAAAATTTGCATAGAGTTCAATGCAAAACAAATTAAAGAGTGTTATTTTCATGCAAGTAAGCTTGAAAAGTAGTCCCCAAAATAGTTAAAGTATTTTTTTCCCTGGAATAGAGCCACTCACCAATTGGTTGAACACCGAAGCCAGGCATTGCAGGGGCTGGAGCTTGCTTGAGACTCGCTGGTAGCGTCCTGGGGAGCTCTACCCTGCTCAGCTTCTTCTTGATGAGATACATGGCGATGGAGAACTCCAGCTTGTCAAGTTTGCCATCAGAGTTCATGTCAGACAACATCCTGTAAACACACATAGTGTGAAGCGAAGAGGTTTTAGAATATATATTATAAGATGATGATGTGGATCCTAATTAAATTATTAGTTAAGAGCGTAGACGTGACCAGGCATTTATTTTGCCTAACACGTAATTTTGATAATGACCGGCCATTAATAAAATAATGTTATAAATCATCATGTAAATTTTAAAAAAAAACATAATCTTATAAAACAAATAATATGCATCATTTTGTTCGGGTGTTAGTATAATTACCCACACTTGGTGCCTTAAAAAACAGTCCAAACACCTGAGGCGATAGTTAGACTGTTCCAAAGGAACCTCGTGTGGGTAATTCTTACTAATGCCCTCACTGCTGTGTATTATTTGTATATTAGTATGTCTCATAGCAAATGGAGCCTTCAATCAATCAGTCAGTCAATCAATCAGACAGTCGATAAATAATGGTCAGTCAATATCAAAAAGTCAAATTAGAGTGGGTGCTTGTAGACTAGGAGGGAGAGGAAGGAGGGAGAGGAAGGAGGGGAGAGAGGGAAAGGGGAAAAGGGGGGAAAAAGGAAGGGAGAGAGGGTGTGAGGGAAAAGGGGAGAGGGAGATAGGGAAGGAGGAGAGAGAGGGGGAGGGGGGGGGGGGGGGGGGGGGGGGGGGGAGGGTGAGAGAGAGAGAGAGAGAGAGAGAGAGAGAAAGAAACTCACCATATATGACCTAGTACTTGTTGTGGCAGCCCTGACTGCATGAAGAAACCTCTTGCAGCATCACCTGTAGAAAGTAGAAATTAAACATACATGTAATACATGAAATTTCTGCTTCCTATGATATGATTAGATACAGAGATAATTCATTCACCCTCACTTTATTCATTATCATTATTTTTTAATTATTTATGTCTTTTTTTCGCCTCCTATATTGTACAAGCATTGCTTTTTAATAGGTTCCTCATATTTCAAGTTATTGATTATTTACGGCCATCATTTTTTTTTTGTCATTACGCTTTATCTTGCTGACCTTGATAATACGTAAACTGTTATTTTGTGGAATGTGAAACAATAAAACAAAACAAACAAACAGATGATGAGCCCCACTTTATTACAAGCATTTGTTCAACCATGAAACCCAAGCACTTATATCATAAAAGCAATTACTGTAAAAAAAATAAAAAAATTACTACCTAAAAAAACAATTTTCAACAAAATGTCACTCATGTTGTCGAACAGATTTATGTAAATGAAATATACATCATTTTTTTTTATTTTGTTGTTGTTATGGTCACAGTGTAGACAACATGCACAGTGTATATGTACATCTCTTTGTTGGTAATTAGTATCTCATACAGAGTTAGTGCATTCATATTTCTCTCATGCAGGCATATAGAATATTTAACCTTTAATTAGCATCCTTTGTACATGTACACTAATGGTTTCAGGTCGCATACACCGTGTGCTTCATGACACTAATTAGTTATAAATCTGTGCGAAGCCAAAGGGGAGTAATCATGGATAATGGATGACTTCCTCCTCATCCATGTAGAGGTTTATATTCCATAAATAGATTACAAGCATGACAGGTAGAGAGAACCTTCTTTTAATGGACTTAAGTATTCCTTACTTTCTATTGACTGCCTTTGCTTTCCCCTGTCTTTTTACTTTGTCCCCTTGTTTTTCCCTTCCCTCTCTTTTTCTCTATAATACATTGTGTACATGTATCACAGATTGTATCCTCTACATCTTCCTTCACCCCCCCTGCCTGTCTCTAACTCGCTCCCTCTCTTTCTGTCTCTCTCTCTGTGTCTCTCTCCCTCTCTTTCTCTCTCTCTCTCTGACTCGCTTTCTCTCTCTGTCTCTCTCCATCTCTGCCTTTGTCTGTCTCCGTCTCTCTCTCTCTGTCTATCTCCCTCTCCACTTTATCCTTCCTTTCCTGAGCCCTTATGTACTTGAACCTTCTTCTCCTCTTTCCCCTTCAAGTCCATGTACAAATAATACCTCACTTCCAAACTGATTTTGGTATCTCCATCTCTGTCTGTCTCTCTGTCTGTCTCTCTGTGTCTGTCTGTCTGTCTGTCTGTCTCTCTCTCTCTCTCTCTCTCTCTCTCTCGTTGCATATTTTGTACAAATTTGCAGCAAAAGAGCCTCCTTCCCACATCTGTCCTATGCTACTACATGTACATTCTAAATCCGCATTACACTACCACGATTAATAATCATTCTTGATCAGAATGCAAGCGACTCCATTCTGTATTTTTCCAACAAGAATATACACTGAATTTTCAAAGCAGATCTGTTTGTACACTTTGCATTGATATTTTTAAAATAATATACATCAACCCTACAAGGAGAGGGGAAAAAAAATCATGAGGTGAACAAATGCTTTGTCCAGGAAATGAATAACTCTTATTGGTAACGTCAAACAGCATCACACACTCCTCACAAAACTTTGACCGAATTTGGACGATCAAGTTACAGACATCCAGTGCCTTATCAGTCAGACATCTGTCTAGTGTCTACGTATGGAGAAACCGATGCCCCTCGATCGCCTCAAGACTATTGGCTTCTACATCAGGATCATTCACAATGCAAGCAAAAACCATTGGATTTTCTCTCATTCTGGGATACTGCCTGAAGTTGCTAAGGAACTACCATAAACACAAAGGAAAACAATCAACTTTAAGATTGTGAGTTTTTTAACGACCGCCGAAAGTCTGCTGTTTTTTGCAGTGTAAATGCTCACTCTCGAAACACAGGTGAATTATTCCGGTTTTGGTCTAGTGACTGTCCTCGCTTCTGTGCTGTTGCATGCAGAGCAGCGATAAGTGGCGCATACGCACGACTCACCAAAAAACAGAATTATCAAACATCAACGTTTTTTCCTGTTGTTTTTTGCATGGGTGTAAATGGTAGTTCAAAAGAGTTTTTTTCCCGAAAGTAGTTTTTTTTTCTGCAATGTGAATGGGGCTATTGTAGGTTGATTGTGGAAAAGGACTGTGCAAAAATTGGAATTTCCACGTACATGAAGGCAGTACTGGCTGACAATGTATCAAGCTATTGCTTTTATATGTGTAAGACACATGTTACTTTCCTATGCACAGACACGTGTCACTTTGAAGAAAAACTTTGTCTAAATCCCATGTTGATGTGTTCACTCACCAGTAATGAAACCATTGACCGGCTTGAGCTGGTTGAATTGACTATCATGCTTGGCTCTGTCGTCTGCTGTTATCCTCCAGTCTGTATGTACGAGAGCAAAAAAGTAGCAAATGGTTAATAAATATTGGAGGGAAAAAAAGGGAAGAAGAAAGGCAGACAGAAAGACAGACAAATGACAGCATGAGAGAGAGAGAGAGAGAGAGAGAAAGAGAAAGAGAGAAGTGGAAATACAAGTGGATGTTGAAATGGTAGGATATACAACCTATTTTTTTTTAAAATGAGCTCTTACTAGTACAAACTACACTACACACAAAAAATATTTCAATGTTGTACACAATTAAATGTGAACACAGACTTCCTACAACCATGGACCTACTACAAACTTAGCAGATTATTCAGTTATAAACTGAGCAATGTGGAAGTTTGCATGTGGAGAAAAGAAAGTTGCGTAAAAGGAAACCACGTACTGCATGTGACTGATTTTATGCCACCCAAATTTCTATTTCTAATGACAAAGGGAAAGAAATGCATAGATGTATTATAAATACAGACATATAGGAGGTACTGTACATGTATTGTGGAAATGAATATCCAATTGGAGACTTCAATTCATAATTGTCTGAAGGAATCATTGCAGGGGAGAATAAACTTCCAACAGGACGGTGGCAAAAATTGCTTTCTGAAAAGATCACTGGATATTTCTGCTGGTCTTGGAATGATTAATGACGTTCATTTAAAAAATGTAAAAACCTGAAATTGCCTTTAAAAAAGATTACTGGTTAATCTTATTTGTAGAAATGGATTGATAAATGATAATCTTTTTCCTAGAATCAGAATAACATGTTCCTGCCTTTTGTAAAGATCACCGGATAAGATTTGGAATGATCAATGAAAACAATTAATTCAGAACCATAATGACCTGTTATAGCCATCTGATAAAAACACTGGACAATGAATACATTTTGACCAAATTGCTTTACTTACAAATGTAGCCTACCAACAAAGCAATTTAAGCTACTTCAGCGGCCTTTATAGTTTGGATCACTATATATAAAAATGTGCTAAAATTGGACTACAGGAATATAATTTGTTAATCTTTGATAGTAAACTTACCGGTACCTTGATGCATGCTCCCTCCTTGCATCATCCTGTGGTGGTAGAGTTTCCACGTACCTAGCATACACATGGTAGAAGATATCAATCAGTCATCAAGAATTATAATCAAGTTCAGTTTTGTTGAGATACACTGTACTTTCAGAGTTTTCAGCACTGATTGTACAGTACATGTACATGTATAATCCAGAGAGGTGATCAGAAGTCAAAATAGTGTTGAGATACTTCCATACAGCCTTTCAATGCACGATAACTGATATGGGCAGTGATTGTATAAGGTACAAGTGTGACTGCAGCATATGTCTACCCTTCTCTACACGTAAATTGCACTGACTTGGTAAGAAATGCATACATGTACACGTACTGTCGGTAGATATACATGTACGACCTAGATATATCACAGCTTCTGTGACTAATAGCAGGTTTCCACCTTCATAAATAGCTGTATGACGAAAACTTGTATCCTGGAGAAGGGGGGCTACTTCCCCCCCCCCCCCTCCATCTTTAATCACACAGGCCCATTAGCTAGATGTGTTAATTACTTTAAAACATTCATAGTACCCACTTCATCTGTTCAAATGCACAGCTTGTATCCTGTAAAGGGGGGGGGGGGGGGCTATTTTATCATACAGGCCTATAAGCTAGATTATTAAACTTTGAAAGTTTAATCACAATGTTGAGGTAAGTACACTGTACAGTGTATTAAAGCAACAATATGTGAAAGGGTCACTGATATGGACTTCAATAGTACTTAAACATGCAAATAGTGTTGAGTTGCACTCAAGTGTTGGAAGCCCCAGATTCAACAAAACTTTGTTGGCAAAATTTCACTTAAATTGTATCATGATGTGAAAGAGGATGTCAATGAAGACACACTTTTGCAAAGATTTCCCCCCCCCCCAAAAAAAAAAAAAAATGTGTTTGAAGACAAATGATGATAAAAGAATACACAATATTCTACTTTAAACACATTTGTTATTTTGTTTTTGAAAAATCCTTGCAGAAATTTGTTTTAAATAACATCCTCTCTCGCATTATAATACAATTTAAGTGAAATTTTGCAATCAAATTTTGGGGCTCCCAACACTTTAGAGGGGCTTTAGGGCTCTTACGCCATTCATGAATAAGAGCATTTAATCAAGTATTGAAGCCTCTTAATTGGCAATGCAGAGTAAATCTATAATCACTATTTTTTAGTATAAATTGGCAAATCCATTCTGATTGTTAGTTTAAATCTTCATTTAACTCTTTCATTTTAATAAGAAACACTTGTATTTTTTTCAAAGATATGAAAGAGTAGAAAATACAATTAATAGTTGCCACTTAGGGGAGGAAAAGCCGATTCATTTAGACCTTAAGAAAACTCTGAATTTCTACGTGGGGTAAAGACTGCATGCATGAGCTCTGAAATACGAATCTCCATGAACTTTACATCTATAACTGGAGCGTGTTCTTGGATCATTTGATGAAAGGAAGGAAACGTCTGGTTGGCCTTAAGTATAGAATGACTAATCTAAAGCTACATGTGTACATGTACATGTATCTAGAGGTGAAGGTGAAAAAGGGCCAACAAAAACAGAGAAGAGTCCGAGCGTGTATTAAAGTGTGTGTGGGTCAGTGATAACAACATCTTATACATGTAAATGCAGGCTCTTCAAATTCAATACATGTAACCACATGCAAGATCACATCTGTGAAGGTTCGTTAATCTGACAGACTTAAACGCACCATCAAAAAATCCTTACGAAATAAATCTGAACGATGATCTGACAAAAGAAATTAGCTGGAAGACCCCCATGAGCATGAATGGTAGTGGGTTCACAAGGTGAGAATACACGACTTTGTACAAAACCTCTTGGTACATTTTGGTACTTTTAGCTTTAGGCCTTCATGGTTGCAGAGCTAATAGTCTCAATTACATGGACATTAATACTACATGTATATCCTGTGTTAAAATCAATTGGTCCCAATCATGAAATACATGTATACTAACTGCTAAAGTGTCAATTTTGTTGAGTGTCCACTGGGTATCAAATGTTCTTCATAAAACTCGAAAGAGTTTAAAATGTGCTGCATGCTGCACATGTACACTGTATGCAAGAAACATTATGTGATACTGTGAGAAATATATCTTGGAATTACTCCTATTGGATTAAATGTACATAACAAAGAAAACAATATCTCCTAAGTTTGCAGTTACATGTACCTTGCTAGACATTCTCCCATGGGAGCTGCAATTTTTTATTACTGGTAGGTTTGATTAGGTTTGCACCTGCAAACTAGTGTGGAGGCTCTATTGAAGAGTTTCAATTTATAATAAATGCTACAATGTACTCTCCAGAGAGCTTGGATCCCCCTATCTATTCTACATAGCAAGGGGTTCAGAATCTAAATTATAAGCCTCTAAACAATCACTTTGTAATCAATAAGATTATTTAATCTCCTATCAATTGCTCATAAAAGACAAACATTTCAATCTCAAAATTTTTCCTCAAATTAAACAAAGCAATAGCCAGATTGTGTCATGACCATCTGTGACCAAATGCCATGAAAATATCCTGACCCAACTTTAGTTGCACTTGGACCATGGTACATGTATGCATTCAATAGTCATTTATGTACAAGAGTCTTGTGTGTGAAAGCTTGTATGTACATGATCTTTGACCTTAGGACATGACCTCCAACATCACTTGAATGTGAAGGTCCCCCTAATGCATTTATAACCAATGTTTGGTCTTAATCAGAGCGACAGAGGCAGACTCTAACGTCTCCATTAAGTACGTTAGGGTGCCCAGCTAATCTGTCCCATGCTACCCTACTGTCATAGGCTATCCCATTAGGGTGCTTTCCAGTGTCACACCATGCGACTCCTAATACGAGTTACATGTACTGGAGTGTAAAGTAGGCTTGAGTCGGTACGGTCGATCACACCGGGACCCGACCGTTGCCGTCGGGTCCCGGTTTCGTTTTTTGAGAACCGACGCTCCGAAAAAAAATAATGAAATATGTAAGAAATTGTAGTTTTGCACACCACTAAAATCAATCCACCTTAAAACTTTAGTATTTAATTGTTACCAATCATTTTCAAGCTCATCCTGAATCAATCCGAACTTCTGATATAAATATGGGTTGCAAAGGAGTTCGCCCCATGGCATGGGGTTGTTGTTGCCAGCTGCTAGCTAGCTACTGTACTGGCCGGGTCTCTCGGCAGGATTAATAAATCAGGTTGAAAGAAAAATTGATGTTTGAATAATAAAACGGCTTTCTAAAAAGTACTTCTTTACAACATACCAATCAAATAATTTTTAAAAGACAAAATAGATATTTTTTCTTTGATTTTGAACACCGCATGCTTCTTTTAAAAGCTGAAAATTACTTGGTAATCACAAGAAGTTTCGATATGGATAGCTGTTGCAAGGCAAGTTCAGACTAGTCTCGGAAAAATGCGCAGTGCTCCTCGTCATTAGCTGTAATGCGTGCCAGAACGAACCCAAACAAAGACGTGATCGTAACGAGAAAAAAATCATTAAAAACTACGAGAGCACAATTGGAAAGACAACAACTCAAAATTATCGTAAGAAGATACAAAACTTGGAGGAAGAATACAATAGTTGTCCAAGAAAAGCCACAGAAATAGTGATATTTAAGGAGTTACTATAGGTACAATCATTATCGGAATGGGCCTGCTGATATGTCCGAATTACACGTGTTTGAACACGAGGCTAGAATGAAACCAAATACCGCCCTCTACGGTAAAAAGCAGTATAACATAGGATTCGAGTATTTGCAGCAGGCCTTGCGATAAAAATGTACCCAGTTACTCCTCGATTATCACAATTTCTGTGGCATTTCTTGGGCGATTATTGAATTCTTTGTCCAAGTTATGTATCTGATTATGGTAATTTTGAGCAGTAGTTGTCTTTCCAATTGTGCTCGTAGTTTTTAATGATTTTTTTTCTCGTTACGATCACGTCTTTGTTCGGGTTCATTCTGGCACGCATTACAGCTAACGAGGAGCACTGCGCATTTTTCCGAGACTAGTCTGAACTTGCTTTGCAACAGCTATCCGTATCGAAACTTCTTGTGATTACCAAGTAATTTTCAGCTTTTAAAAAAAAGCATGCGATGTTTAAAATAAGAGATGAATATTTATTTTGTCTTTAAAAATTATATGATCGGTATATTGTAAAGAAGAATTTTTTAGAAAGCCGTTTTATTATTCTAACATTCATATTTTTGACCAGATTTATTCGACCTGCATAAATCAAACTGGCGGCTCGAATGTTGTCTTTCGATTTTTGCCTCAGTTTTTTTTAACTTTTAGAGGCACGATAATGGCACTAAACATCGCCAATCATGGATGAAAATAATGTCAAATGGAAAAATATACCGATCTGAGCCGAGGTATGCATGTGTTGATTTATTTGATAGACAAAAAAGGTCACTTTTAAGGGACATACTGATGATAATAATCATGATTTGCGCTTTTTATAGAGGCAAGTGACAAATCTTGCGAGCTGACTTCGGGACACCGGGTCCCGATCGGTGCGAGGCCGTCGGGACCCGGTTTATGAAAATCCCGACATGACTCAGGCCTAGTGTAAAGACCTTGCACAGCTCACGGTCTTAATCTAAGTGACAGAGGCAGACTCCATCTCCAGTATGTAAGTGTGCTCATCTTCTCTGTAAAAAAAATTAAATCTTCCCATGCTACCCCAATCGAGTGCTTTCGATTCTCACACCAAACGACTTCTACTACGAGTTACTGCAGCACAGAGACCTCGCACAGCTCACGCCCATTCCCTTTTAGTAAACGCTATCAATTTCTCACGACTGTAATTCTACATTATATGTCAGGTGACCCCTTTTTGCAACCATGTGACTTTTGATTCACCAAGGGCTAATCCGGACTGGCAAACTTGCACGGAGTATTGAGAGATATCATGATTTTGATCGGTTTTAAAAACAGACATTTATTTGTAACTGGCCTTACTGAGAGCAAAGGAGGTCTTTAGCATCATGCTTTGGCAGGGCTTAGCTGCCTCTCACCTTGGCATGCC